GGCTGATAAACGAGAGTTATCGGAGTGATCCTGGCTGACATGTGTCTTTTTAGTTTTTACGTGATATTAGCACCTCTTCTGCTGGATGAGTGGTTGGTTCACCTGAAATAAACGTTTGTTTTAGGTAGGATGTTATAGGTTTATATTCACGGCGAAAGCGTCTAGATGCGGTATATAAATCCGGCAAAAACAATAACACCTTACTAAATTAAATATTAGCTAAACCAATCACATATCCTGGCAGTACACTAATAGCATTCGAAATTACTTGGCGCTTTCAGAAAGTTTATTTTAAGGTAACGTCCCCTACCATTGAACGAATCTCACCGTTCAGCGAGCTCCGCCAATCAGAGCATGGAAGAGACACATACAGCATGCTCCGATTGGTAGGGTTCGCTGAACTGTGAGCTTCGTTTGACGGTAGGAGATGTTATCTACCCGCGGGGTACGTGAGGCTTCCCGCGCAACTATCACAACATTCTCCCTGTGAAAACAGCCCTATTTACTATTTCCATAATCTGACTAGCGTACACCGTTACCAAAAAGCAAAGCATAGACCTATAATTGGATCGACAAGAACTCGGGTTACAGTTTTATTTGTAAAAGGTAAGAATGGTAGTGAATGCTTCGTTTAAAACTACCCAAGATACTCTAGATCCCAATTCTTTCTAGATATCTATACCGTAACTGGTGAGGAACCTTGTGACTTGAAAACTATCTTTGAGGTCGTACATCTTTTCCGTCGCACCTCGTATAACATCCAGGTGCCTCTTGTAGAACAATATATTTACAACCTCCTATAGCGCCACCGCCATTGTTTTACCAACTGCCTCTTGCCCAATGAGCGGGTGTTACTAGCGAGAATACGAAATCCAAAAATAAATTTCAATAAGACATGCTGATGCGTCCTGCAGGTAGTCGCGATTACGTCCAGTGAGACGAATTTCCACAATCGAAAAGTGTGGCCAATATTCTACGCAAGTAAAACAGGCTTAAGTTCAGCCTTGTATCATCTTTTAGCTTAAAAGGTCGTAGGCTGTTCTCACATTTGATTTCTCACCGTCAACCTCTTTCATAGCGAACCTCACAGCCTAAATCGTTCAAAGTGAGTACACAGAGATCCGAACCCATTCACGAGCTCCATGATCTATCGCAAGCTTCAAATGAAATAGGCGAAATGGATGCTATCACCATCGGAAGTCAAGAACTCAGCACTCAACAACACCTTGGTGCATGGCGTCCTGGATTACTGCGCCTGGAGTCCCAGCAATTTCTGCTCCCTTATAACGAGCAAGTGTCTCATGCACAAATCACTTCAGATGCTTCGTTAAGCCAATCAGAGACCTCCATTCCCGGAAATTCTCGGAATCTGCAGAATGAACAAAGTCCACCAGAAAGCTCATCGGTGCTTTCAAAGTTGGAGAACTGGTGGATCTGGGAACTTCTTGGGCTTCTCGTTTCGGCAGCCTCCTTGATCGGAATTATCTTCATACTTGGGAAATACGACCAAGAAAGACGGCCAACTTGGTATTACCTTTCACTGAGCTCTCTGGTTTCCTGGTTGAGTACCGCTGCGAAAATTTGTGCTTTCATCCCGGTCAGCAGAGGACTTGGTCAGTTAAAATGGGTATGGCTCGCGGAGAAAAGACGTCCGCTCTCGGATCTAAAGGTGTTCGATTCGGCCAGCAGAGGACTTCTTGGGAGCCTTGAGCTTCTTTGGGAACTCAAATGTCGGTATGTCTTGGATTACGTTTCTACATACTACAAAACCGTTCGGTTTTGAACATTTCATCTTATTGCTCTAACCGAACTTAGGCACTTCGCTGTTTTGGGGGCCGTCGCCACTGTGCTTGGTCTAGCATTTGACCCTTTTATACAGAATCTTGTTCATTATTACGACGGCCAGATACAAGACACGTCACAGATCGCCCTCCTTACCAACTGTACGACGTACAACACCCGTGGGCCTCTTATGGGAGGGAATTGTAAGTAAAATAATCTACCTAAGAACTTCCTGTTTCTGGCATTCCCTCAGTTCATTACGAAGATCCAATCCTACATGCAAATGTCTACAGAGCCATTGCAAATGTGGAACAAGCAAATTCCTGGGCGACTCCGCAATATTTTTGCAGCTCAGGCAACTGCACCTGGGATCCAATTGCCACACTAGAGCTCCGGTCAACGTGTAAAGATGTTAGTGAGCGTCTGGAAATGGAATGCCATCCTGTAACAGCTACATTCGAAAACTGTACGGTTTCATTAACCAACGGTTCATCGTTATATTTTTACGTTGGCGGAAGCTTGAAACAGCCCATGGCGTTAAGTACAACTACAAGCCCACTAGTACACTCGAACACTTATTTTCCCGCAATACAGCTGATTCTGGCTCAAGGGATCGAGAAAAGCAAAGGGGCTGGAGCGCTAAATATTACCAAGGATACCATCTTCACGGCCACTGAGTGCATTTTGGAAGCGGGCGTTCGGAGCTTTCAAGCAGCTGTGAACAACTCAACTTATGAAGAAAAGGCACTTAACACATATTCGATAAAGTCTAAATCTACAGACGCTTCAATTTGGTCTCCACCATGGGGCCCTGAGTATGGTATGCAGAGAGGCCAGAACTTTTCAATCGATTCAGACACATTGAGAGATATGTTTTTATATCTTCATGGCACTTTCTCAGGCAGCGTTTCAGGAGCATCCGACTCTTTCCAGTTCCGAGGAGACCAGGAAACTGTCCGAGCAATCTTCTACGGGAACTATACAGACTGCAACACACCGGAGGATCCACTCGCCTGTGCTTTAAACAATACAGCCAAAGCGATCTCCAAGACATTCCAAGACGCAGCTTACAATGCCAATGGACCTGGAGGTGCAAGCATGACGGTCGGGAAGACAATGGTCACTGTTACCTTTGTACGAGTCAGCTGGTACTGGATTTCTCTACCGGTTTTCATCTGGCTGCTAAGCGCCATTACTTGGATTGGCACTGCATGGAAGACTCGGAAAACGAAAGTTGAGACTTGGCGCAACAATCCTATACCTCTTGCCTTCCTTTATCGCGAAAACGCTGAAAAAGAGAGTGTAGAGTATGGGATATCTGATGAGGCATATGTTAAGAGGGCTGAGAATATGCAGGTCAGGTTGCAGGTCGAGGGAAATAAGGCGAGTTTGGTTTGAGCAAGAATCTGGAGACGCAGAATCAGAGAAAAATGATAGTTGAGTTCATAGGCGTACATTCCATATTTGTACCAATGGTTCACCCAAATTTGCAAGCTGCATGAATTTGGCTTGGGTTTTATGCAGTTGTTGGACCGAATAAGGACCACATGCGATTAGACGTCTAATCAGCCGGATCAGGGCTCTGATCTGGCCAATTAGGGACGCTATACGTGGCCCGTACTTGATTAAAGCGATTAGACGTCTGATCTAGTATTATAGCGTAATTCGGGTATCTCTACTAACTCGACCCTTTAAAGGATCGATATATTAACACTAACCCGACCCGCGCATTTAGGGCGGGCGAGGAGGGAGTTTTTCTAAATATTTGGTATTCTTCTTTTTCTCTAATATTCCTCCTAAAATTTAGTAGAAAATCGCGGAGAATAGCTAAGAACGAAGAACTAAACTAACTCGTAGAAGCGCTGCGAATCGGCGTACACGGCCTACTCAACACCTGATTAGACGTCTAATCGGCAGGTGTACTCTATTCGGTCCAACACAGTCACATGTCAGCCGCAGCTGAGAAGCCCCGGTTGCTCCTGCATATGCGGGGTGACGTGGCGATCCTGCTTGTTCCCACTCCAAAAACACTCCAAATTTCCGTCATCAATCCCACCGGTCGCAAGCTTTGCTTTCGTCTTTGACTACTGATTCAATGGATCCCCTCAGTATTACTGTTAGTGTTATCGCCATACTTGACCTAACGACAAAGGTCTTTGGCTATGTCAACTCTGTCAAGTATGCTTCGAAAGAACGGAGGCAGTGCGCAATGGAGATGTCGTCAACTCTGGCTCTCTTAACGGAACTTCGTTACCACTTGGAAGACTCGAGCCCAAACACTCCATGGTTCGAATCTGTGTGCGCTCTCGATGGAAAAGACGGCCCACTTGGTCAATACAAGGCAGCACTCAAGGAGCTTGAAATGAAGCTTGAGCCACCCGAAGGATTCAAGAAAGCTGCCAAATCCTTGACGTGGAAGCTTAATAAAAGCGAATCCGACAGCATCTTATCTCGCATTGAACGACTCAAGTCATCAATCCATATTGCACTTGAACTCGACAATTTGTATGCTCCAAATCTCAATTACAATGCCTCACTAATGGTTTTCGATGGCTAACACTTGTTAGCAAACTCTCCCAGGCCACTCACGCAAAAGCCGAAACCATTTCCAAAGACACCTCTAGGCTTGTTTCCGAGGACGAAAAAAGGAAATTATTGGAATGGCTCTCGCCAGTTGACTATGCTTCAAAGCAATCTGAAATCTTCAAACGAAACCAAGCAGGAACTGGAAAGTGGTTTCTAGAATCGCCCCAGTTTCAGGATTTCCTTAATGGAAGCACATCTACACTCTTTTGCCCTGGAATCCCTGGAGCTGGAAAAACCATCATGTCATCTTTGGTAATCAACGAACTATGGAAGCGTTTTCCAGCCGGAGATCGAGGAATTGCCGCTATTTATTTTGATTACAAGAAACCAGGAGAGCAGACACTAGAGAGCGTGTTTGCTGGCATTCTCAAGCAATTGGTTCAGGCACAACCTGTAATCCATGGGTCTGTTGACAAACTGTACGAGGCACACCACCGGTCCGGTTCAAAACCGACAGTTGAGGAGCTTACAAGCTGCCTTTCATCTATGTCAAGAAACTACCAGCGTGTGTATCTAGTACTTGATGCACTGGACGAGAGTGATACTGTCACGCGGAGAAAGTTACTTGCAGAGATTGTAAAACTACAAGCTCAGGGATTTATACAACTGATGGCAACCTCACGACCCCTCCAAGACATCGTGGAGATGTTCAAGGGTGCTAATATTTTGGAGGTCAGAGCTTCCAAAGATGACGTTCGGTTATACGTTGAGAAAAACTTGGACTTCCTTGCCGATTGGGAGGATGCAGAGCTGGAAAAAAGGGTAGTTGAGGGGATCGTTGAAGCCGCCGATGGAATGTAAGTTTCCACCAAGCAGACACTTATATTCAGCCCCTATTGTTTTTACCCAGCATAAAATACAAAGGATATAAAATACTAACACTGCACTATGCTGTGTAGATTCCTTCTAACTCGACTCCATCTTGATTCTTTGGAAGACAAAGTGACATTGCGCGACCTCGAAGAAGCTCTAACGCGTCTTCCAAAGGGCTCTGAGGCTGTCTCCAAAGCATACGACAGCGCAATTGAGCGAATCGAGTTTCAAAAACCACGCATCCGGGGCCTTGCCCGACAACTCATATCCTGGGTCACACTTGCCAAAGAGCCACTTTCCTCCCGAGCACTAGAGCATGCACTAGCCATCGAACCTGGGGTCTTCAGTCTGGATCAAAAGCGGACACCAAAAATGAAGCTCGTTATATCTGCCTGTGCAGGTTTGGTTACAGTGGAGTCAGAACGCAACATTGTCAGGTTAATTCACTACACCGCACAAGAATATTTCGAAGCGAAGATACTGCAATGGATGCCGAAGGCGCTTGAAGACATTACTAACAGATGTCTCACTTATTTGATGCTTCCGGAATTTTCGAGGCCTGCACCAGCTTCCCTTTACAATGTTGCTTTCAAGCTTGAATCTGAGCTGATTTCCCCACTCGCACATTATGCGGCTCAATACTGGGGCAAGCATGCCCAAGGGATACAAAGCCAGGTCAGAGACTTGGCTCTGAAATTTCTGACAAGCAAGTATATTGAAAACTTGTCGCGATTCTTTCCGGTATTCGGAATCGGCAACAAAACGTTGACGGGGCTTCACCTGGCAACATTTTTTGGTTTATCAGAGCTAGCAGTTATACTGCTACAAAATGGTCACGCCCCGAACCCGAAGACCGATGATGGGATAACTCCCCTCACCATTGCAGTAAAAACTCGTCAAGAACGAATGATTGAGTTATTATTGACTTGGCCCACGGTTGACGTAAACATAAGAAGCGGTTTACAACAAACACCACTGCAGTGGGCATTAACACATCGAGACTCAGAAAAGATAGTCAAGCTCTTGTTGGAAAGAGCTGATATTGATCCTAATGCGAGATATATAAACAAGAATACGCCACTCATTGTTGCAACTATTCGGAAGAACACAGAAGCTGTTAGGCTACTTCTTGACCGGCCCGATACCGACCCAAATTTAAGAGATTTGCTGGGAAGGACAGCGCTGAGTTTGGCAGTCAGATATCTGTACACAGAAACTTTCATGATACGTCTTGACCGTTTTGGTATCCGCTCATATCCAAGAGATAGGTTGAGGAAGACACTGCTGAGCATGGCAGCCAGATATCGTCACACAGAAATTATCAGGCTACTTCTTCGCCGATCTGATGTTGATCCAAACATTAAAGACCAAGATGGCAGGACGCCTTTGATGCATGCGGCTTGTGGGGGGATTAAAGAAGTGGTTGAACTGTTGTTGAACCGCACAGACATCGACATCGAGAAAACGGATGATGAAGGAAATACGTCTTTGGTGATGGCAGAAAGTTGCGGCGAGAGAGATATCGTCGATCTGCTTCTACTTCGCGGAGCAAAGCTAGTTCATTACTCTCATGATAATTCCACTGATAAGAGCAGTGAAGGGTCAAATGAAGGAAGCGATGGAGAATCCGATGAAGACCAGTATTTCAGCACAGGTAGCAATGAAGAGACAGATGAAGATGATTGGGTATAATCAGAATGAGGCACTACAAGGGGGAGATATTTCGTTCAATTCACATCGAATTCACTAAGGTGCGGCCTACTCAGCGTAGCCTGCTTAGACCGAGTAGTTGTGAATGTGTTCATCCCCATGGTAAAACTTCATATCAACCAGCCAAAAGCTGTCAATAGGTAGGTACATCGAAAGTAGCTAAGATAACACTGGAAGGCCTTCATCCCCATACAAAACTGTCGCTTCCAACCCTACGTAGATGATACAATGGAGTTCCAAAGACTTTAATAGCGCCACTCGACGCAGTTGTTCACTGATTTGTCACTTTTCTTCCTTCGCACTGCTTAGAAGTAAAACAACCCTATGCATAGTGCAATTATCCAAGATGACTAGAATAAGCAACCCCACAGCTAAGACTAAGTAGGCGAATAACGACGGAAAACACACAACCCCCTCCTCGCAAAACCCCATCTCAGGAAGCCGCCGCCACCACACGACCAGAAACCACCGCAAGACCAAGAACCGCCGCAACCACAACAAAATCGTACAAAGGAGAAAAGACACAAGGCAGTCGCAACCAGAAACCCTTATCTGCATCCACCAACCCATCAACCTGACCGCCATCCCACGCATTTTCCTGGCAAACAACTCCAGCCGTGTTTGTCGAGCATCAGTCAGCGCCGAAGACGAACAACATCTATTTTTGATCGTGAGGAAGACCACCAAGGTCCCACCTTTGCTCCGCGGCGCGCAAATTGCGGAAGACGAGCCTTTTCACATCGAGTAGGCCATGATGGGTTGTGTAACGGCAGCAGGGCAACCGCTAGGGAGTGCTGTTTCCTGATATGGGCTCAGATAAAAGTGGGCAGCCAGCGGCAGTAGTGGTCGTAAAGAGGAGACCTAGGCAATACTGCGCTCGTAGCAGCAGATATATATAGCAAGTAGCGCACTGCGGTCCTGGGGAAACGCTTTCTAGATGTACGCTGCTGACGATGAATACTCAGTGCTACTAGGGCATGGAAACCCGGAAACGATCAGAATATACAACTAGCTGTTTCTTAAGAACACGCTTTACACATAGGCGTCTTAACCCTTATTTTTAGACGGCAGAATACACTTAAAACTAAAATACATCCTACTCCCTACAACTCTTCTACCTCCATAACGCTTCCTCTGAACCTCCCGCTTCCGCACCCCCCTCCCACATCACCAACCCTCTATTTTCCCAAACCCCAAGCATACTGCACTCACCCCACGACAAAGCACAGCACAGCAACCCAGCCCCAGCCACCAAGCCCCGCAACCAGCAAAACCCACCATAGCCATTCACTATCCTTTCCCACAACAACAACAACAACAACAACAAGGGTCCAGAAACAGACACAAACCCAAGTTTAAGCGCAAAAGTCTACGCAGAAAACATTGGGTTAAGTTCAGAAGAGTTACGACAAGGTATGAAGGCTGAAGACGCACAGCACATATCAACACACAATCTCTCAACACACACTCCCTCCCTCAACCAACCAACACACCCAACGAACTAACCCCTCTCCCTCTCCCTCCCCAACCCCTCTCCCCAACCCAACCACCGCCCTCCACCCACCCACACACACGTACACACACGTACACACACGTACACACGTACATAAGCAGCTCTATCCAAAGCACCGCACCCTCAACACCGACACCGACACAAACAACCACAAACACAGACAGACCAGACAGACATCAGCATACATAGCCCATAAAAAGGCCTCGTCACTCTATTGCAACAAACAAACAACAATGACAAACATGACAACAAGAACAACAAGAACAACAAACAACACCGCTAAAGAACAGACACGACAAAACAACAACAACAACAACAAAAGGCGAAGACAAAGGCGAAGATAAAGAAGGAAGAAGATGAAGAAGATGAAGAAGATGAAGAAGATGAAGAAGATGAAGAAGATGAAGAAGAACGAAGAAGAATGCGAAGAAGAAAAAAGAACAGAAAACACGGCGTAAACAGCAGCAGCAGCAGCAGAACAAGGCAGCAGGCAACATCATACAAACCCCGTCGCCTACCTCATTCTCATTCCCACTCCCACCCAACCCAACCCAGCCCAATCCATCCCGTCGCACATCCCGCATCTAAACCTTCATAACATCCAGCACACCCTCCCACTCGCCCCTAGCCCTACAATCCCAGTACCCCTCCTTCCCGCCCTTCAACCTCCACACCTCATCACCGCCCGCACTGCCCTCGCCGCCCTCGCCCCCACCAGAAGCGCCCTTGACCTTCTCAAAGAACCGCGGTTTCCACTCCTCGCCGCGCTCCTCCATGTCCTTTCTGCGCTGGCGCTGGGCCTCCTCCAACTTCGCCTTCAAGCCCTCCGCGCTATCCAGCTCCCCCTCCTCCACCGCCCGCTGATCGGGCCTCAAGCGCGAGTCCGTCGGCGCCAGCTTGCCTTGTTCTAAAGCCGAGATCTCGTTCAACGAGGCGGCAAAGGTCGTGAAGCCGTAGCGCTTTTCGGGCTGGTCGACCAGCGGGCCGACACTCCAGATGGGCTTGCCGCCGGAGGTCAAGGTGAGAGACTGCGTCCACTTGCCGTTCAAGCCGAGCGGCAGCGGCGCCGCCGAGCCCGGCGCAAACGCCTGCACGCTGACTTCCTCGCTGCGGCCCGCGAACATGCCGCCCGCCTTGAATGTCGCGACGGCCTTGGCGCCCGTGCTCTCGCACACGACCGTCATCGTCCCCACCGGCTCCACGTACTTCTCGCCCGCGATGATGTTGCGCAGAAACGACGTCGCCACCGTCCAGCTGTACTGCTCCGCGTCGGCCGCCGCGTCCTTGTCCTTCGGGTAGATGAAGACGCGCGCGCGCCCGTCCGTGTTCAGCTCCGCGCTCTTGCCCCAGAACTTCTGCACCGGCATCGGGCTCTGCATAAACGTCCACGACGCCGCTTCCGCCTGGCACGCCATCCGCACCGGCCGGTGCGACACCTTCTCCGCCAGGAACCGGTAGCCCTTGTCTTCGCGCACCAGCTCAAACGTCTCGCCCAGCATGGGGTTGAACGGCTTGCGGATCGCCCGCTCCTTGACGCGCGAGTTTGAGAACGACGAGATCGCAAACGCCATCACGTACAGGATGCGCGACCCGTCGTCGGGGTTGGCCGTCGCGGCCGCGTCGAGCAGCTCGCTGTACTCCATCTGCTCGGCCACGCGCTGCAGCAGCGACGTCGGCTCGTTGGCCGAGACGGGCATGGCGATGGTGCTGAGATCCTTGCCGACGTTCTTGCGCAGGAAGGCAATGAGCGACGGCGGCGCCTGCTTCGGCGCGTTCACGTTCTTCCTCCTCTGCACCGTGTCGGCCGGCAGCGGCGTGAGGTCCTTGGCCCTCGACGGGTACATGGATAGCTGGCCCTCTTTGTCTTTTTGGTCCATGGCTCCGGCCGCGGCATCGCCCTCGCTGCTGGCTTCAGATTCGCCGTCGCTGACTTCGTCGGTAGCCTCTTCGTCGGGCTCGTCCGAGTCACGACGGATCTGGAGGAATTGAGATTTGGAGGGTTCTTGCGAGTCGTCGCCGCCGGTAGCGTCGAAGAACTCGTCGTCAGATGCGCTGTCAATGCTCTTGCGGGCCTCGGCGACAGGGGTGGCGGTGGTAGTGGGAGCACGGCGCGACCTGCTCTCGGCAAGGAGGGTGGAGAATTCGGAGACGACCAAGTCGAGATCGCGCAGAATGGCGAGGACATGTTCGTGGATGCCCGTCTCGTCGGCCGAAGCGGCGGGCTTCGGCACGGTGAGCGACGTGGTCGGAAGCGCCGGAACGGGAGGGATGCTGCCGGGAACCGGGACGGATGTCTGCGCGCCCGAAACGCTCCTCCTGCCGGCAGTGCTGGACTTCCGCTTCCAAAACCCTCCCGACTTGACCGATCTTGCGTCGTCGTCGTTTTTGTTGAAATAGTCGCCAGACGCCGCCGATTCCGACTCGGCGGGGCTGGTGACCCCACTGATTCCACCCTTGACGCTGCTGGCCCCCGACGTGACCGAAGATGGAAGCAACTTCGCCTCCGTGTCCTTGGCCAGCCGGCGCACCGCGTCCCTCGTGCCTGACACCCTGCCCACCAGCGCTTCAACCTTGCCCCATTCCCGCACCTCGAGTTCCGCGCTGGCCTTCTGCGTAGATGGCCAGTTGTAATCTTGGTTGGCCGGGTCCTCAGGGGGGCTCGGGGCCGTGCCGGCCTGCTTGCTTGCCCTCTCCAGCGCATCCTTCCACTCGTCAAAGTCCTTCTTGTTCGTGGCCTTGAGATGCCAAACTTCGGCCCCCGAATCGACCGAGATCTCTCTCGTCATCTCGTTGGCGCCGATGGCGGCGAGGGACAAAGGAATGGCACCGCGCAGGGCCGACGACTGGCGGCTCTGATAGTATGAGAGGGTGCTGGACGTGAAATCGAGAGAAAAGAAACGTCGCGCATAACCTTGGTTGCGCTTACGGCGCTTCTTCATAAGCACACCCGTGTAGAATAGCGAGCCGCCGGGAGTCGTGGCCTCAGCGATGTGGCGCGACTTGGGGCGCGGGTCAGCGGCAATGGTGGTCGAGGGGTCGCGATCGAGTGACTCAGTCGAATCGCCAAACTCGGCACCTGAGAGAGCCGTCGGGCTGCGGCCAAGGCTGGTGGAGCTTTCGCCGAACTTCTGCGAGAAGTGCAGGTGGTGTCCGGACTTGGGCGGCGCGTTGGTCGGGTGCGTCATGAGCACAAACGTCGCCGTCTTCGCAATCTGCTTGCTGAATGTGTTGTCGAAGACCAGCCCGTACATGCCACCGTCGCCCTCGGGCACGTCGTAGCGTCCCATGCTCACTTTGTCGGCCTCGCACCGCCCCGTCCATGAGACCTGCCGTAACCCTAGCCTCACCAGCTTGTCTACGACCGGAGGGTCATTGCGTCCAGAGTTGCTCGAGGCGCGCGGGCGTGAGGCTGACAGGTCGAGGCCCGGCGCGTCGATCTTGGCTTGGTCGGTCGAGGGCAAATTGGGCGTCTCGCCATTCTTGGTGCCGGGGTGCTTGAAGATGCCAAAGTTGAGCGACTTCTTGTGCGGCTGGATGCTCCAGCTGATCGTGTGGCCGGCGGGGACGTTGATCCAACGCACGAGGTAGGACTTGCGGCGGCGTGTCAGCAATGAGCGAAGAGACCGGGGCGTGGGGAGGGAAAGCGGTGGTGTACCTTGCTGTGGATCTGCAATTGTTCCATACCGGCCATGGTGAATGATGCTACAACTAAGGGACGGACCGGGGGGAGGAGGCGGAGGACTCGCGTTTAAGTTGCGGGCCCAAGACGGGGAAGGGGTGTGGGTCGGGGCTGCTCGGCTCGCCCGAGTCATGAGGCTGAAGAGGATCAACACGTCTTATGTAGGGGCTGGCCCCAAGGCCCTAAAAATATCCGTAATCGTTTAGTTATAATTTATTTCCGCTTGCTGCGCCAGGGCGCTAGGCGACGGCTTCTCCCTAGTCAACGGCTTGGGCCAGGCACCGTGAAGAGGGGGATCCCAGCCCAGGCCCTTCTACCCCGCTGCTGCGCCCGCCCTCGTCACCGTCACCGCCACCACCACTCCTTCACGCATGGCACCACTAGATTTCATATAGCCGCAACCGAACGAACTACTAGGTATTCGAGCCCTCCTTCCTCCCGCCTGCAGTCCTGCAATGCCACCAGCTCCGGAATAATAAAAAACAAAGCTGCAAAAGTGAAAGCAATAGAAGAGGGAAGAAACGAACCAAAGCAAGCAGAACAAAGAGAAGCGAAAATCGAAACTCAAAAATAAAGGAAAAAGGGGGGGCAAGGGCAATCAAGAGAAAGAGAAACAAAACAAAAAGAATCCATCAACACCGCCCGGCCCAAACCACCACGCCGTTGCTCCATCGCTTGCTCCAAAGCATGAATCCCCGACTCGCGCGAACCTGGCAATGATATAATCGACTAATAAGAAAGAAAAGAAGAAGCGGTCGGGTCTGCGATTCAAATAGTACAAAGAAAGGGAGTGAATGGAGTGGTAAGTTGCCGTCGTCCTCGGCCAGGGGGACGCCGTGTGAAGTGGGGGAATATCCATCGTGCCATGCCGTGCCAATGCCTCGCCATTGCAAAAAGAAAAAAGCCATCTCGAGAAAAGTAGGTCAAGGGGCCACCTTGGAGCGCAGAACAGAACATGGGGCCGTGCGTGGGGTGCGCGCCGGGAATGTAAATTAGTCTGAGTATAGGGGTACTGCTGATGGATAGGTATGGTGAGATAATGAGTATGAAGCAGCCGAACGAAGGCATAAAAGGGTAGTTTTTGGTGCGAGACCTAAGAAATCAATCAAGCGCCCAACGAACTAAGGATGCGCATTGCAAGCGCGCCCAACAAAAGAGAAACGAAAAGTCTGAGTGACGGGTGCACCTCACTGCGTAGGGTAGTAGACCATCCCTGCTTGAGGCACCTGTGGGTAATAGTAGCCGTCCGGGCTGGGCGTCATCATGCCGCCCATGCCCGGTACTGTGTAACTAGCTGGCGCATATCCCTCGACGGGTGCGTACATTTGCGACGGATCGTAGTAGTATACCATGCCGTTCGACTCGTGAGCGACCATGTTGCCTTGAGCAGGGGCACCAGGAGGAGCAGGGGCAGGGACAGTCGTTGCGACAGTCGGTACGGGGTACGCGCCTTGCTGAGGACCGGGCATGAACATCGGTACGACTGCGCCAGGAGGGTATTGTGGGGCAGCCGTCGGTGCTGGATAGTAAAAAGTGGTCCCGAAAGGTTGAGGCTGGTAACCGGTTGGATACGGCTGGAATGGCTGCGCATGGATTGCGCGCTCCGGAATGTTTGAGAGAGGAGTGCCAGTGGATGCCTGAGACGGGTACGAAGCCTGGCGGTTGTGGTCCTGCCCATTCATGTGAGTGGGCACCTGCTGGTGGAATGGTTGCTGCTCCTGTTGTTGCGGAGCGTGCACGGCGAGAGACGCGGGCGACTCGATGCCGGCCACAGATACAGTCTTTTGAGGCTTGGGCTGATGCATCGTGAGCGGCGCCGCCCAGTTCTCACGATAAGCTGGCCGCTGCGGCAGTGGGTAGCCTTGCTGCGGAGGCATGTTAACGACAGGCGTGCCTCCTCCGTGCACCGATGCCGGCTGGCTTGGTGGCCCAGATCCTGGATAGTTTGCACCTGGCAGGCGGACGACAGGTCTGTTGTCCATAGGCCCACCCGGTGGCCTTGACATGACCGAGCCGGCGGGAGACACAATACCATCACCCCGATATTCCCTCGCCAGCGAAGACCGTCTGCTCAATGCTACGCTCGGCGAATAGATGCTTCCTCCATAGGCGCTGGTCCTCCGGCTGGAGAAACCGCCGTACGAGCCGAAGCGCCCTCTTCCTCTTCCAAAGCCTTGCTGATTTGGCCGCAGTGCGCGAGGTATGAATATAAATGATCTCTCGGTCGCGGGGAATATGTATCGCGGGGGTTGTTCTGGGAGCGAGATGCGCACGGGCTTGTCGCGACGGAGCGGGGGGCGGTGGTTGGGCAGTCTGGTGTACTCCTTGATCGGCACGGCAGAGAAGTAGATGGGCGCTTTCATGCCCGGTATGGAGACGCGAATCCGGGCATTGCCGATGTGTTTGGTGGACGAAAAGGACTTGACGGGCGGAGTCTGGGGTTGTGGCTTGGCGCCCTGAGCAGGCGGGTTTGCCAGCTGTTGTGAGCTGTCCTCTGTTTGCTTGGGCACAGGGGCGGGCTGCGACTGAGGTTGCGGCTCCTCGAGCGTTTGGTGCAGGTCGTGGGTCCATGGCGCGCTCGTAGCCTCAGCTTCGCGGGCCATGACGCTGCGGGAGAGAGTAGAGTTAGCGACGGCGGAGGTGACAGCTGTGATGATGACGTACCTGGCCGGTGAGAATGGACCACCGACGCTGCCACGCCCGCGTCCACGGCCTCTGCCGTACGGCCTGAAGCCGTTTTGGTTGGCGCCCGCCGAGCGGTGGTCGTGCATGAAGAAGGCGCCGCGGTTGGGGATGAAGGCCGGATCCTCGTCGCGCTTCTTCTTGTACTCCTCGTGCTCGCGCCGCCGACGCTCGGCCATTGTCTCTTGCTTTGCGCCCGCGGGCTGCGCGGGGGCTGACCGTGCCACGGCGGGCGCCTCTTGCGCAGCTTCTCCGCCCAGCGCCTCAAAGTCCACGCCATCGTCGTCGTGGCCGATGTCGAGGCCGTTCATCATGGCCTCAGTGTCGGCCATCGGGGCAAACGTCGAGGCCGGCTCGGGTGCCTTTGCTCTTCCATTCGAGCGTCTGGCGTGCCCGTTCCGCGTGGCGACCGACTCGGCGTCGCTGAGGTCGCTGGCGTCGGCATCGGCGTCCTCGTCGCTCAACAGAGAAGCCTCGCTCTGCGACTCGTCGGCGCGCTCCGTGGCCCCTTCATCTTCCTCAGCATCGCGCCTGCGCCGTCTGAGAAGATCGCGGCGACGAGGAGGGGCCATGGTGCGGTTGAGTATGGGTGGCGTTGCGGGTCGAGGGTGGAGTTGGAGCGTTCTGCCTGCAGGTTAGAGAAACTACCTTGGGACGTTTCGGCGGGTCTTGGCAAATCATGTCATTGTCGTTTGCGCGCAGCCTAGCCCTCCCGCGTCACGAGATTTACGCTACTTTTATCCTGCCATCATTCGCGGGCCCTGAAGCTTCTCGAACCGCTCGGCGTGCATGACCATGAGCTGTCAAGCCTCACCGGTCCCGTTGATTCATCGGGCCCCTATCCGCTGCCGCGGCACCCAACCCCCCCGGCCTGCCACGCCCTCATCAGAATTGCATCTGTATTAGTGGCTTTCTATCTGCCTGTTCATACGCTCTCCTTGCCCAGCTTCGCCAGCTCGCTGTTGATGAAGTCGTCCGCGTTGACCAGCTCTGTGCTGCCATACACCACCCGCCGCCTGGGACCACTCCCGGGCGCCCCGTTCCCACTCGTTCGCTTCGCCCAGTCCTGCAGGTTTCCGTACTCTTCCATGCTGCCTCCGCCGACCGTAAATACAATCGCCTCGCTGAACCCCTGTCTCCTCTGCCCGAAGCTGGCCTCGATGCCGCGCCCCATGCCGCCAATGCCTCCTTGCTGATTTCTCGCCTGGCTCGCGGGCGGCATGGTGCCTCGCGCGTTGGCGCTGCGAGGATCGAAATACAGGTAACTCTCCGTCTTTGCAATGGCCGACGACGCCGCATTCTGCGGGTCCATCAAAGACTCCGTTATCTTTGTGAGCGTCAAGTCTTTGTTGGCGGGAAGGAAGTTCTTCACGCCGGAAACCAGATTCTCAAAGTTGGAGCCAAGACCAGCATCCTTGAACCGGTCAGTGAGGCGGTTGGATAGAGAGCTGAATCCTCGGAAAAGATCGCTGGATGCTGACGACTGAGCTGGTTGCGCGGGAGCAGACGACATCATTGTCATGCGGGTGATTTCGCGAACGCTGTGATAGGTTAGCACTGTATTGGAATGACGAAAAGGTGCAGCCTTACGTTTTGACGTAAGCGAGGGAAGCAGTGTCGGCGCCTGCAGCTCGCAATGCCTCGTCGAAGCGATCCATGTCAGCTCTGGAAACCTCCTGCTCCGTGCTCAGGAACCAAATGATGAACAAACGGAGTTTGTCCATAGGATCGTTGCCCTTGTCGTTATCTTGAACAAGCTCCAAGATCTGTGCTTTAGACTGCTTGGTGATGTTTTCCTCAAGCTGGAAGTAATTGTCCAGTTGGCGGTCTTTAATGGCCTTCAAGAGAGCGGTCAGGATACTCATGTGCATGTCGAGAAGTCCCTTCCGCTCTCTCAGCTCCGGAAGCAGCGTAATTGCAGCGCCAAGTTGCTTCACCGACGCACTGCTATCGTTCTGTAGATCATCCAGCGAAGCAGCGCCCGTCTTCTTGGTAATCTCGTCTGAATCTTGCTTGTACTTCTGCAGCTCCGTATCAATCGCCTCAGCGACGTTGGGGAAAGGGACGCCGGCGTTCTTAGCCCAAAAGAAATCGTTCGCGTTGAGATCATAAGACTTCTTGGTCATGCCTCTGGCCGGGTTTGTTTCGTCCACCGGCAGTTCCACAGTAATTCGATTAAGGTGCATATGGAGGACGTCGTGTACAAGAGATTGGTATGTCCAGGAATGAGACAACATAGGTATCAAGTCGACATTTCGGTCAACAATGACAAGCACCGGTCTGGACGATGGCGCCGACCCAGATGCAGACGTCTTCTGGTTCGCGCCAGAGAACAGGTTATCTTTGGAATTTAAGATGTGATCGCGGAGCTTGCGGTCGAGCTTGGCTGAGATCATCTCCGCAGCGCCACCCTTAGGGCAGCGAATGATAGGAATCGTGCCTGCGCCAAGTTAGCCACCAGCTTCAGCGAAGGCGTTGGTGCACGTACCCATAGTGACCACGACGCTAAACAAGCCGCTCACAATCCTGTCCACGGCGCTGTCCAGCTCTTCGTCCTTGACTTGCGCGCTGTTAAGCGTCCAGTATGATTCCTTACCCATGCCCAAGCTGAACAGGTCGGGCTCGCTGACAATGAAGTTCAAGTATTGGTCGTAGATCTGCGCGAGGTGCTCGGCCGTGCCATGTTCGGCTGTTTTTGCAGCGAAATCCTCCAGCAATGGCCGTGGTATTGAGGCGAGGAAGTTGACATAAGCGGGCGAGTATAGGCCGCGCGAAAGGTCGGAAGTAATAAGCTCTAGGTTGTGGGCGGTCGGCTCGACCAGGTAAATGACTGGGACGTCGGGTATGGTGTGGCGGGTGGTGTTAATGCTCCTGGACAGAGGGGTCAGTATGGGCCATGACCGGACGGCGGACAGACAGCACGTACAGGTGTATCGTCACGCCCCAGCTGCGGAGGTCGTTGACGCGCAAGACGCTGCTGATGACGTCCCTGCCTAGGGAGTCGAAGACCAGGACCTTCCAGATGGGCTGGCCATTTTGGTCGAGGATCGGGGTGGAGCGGGGCAGCAGGCCGGTGGCATTGGGGTCATGGTGGTCGTCGGAGGACTGGTCGTTTTGCTGGTTGAGGTTCAGGATCTTCTCGATGGAGGCTGCAGGCGCACGTCAGCACAACGGCCAGGCCGGTCCGCATGAGGCGTCGACCTTCGCGGCTTACCGACTTGCCTGTCCCGCAAGGAGTGGTGGTGGTTCGGGGCGGCCATGGTGCCAGTCAGCACATGCTGTCGCTAACAGAAGTCGGGGAGGGAAGGGAAGCTGTAGAGAGGCCACGGCGATGCATTCAGCTTGGGATGCTGGCGGTTTCGGGCCTAGCGTCATCCGCACGTGCACGCGCCGCTTATTTCGAAGGTCGTCGCTCGCCCGCCGCTCCTCCCTCCTTCATCCCCAAACAACCCCCAACTCGCGCACCCGTGGACACGTCTTCATCCTCTGTTCGCTCCCTTGACGCTGCCCCCATCATAGTGACCTTCGCCTCATTGCGGGCTTAAAGCGCCTGACGTGCCAGATAACTGGCGTCCTTGTTGGTGCCGGAGGGTTTTCTTCTGATCGCCGTGGCAAGGTTTTTCGCGGGACAGACAGCTGAAAGTGTCGCACACGCAAGCAGTGACGCCGAACCTCGCAACAGAGGCGCGCGCTGGCAATAAGTCACTGCGCAGAGGCAGGCAATTGCGCCAAGGCGACGGCTGGGGCCTGACTGGGGTGTTCTGATCATTTCCGCAATCGACGCAGACAGACTTCGCCATCGCTCGCCGCCTCAGCTCGCACAAAGACGCGCACCAGACCGCACGCTTTCCGCCTAGTGCCCTGACGCTGCGTAATCACTGAAACGGGCTAGCTGCTTACGTGCTTGGGTCTCTGGGTCACTGGGTCATGGCGTCGGATCACGTGCAGCTCGAGGAGCCCCATCCGGGCCAGCAGATGTTTGATGGCTTTAATGATCTCTTCCCCGCCGCCGCAAATGATCAAGCCTGGTCTTCCTTCAGCCAGAATCCGCAGCCCTGGCAGCAGCAGCAGCCGCCTGCCGCCTTCGAGAACTCCGCCTTCTACGGCCGCGCCTTCTCCAACAGCCCCACGCCCTATCACCTCGCCCACCATGGGAATCTGCAGCAGCAACCCTTCTCGCAACAAGTGCTGGACCCCGCCCTCATGTCCGCCGGGGCCGCCGACGCCTCTGAATACGACTTGAACATGCCCTCTTATCCCGCTTCGTCCAGCACCATCGCGCCCCAGGCCCTGCAGTCCGTCTACCCCAGGGCCACGCCCCCCACGACGGCTCAATATGAGGTACGCGCCTTTGATTCTTAAACCTACCTATACTCCGTTCCCCCGCTAACCGCTTTCCCTTCAGGCTCCTCCCAAGCGGAACAGCGCCAGTAATGGCGCCTCCGCCTCCGCCCCAGTCCCTGCTGCAGTTAACTCTCCTGCGCCTGAGCCTTCGCCGGCTCCCGCACCAGCCCAGATTCACTTACCAGCCCCTAAGGGCCTTGTGTCCGGCAACTTTATCATCGTTGACTATGACGAACTGTCCAAAGCCACCAACTCCACGCGTCTCCATGAGTTTGTGAACATTGGTGATGGTGCCGTTGAAATGCCGATGATGAAATGTAAGAGTGGTTCCTTCCATGAATACGGGACCATCATGACTAATGCTTCAGCAGCGTCCATCCCACAATACACCCCCAGAAAGTCGCGCAACGAGCTTAAGCGACTGGCTGCGTCAGACAGCAAGTTGTTAGGTAAGTCAAAATGCTCCTATAATCTAAATTTTGTACTCATGTTCTGGTAGCGAGAATCGCAAAATCATCTAAGAAGGCCAAGACCACCACACCAAAACTTCCGCGGTTCAAATCGCCGTCTACTGGTATTAGGTCTCCCGCAAGCCTGAGAGATGATGTCACGGACTCATCCAGTGAGACTGAATCCTCGGATGATTATTCTGACTATGACTCCTCGGATGATGAGGAGCCTGAGCTCTCGCCTTTGCCGAGCACCAGGCCTTCTGGCACTCTTCCGGGAGTGCGCTACGACATAATGAAGGCTACGTGGCGGCCGCGTAACAAATTTATTTCAGCTGACGATATTCGTGCCGGTCTCTTAGATTTCTGGGAGATTATTAAGAACATCCGTGATCGCTGGAAGGGAGATTTGGCTGCCCTGAAGGCAGCTGAGGAGAAGGAGAAGCGTCCACCTGACTTCCACGAGCTCAAGAGCAGAGTCTCTGAGCAACGTGGCAAGATGGAAATGGCCGTGAAAGTTGCTCTTGAACATGGTCATCCAGACATTATCCGAACGTAAGTCTTAACCCCTATCTGCACCCGCCCCTGGCCCACTTCAGGACGCTGCCCATGACGGCCGCTTTCCCTGCTGTTTCATGAGCGAGGTCACTTCTAGCGAAGATGGTCGTTTGATATAGCCGCTCGGGAACCATGTTTCTCGACGAGCCTCTATGCATCGTGATTAAGGCAGCAACGCGGCATATGCATTTTGCATAGACTAGTCTTGCGCTTTTTGCCCTTGCTTGAGCGCAGCAGATAGATTAGCTCTGCTTTAATAATGGCGCCCATGAATGAGCCGCCTGTGTCGATGAAGCATTATGATGCTGAGTCGCACTATCACGACCTCGCGGGCACCGGCTGTCATAAGGCCTCCTATTTAAAATTTCGTATACTGACCCAAACTCCACAGACTTGGTGGCAATGTCTCATTCTTGTTCGTCGCATACCAGTTCTTGGCAGACCGCATTAGAGAGAATGAATACAACGATGCCTTCTCGAAGTCCATCCTTGAGGTACATAACCCTCTGTCCAACTCTAATTTTAAACATAATTGACATGATCGGTAGCTACTGTCCCGCGTCGGGAACATCATGAGCGAATCGCTCGAAAAGACCAAGCTCAACACGGCATTGAAGAGGTATCTCACTCGCGGCGACGACAAGACCAAGCCGCAAGCTCAGGCCATTTTCGACCGAGCTACTGCAAACTCGAAGAAAAAGGCCGAAGAGAACGCCCCCGCTGCTCCAAACGGCGAGCAGAAGGCCGACGCTAAGAAGGAAAACGGCATCAAGAAAGAGGGCATCAAAAAGGATGAGTCGAAGACGAAAGCGGAGCCAGCATTGGCTACTCGCCCTCAACCAGCAGCCGTTGCGGGAGTGAAAAGGCCGCGGCCGGGAGAGGCCGCCGGCGCTCAACCGGTAAAGAAAACGGCCACATCGACTGCTGGCACCAACGGTTCGGTGAAGGCGGGATCCGCCGCGGCGCTCGGCCCGAAACGTCCCGGGGCGGCAGGCGCCTCGACCGCATCCGCAGCAGGCGCGACGGCCGCTGCCAAGCCCAAGCCCATTGCAAAGCCCAGCATGTTTGCTAGTCTCCAGTCTGCATCGAAGAAGTCGGGTGCTGCAGCTACGGCAAAGCCTGCTACTGTTGCCGCCGTGAAGAAGCCTGCTCCCGCTCCTTCTTCTGCTCCTAGATTCTCTTTTGCCGAGACCATGGCAAATCTGACTAAGCCCAAGGAGGAAAAGCCGGCCGCGAAACCCGAGGACAACCGCCCGCCAGAGACCGAGGAAGAGAGGACGAAGCGCCTCCGCAAGGAGGAGCGCCGTAAGCTTAGAGTCACCTGGAAGCCGGAGAAGGAATTGGAATCCGTTCGGTATTTCACTCATGATCCCGACGAGGAGCTTGGCCACGATGCCAACATGGTGCGTGATGTTGCGGATGTCGGTGGGGAGGGTCGCATGTTCAAGCAGCATAAAGATATGATGGATCTTGACGAAGATGACGATCGCCTAAGCGAAGAGTCATTCCGTCCCTGGCGTGAGCCTTCACTCGTTGATTTCAGCGCTGTCCCCAAGGAGGAGCGCGAGAGGAATTACGAGCCGTACGGTGGTGGGGCAAGGAAGGTCGAGTCACAGGAGAGAGAGGTGCAGGAGCAGCGCGAGGCTACTACTCTGCTGGTCTTCTACACCAACTCCTCGGACATCCCGCCATGCCCGAAGGAACCCACCACCGAGGAGGTCCCGGAGGAAAACAGGGAACCAGTATTGTTTGGCACGCCCGACGAGAAGACGCTGGCTCGCGCCGCGACCTTCGCACCCCCCGCTGCTGTTGTGCCTTCTTCTGCGCCCGAGACACCCGGTGCTCCCGACATCTCCAAGATTCTGGCTATTCTCGGCACCGCCCAACAACAGCCGCAGCCGGTACAGGCTCCGGCGCCCCAGCCTCAAAGCGAGTTGGAAAAGACATTTTCCATGTTTGCGCCGCAACAACCTCAACAACCCCAACAACCGCAAATGCAATTCACCCCGGCCCCTGCTCCCGCACCAGCCCCTCAAGTGGACATCCAGGCCATCCTTGCAACGCTCGGCAACATGCAGGCGCAAACCCCCGCGCAGAACCAGCCGCAGCAGCAGGCACCCCACCAGGCGGCCGCTTTCCCCGGGATGGCGAACCCAGGATTCGATTTCGCAGCGATGTTGCAGGGCGTGCAAAACGCGGGCATGCCGCCCGCCATGTCGGGCTTCGGCGCCGCCTTCCCGCAGATGCAGCAGAGCAACGGCGGGCAGCCGCTCATGTCGCAACAGCAGCAGTTTCACGAGGAGGAGCGCAAGCGGACGCGCGACGGCGGCAACGACGGCCGCGACGGCGACTTTAAGCGCGGCAGGAAGAACAAAAAGTGGCCGAGTAATAAGGAGAAGCCGCAGTTTGTGGTTGCGTGCAGGTTTTGGCAGGAGGGCAAGTGCGCAAAGGGCGATAGCTGCACGTATTTGCATCACTGAGTGCGGCGGCCGCTGGTTATGGGGTTTCACTCTACTACGTACATCACTCCAAGCTCTCTACGACACGCGGGAAGTGTCATTTTCTGCTTATTGAGTGCCACACACACACACACACACACACACACTCCGCCGTCCACTCCACTCCATGCGACTTGCAAACCATGCGTGCAACACCGACCAGCGCTACAACTGCAACGACGACATATTCCCGGGCGGGACTAGGTACTTTTTCTTTCTTGCTTTCTTTAATCAACAAGCGCACAGTCTCTTCGCGCTTTGTACAACACGATATCACATGCATGCGGCCTCTTTGCTTTTGCGCTCGGCATACCTGCTCTGTTGCCTCGGGCACTACTACGCATTCCGGCCGCTCTGGCCTGCTTATATGGCTTTCAAAACAGGTCTTCCACTTCTTTCTCTTGTTGCTTCTCTTTCGACTTTTTTCTTTTTTTTTCAAACGACTGCATAACGAATGGATCGGAAAGCGGGAGAGCGACGAAGCGTTCGCCGAACTCGCATTTGCTTGCTTGCTTGCCTGCTGGCCCAACCCAACTTCTCTTCTCTCCTCTGTTGCACGGAGCGGACACAGCACGTGCGCACACTTGGCGGCTACACACCACACCACATCACGTTGCATTCACGACCTTCGGGCGTTTGGCCGCCGGTCTTGCTCGCCTCCTCTTCCTCCTCTTTCTTTTCACACGCTACGACCGCCCTCCCTCACTGGCGCGTCGGCGCCAGCAAGCAGGCAGCGCGTAAGTGTCCTGCACGCTGAGATGGGATGACGCGTGCGCTGGGTGGCTGGGTGCTTGTTCTCGCGCTCTCTTTACGCGGCAAAATAAGGCGCTCTTCTGGTGGGATGGGGTGGGGTGGTTTGGGTTTGAGTGGTGCGGTTCACTCAGTTCAATCAGTCACCTTCGGTTCGACTCAGTTCGGTTCGGTTCGGTTCTTGCGGTAGGATGGGATGAGGGTTAGTTTGGTTTTCTTTTCTTTTCTTTTCTTTTCCTTTTCTTTTTTTCTAATTGCGACGGGCGGGGTATCTACTTACCACGCGCTCTACTGCTCTACTACTACGTACTAGGCACGCTATACGCATGGGTTGGGCTTGCTTGCTTGCGTTTTCTGCTTCTTCTGCTTCTTCTGCTTTTTCGACTTCTTCTGCTTTTTCGACTTCTTCTGCTTCTTTTTCGACTTCTTTTTCTGCTGCGAAGGGTGAAGGGTATGGGTTAGGGTTGATTGAGGTTTAAGGTTTGAGGGTTCCGTTTGTAACATAGCTTACGCCTGCCGAGACGAATGATGCTGGTTCTGCTGCTGCCTTGGACTGCTGTTGTGTGAGTGTGGGGTTGTCGTGATAGTTACTGTGATGGTGTGGTGGTTGTGTGTGTGGGTGTTCTGATGAGCTGCGAGATGTGCATGTTGTTTTTTGTTTGTTGCTGTTGTTGCTGTTGTTGCTGTTTGTGATGGCGTGGTGGGTGGGTGTGATGGTGAAGGGATAGTACCTAGCATCTAAGGATACTAGAAGTACGTAAAAGCACAAATGTAAAAGTCTAGGAAATTTAAGGTACACAGATATGAACATTCGAAAGTGCAAAACTATCCTATAAAAGCACCCACACAGTCCCAGCACCTCCTCATCTAGCCCCAGCACTCACTCAGCAACCTAAGAACGGGCCCCTGGTTTGATATTAGGCTCTACGAGGCGTATTCATACAAGACTAAAACTAGCTTAGCCTCCCCCATCTTTAACAATACACACTCCTTCAAAAAGAGCAAGGGCCAAAGGAAGTTTATGTCCACCATCACCCGCACACAGTGAAAAACAGCAGCATCTATCGCAGTAGTTAGTGCACACCACCACTACAGCAAACACAAACAATCACAACTCAACCCACCGCAATCCATTACGTGCACTGTACATTTGCCAAAGCCAAGCGCCCCCGACCCCTTTGCCCAAACGATAGGTTGTGTACAGTAGTCGTATCGTACTTTGTCTTGGAACCCCACCTCGCACCAAGGCAGTAGTAGTGAAGAAGGATGTTTAGGCCAGCACTACACGCTTATATATATAGCTTGTTGTCTGTAGGAGGGGAGTGCTGTATATACGTCACACACATAGCACCTCACACATAAGTGGTACAGCGCAGCACGCAGACACAGACACAGACAGACAACACACCAATCTCTCCATGCACTCATCTCATTCTCATTCTCATTCATTTTCCGCCGGCCGATCATGCACGCAAAAATATACGCGTACCCAGTGTAGTAGTCGGTAGTAGGAGCACCAAGTCTGTATACCCCCTCCCCCCAGCCCCAAAAAGAACGCCTCCCTACCTATAATTCATAATCCAGAACAGCAGCAGCCCAGCCAGCTTTCGCTTTCAGTCAGCCAGCCAGCCAGTCAAGCCAAGCCAAGCCAGTCGTCCAAGCCCATAGACGCGCCAAACCCCCAACCCGAGCACCAAGTCATCAAACCGCACGCACGCGCTCAAGCTCCTCAAATCTCAACGTCGATCCCCAGGTCCATCGCCCCGATGAGGTCGTCATCCATGGTGCGCTTCTTGAACGTCGGCAGCCCCTTCTTCTCCACCTTCTTTCCGGGGCTCTTCTTCTCGCCGTTGGCTGGGGTGCCACTGCGGCTAAGATCGCTTCCATCGAAGAGAGCATCGAGGTCGCCCGTACCCGGCACTTCAAGCAGCTTTTTGCGTTCCTCTTCCTCCTTCTTTGCCTTGGCTTTTGCAGCTGCCGCCGCCTTCGCCTTGTGCTGCGCGATGAGGGCCTGCCGCACCTCCTGCGCGTTCTTCTTGCGGTTGGCGTTGTTGAGCGCTGCTAGTCTGTCACCTTGGCGGTTGATAACCGTCGGCGTCGATTTGGTGACGCCAGTCTTCTCCGCGGCGAACTTATTCTGTCGGCGCAGCTTCTCAGCCACTTCTTCTTCGGTCCAGCGCCGGTCGAGCAGGCGGTGGATGTTCTCGAGGTTGTGGAGGAGCTTCTTCTTTGTGGGAATCTTTACACCGTCCCCCTCGGCAGTGACCTTGTAGCGGTTGAACTCGGACTATCGTGTTGTCAGTAGGCGTATCTTGTAGAAGACTTTGGCTGAAACTTACGTCTGAGAACCTGGAGTCGGAGCACATGATGAAAGGCCACTCCTTCTCAGCCTTGCCATGGGCGACGAGAGCGTACTGGTCGGTCTTGATAGGCTTTCCGTTGCTGCCTTGCATGGTGTATGGCGTGCCTTCAGTGAACCCTATCATAATATCAGCAAACAGCCCCCTGACTTGTATCATTACTGAGCTTACCCTTGATTTGGCACATCCGGTAGACACTCTGGCCCGTAGACTTGTCAACGCCGATGCTCACGCGGCAGAAGCAACCGGTGAGGGCATCCTCAAAGCCAGGATAGAAACAGACTTTGGCAAAGTTGCTTCTTCCAATCCTGACGCGCTCGAAGTCCTTGAGGTCAGGGGGTGGGTCATGACGCTCGTGATCCTTGCCGCGGGAATTGTCCCACTCAACCTCGCTATCCCCGTCGGCATCCGCGTCGGAAAGGTCGCGGTCATCCCTAGAAGGCGAACGGTGGTCCCGGTCGCGGTCCCTGCGGCTGCGTTGTTCGCGAGTCTGCTCTCTCTGCCGCTTGTATGCCTCGAGCTTCTCGAGTTTCTCGCTGCCCTTGGGTTTCCTAGCCTTGCGCTCGCTGTCGTCGAGGTCCGCGGCGGCAGCCTTACGCTTCTTCTCGTCCCTGTTGGCTTGACGGCCTTGCATCAAGCGCTTTAGGTTGAGGTCCTGGTTCCTGCGCTCCATTTCGGCCGCGCGCTCGGCAAGGATAGACTCGCGCTCGATTTCCGAGAGCCCCAGGATCCGGGCCTTGTCTTCGTATGAGGTGAACTTGCCCTCGATCGGGTACGGGGTGCGGTCTTCGCCGTCAGCGTCAGAGCCGCCAGCCTCAGAGTCGGATTCTTCCATAGCGCCAGAGCCGAGCGAATCTGGCGAGCCAGGTGCGGAAGAACTGGATGCACGTTGTCAGTGACCAAGTCGGTGACCGGGGATATCTGCAGCTTGCGCAAAAGTGGTGACGTACGCTTCACCCTCTTCCTCCGAATCGTCCTTCCTGCGGCGACCACCAGCTTTGCGCAACTTCATTTTGCGTGACGAGGGTCCGCGGCGTGGTGGTGACTGTGCGGGGGAGCTGTGGCGGGAGGAACGTTGAGGTGAAGAGCGGGGAGAAGGTGACCGGCTTGCTTGAACATCGTCGTGGGTGGCGTCATGCTCCTGCTCACCACCCGACTCGTCGCCGGCAAGAGCAAGGAGCTCGGCGTCAAGGTCAAGGCCGTCGTCGGACATGGTGATTATCCGGTCGTCTGAACAGAAGTAGAGAGGTGGCGTAGATGAAAACTACTCCCGGTACCGATGGAAGGATCCTCAGGGGGTTCGAAAGGGAGCGGGGCTGCTCAGGCTTCAGGAGGTGGAAGCAGCAAGAAGGGCGTGGAGATCGTCAGGCGCGTCCAGGGCGCGGGTGTGTGCGGACAATTGTTCGAGTATGTGCGAGAAGATGGAGAGCGAGATGCGGAAGTAGATATGGATAGTCGACAGGGCGTTGGGGGTTGGCTGGTGGAGGGGGGGAGGCTGGGCGGGAGGTAAGAGAAGTGAAGGTTGGTGAAGTGAACCAGGCCGAAGCAACTGCGCTCGAGGGAATCGCACCGCGCCGCCATTCCCTCTGTGCGGGGAATCCTCGGTCCGCGCCGCTGACATCAAGCGCCGAGTCACGTGCGACGTCGGCAAGTTCCTTCCAGAGCAAGCGCGAGCCCTGCGTCGCCGATCCGATCCCCGGCCGGCGGCGAGATAGAAACAATCCGTCCGTCAGCCGTTCCCATCATCACATCATTACAATTGTCTCTTCCCTTTCTTTCCTTAACCTGTACAGTATTCTTTTTTTCCCTCATGTCTTCCGCATTAATCAGAACGTCTTTTGCGCGCTCTCTTCCGCAATCCTTCGCGCCAAATGCTGCACGACTCTCGGCAAGGCACCTTTCCACGGCCAATGCCCTCAAACCCAAAGACAATGAAGCCGCCCTCTCGCCACGGACGCCCCTGACCGAGGAGCAGAAGAAATTCCTCGACGGCGCAGTACGTCGCGCCACACCAATCCGCAAAATCCGGCGCACTAACTAACGCGCGCTTCAGCTCCGCGTCAACCAGGCCGGCGAGCTGGCCGCCGTGCTTATATACCTGTCGCAGGCTCCGCCAATCGTCCGGGCCCACCCTCACCTCCGCCCCCTCATGAAGCACATGCTCGAACAGGAGGAGGGCCACTTCAAGACCTTCAACCACTTGCTCGCTAAGCACCGCATCCGCCCCACGCTCATGTACCCGGTCTGGTACGCTGCCGCGACGGCGCTCGGATGGGGCACCGGCGTCATGGGCCGCGAGGCCGCAATGGCGTGCACCGAGGCTGTGGAGACGGAAATCGGCGGCCACTATAACGAGCAGGTGGCGAAGCTGCTGGAGTGGCAAAAAGGCCTGGAGGCCAAGGGCGAGGAGCTGAGCCCGGACATGAAGGTCTTGCTGGCCGACTTGCGCAGGATTAGAGACGAAGAGCTGGAGCATTTAGACCATGCTGTCGAGAACGACGCGAAAGAGGCGCGGCCGTACGAGCTCCTGACGAACGTTATAAGAGGCGGCTGCAGGGCGGCTATTTGGGTCTCGGAAAGAGTGTAAGAATATTAGAACCGATGTAAGATTTGAAGAGCGTTGAGGATCTGAGGATGGCGCATTTCGTTGGCGCACCTCTACCACATCACCACTCCGCTCCGTCATATGAAAAGAAAGGCCAGCGGGCGATCGCAGACAGATAGAATCTGGCAATGTTGGCTACACTGCCCATGGCATCCCGGCTTTCGAGCCACGGAGACTTCACGCAAGGCCCCAATGGGCTGGTGCACGGTCCCAAACACTGCCACAGTAGTCGCTGCCTCATGGTCGGCTTTGGAGGAGTAAGTCTATCGTAAGAAGTACCCACTCTGCCTCCTGTTGGCATCTACTGCCCGTCACCAAGGCACACGCCTGATGACGAGCCCGCTGACTGATGTAGGCGTTGGGCAAGGTGCGTAGGGAGTTACCTCTAGACACCGATCTATGTACGATATTTAGCGCATGTTCAAAAGCAACACGGCAAGGCATAGACTGCCGAGCAACGTAAAAAGTAGACTCCCCATGTATCACTATCTCACAGTTATCGTTCTTGTATAGTCGAAAAATAAAGATTTGAAGCAGACAGTCTTTCAACAAAATGGTCTTGCAATTAAGTTATCTTCAAGCACACACAAACGAGCTCCAAAGCACTGAAACGATGGCAAGCCCTACTTCATGTGGAGAGCTGGCTCCACTCCTCAGACTCATGATTCACTGCTCTGGGCGTGCTGTTCAACCACAGAACATTGCAACGCAAGCCTGCTGTGTGCGGTTTTGTTTGTGGCGCGGAACGAACGGTATCGGCATCAGATGATAGTGAGTATCAACGTCATTGATTGGTGTCGAAGATCGACAACATGGTTATGGCTTCGTGCTGGTTAAACAAGCAAACTAGAGTGAAAATTCAGCTTCAGTTGGCTGCGTGATGGATGTATTGTTTTGGTTGTGTCCCCTTCAGCCCCTTGAAGTTTCTTTAGTCTTTATGTCGTGTACCATCTTGTGGTAAATGCCACATTTTGTTCTTCTTGGCTCTCTTCTATATTCTACCTCCTTCTTTTTATATGTGGAGCTGTACTAGCTCATTCGTGGATCCTGTGTGCTTCACTGACTTGGGGAAGTGGTGAGGACAAGCGAGCATCGAGCGCGTCACTTAACTCAGGGCCACGAGCGACTACCCTGTGCCTCTCAGGACATGCTGGCCGAAGAGGAAAAGGCCCTGGCCGGGCCCTCATGGGCCAAAAGCTGTGTTTATCTGTGAGCCCAGTTAATCTAGTACGTGCGGTCAAGAGTCGCATGGGCTGAGGTGGAGCTGAGAAAAGTTTGTTATTGCAGTTGCGAATAGTTGATCATTGTCATCAGTAGATTAGATGATTTTCTATGCTAAATTGAAATGCTTTTTATCATCACCATAAAACAAGACGCTCTTTGCGAAGTAAGCTTTGCCTTGCTCGGAAATAGCTTACATACTTCGCAGTGAGTTGCTCGGCAGCGGCCACAATAGTAGTGGTAGTGTTAGTGGCGGCTTTCTTGATAACAGATTTGTAGAGCTCTGCCCTTCAGGTAAGATTTCGTGCTCTCAAGGCTTTCCCTTCATAATTAGGGCAGCTACTTCCACTCTCACGTAATCCTTTCCGCTGCATAACTTAGGCGGAATCTCGTCGATATCACTGCCATCTCTCTCATCAATTAACTCTTGTCTCGCAGTTTACGCCTATACATAGTATCAGCCATTGTGCCTTGCAGCGGCCACTTTCCCCTACATAATGCTCTAGTTCTTTACTTTTTAGAGAGAGGAAGCAGAAAAATCCATATTACCGTTTGGGGAATGCTTTGCTTAAGTGGGGGCCGGGGATAAGCGGGTATTGACGCATTGACCCCATTTACGCGTCGCGACGCGTTGATCGACGCGCCTTCGCGATTCGTGACTTTCAAGCAGCACTTACCATCCGCAACAACATCACCATACTATCGATACCCCTAAATGCCCGCTACCCTCTCATAACGACCCTATACCTTGGCGGATCCATATACCCTCGCACTATCCGTCACAATGTCCGCCCCTTCCACGCCAGCGCGCTCCAGCCGCGTCTCCTCTGCCGCGTCGACGCCCGCCATGCGTGCATCCCGATCTCCCATTGAGCTCACTCCGAGGAGCAAAGTCAAGGCAATTCTGGCGGGCGCAGGCCTGAGTGACGACTCTGATGACGAGATCTCCACGAAGCCGGCAGCACAACCTGTGAAGCACACAGAACAATCGACGAAATCCACAGAACCTACCGCGAAGGCATCGGCACCAAAACCCACAACCAACATTGTGTCCAGCGATTCGGAAGACGATGATGACGCGCCTGTCCAAAGGCCGGTTGGGAGAATAGCGGCACGTATGCTTGCTCAGGCACAGAACAATGGCCAAGACACGGATGAAGAAGGCGGAGAAAACGCGTATGAAAGAGTCAAGAAAATGCTCATGGCAGGAAAAGGGAAGCAGGAGGCCTCTACAACTGAACGGGAGGAATCACTTGGAGACGCCGAGTCGAGCTCAGGTGAAGAACTGCCTGTTAGGCCAGCAGCAACCAGGAAGATTGCTAGGGGTATCCGCAAGCCCTCAGAAACTCCTAGGTCTGCCACTCCAGTTTCGCGGAGGTCGTCACCAGGGCTTTTCATGTCCCCATCCCGCCCTTCTCCTGCGAAATCTACTGCGGACGGCGAAAATGCCGCAGATTCTGATTCTGACATTCCGGACCCGTTTGCCAAGTCAAGACTAGATGAGCTTGTTGCTCGTAAAAGGGCTGAGAGGAAGGCAAGAGAAGAAGAACAGAAGAGGGAGCGCCAGGAGAATCGTCGCAAGTCTAAGGCTTCTGCGAGAAAATCGCGCCGCGAAGAGAAGCAGCTGAATGGTGTTGAGACAGACAGCGAAGATGAGGACGACATTTCCAAAAAGCTCACGCAACAGTCACGACCGACGCGTAAGGCCAGCAAGAAGGCGATTGAAGAAATGAACAGAGAAACACAACGTATGAACAGGAACATGCAGCTGGCTCATCAAGCACGGACAAAGAAGAAATATACAACCAAGGATCTGTTCGCTAAGTTCAACTACGGTCAAGCAAAAGAGCAAGAGAAGGACACTCAGCAGAGCAACAATACGACAAGCTCTATTCCCGTATCTTCTGAAGGCGAAAATCTTGACAAAGAAACCCCTCCAAGTAGTCCTCCCAGCGCGGATGAGAAGTCTCAGAAGCCAACTCGCAACAACGGTATGGACTCTAACGAGTTTCCAGGGGACACTGTCATTGATATCGGCCAAGAAGAAGACAGTGATGGCGAACTTCCGGACCTGGGCAAAGTCTTATCTCAACCCCGCAAAATCGACAAAGGCAAAGGACGTGTCGGCGAGCCTGTTAAGCAAACAGTCTCCAATCCCGAAGTCACGCAGCCATCTGTGCCTGTTCCTCTGAACGAAACCAGGACCAAGGCCTTCCGTGTCGTTCTCCCTGAAAGAACCGTGGCGGCTCATGACTCGGATGATGACGACCTCGAAATCATCAGGGATACTCGTTTCCCCGTCTTTGACAAAATCCCTGCTCGAAAGGCTCGCGAACCCGAATCTTTGCTCAAACTTCGCTATTTGGCACACTTGACGTCGCCAAGCAAGACGCGTCAGAAGGGGCGTGCCTCTATGAACCCGGCCGAACTCCAAGACACACTCCAGCGCCGTGCTCGCGAACAAGCTAAGCGCGAGAAGGAGGAGAAGATTGCGGAATTGCGCGCACGTGGTATCATAGTCCAAACTGAAGAGGAACGCGAAACCGATCAATTGGAATTGGAGAACTTGCTTGAGAAAGCAAGGAAAGAAGCCCAAGAGCTGGCTGTAAAGGAGAAAGAACAAGCCAAGAAAGAAGGCAAAGATGTTGATGGTGACGAACTGCCGGACAGCGAGGATGACGAGAGCTACGTGGAGGAAGAGGAAGACCAAGAGCAAGAAGTGGATCTCTCAGGCAGCGAAGACGAAGATGAAAACGAGGAAGAAGAAGAAGAAGAAACTCGCACGGATGGCGATGGCCTCCTTAATAACGAAGCTGACGAGGATGACGAGGAACTCGATCCAGAAGACGAAGATATGGCTGATGCGAGGGCTGAAGACTCCGAGCGTGAAGAGGTATCAATTCCCATCCGGCGCTCAACGACTGTTCGCCACCGTAACAGGGTAATTGACGATGAGGATGAAGACAATGAGGAAAATATGTCTAAAGCTATTCTGAGTCAATTTCAACTTCAACCTTCAACTACCCAGGACGAGACGATGGCTGCATTCGGCTTCACCGACGATGCATCGTTGCAACCTCAGCCCCAACCTTCGCCTGACCAGGATGAAACTATGGCTGCATTTGGCTTCACCGAGGCTGCCCCTGCCGGTTTAAGCCAAATGTTCGCCGGGACCATGGCCGAAGCAGACTCGCAGCCGCAAGGCACTGGACCTGCCTTTGACGATACCCAGCAGTATTCCATGGATTACGCCAAAGACATCCCTCTCTCTACAATTCCCCCGTACCAATCAACCGCGATGGACTCGCAAGACTTCATCATCAAGGACAGCCAAGTGGCGGCGTCGCAAGCGGCCGATAACGGCGCAATGGACGTCAATATCGGAATTTCTCAATTTCCTTCGCAACGCGGATTCGCGAATACGCAGATATCCGATATGCCTGACCCAACGCAAGATAACAGTTTCACAATGTCCCGCACACCGGGGCGTCTGCTACGTGCACCAACTTCTACTTTCGAGACCGTCGACACGGTGGTCTTGCCTGAAGAATCGCCAGTAGTCAAGAAAAAGGGCCGCTTGCAGCGCCGTAGTGAGGCTGCTGTCGTCCTTTCAGATGTTGATGACGATCAAGACTCCGCTGCTGTGGCCGATGCTTCATCGGACGAAGAGTTTGCAATTGCAGCCAACGCATTCGACGTCATGCGCAAGGGTGCAAAGAAGGCGAAGAAGGTGGACGCCTTCGACAAGAAGAGGAGCGCTGCAAAGGAGATGGTTCAAGAGCAAGCTGAGGAGTCCGAAGACGAGTATGCGGGCCTTGGTGGTGCCAGTGATGAAGAGAGTGGCGGGGAAATGGACGAGGAGTTGAAAGAGATGATCGAAGAGGGCGATGTCAGGGTCAATGAGCGGGAGATTGCAGCCTTCTATGCGTAAGTTCCTACTGCCGTCTCGTCGTTACTGTATCTTAGAGGCTAACACTTGAAACAGCGACAAGGAACGCGCGGACGACGAAAAGCGTATCAACAAGCTTTACAAGGACATCAACAATGGTGGTCTTCGGCGCAAGCGTGGTGGTGACTTCGAACTCTCGGATTCTGACGACGATGCCGCTGAGCAGAGACGCAGGAAACAGCGTGAGTTTGCGCGCATGCGGAAGGCATTGCTTGAGGACGAGAATATCGGCAAGATTGCAGAGAACCCCAAGAAGCTTGCTTTCTTCCGCGCCCTTGAAGACCATGATGACAACGATGAAATGGACTTCTTGGATGAACCAGAGGAAGACTCGCAGTCTCAGTCTATTTCGGACTCTCAGGAGCCCGCCGCAAGAACAGAAACTCCTCACCTCGAAACTGCCGCAGCCAATGCGCCTCCAGCAAATCCACTCAAGCGCAAGGGCACGTACGCCAACGAGAATGACGAAAACCGACCACCAGCTGCTCAAAGGCGTACGAAAGAAAGTTCATTCAAGAAGCCCACCACTATCGCCGAGATCCGTGAATCCGTCTCCTTCCTCATTGACGAGCCACTTGTCAAGGAGACGCAATACTCCGACGACGAAGATGAGGAAGACGACCACGCAGCCGGCCCCAGCAACGCACAAGCAGCTCGTGCCACCTTCACATCTCGCCGCACAGACCGGAGCGCCATCGTCGACCGGCTTTCGCTCGCGCGCTCCACGTCCAGCAACCTCAGTGAAGGCGCACCTGCCCGCGCTTCCAACGAGCCCATGGCCTTCCACGCGCCAGCCACGTCCCACGTCCCCGGGTTCCGCGTCCCGTCACTCCTGCGCCGCGTCACGACGAACCTGTCGGCGACGTCGGAGACGGGGACTACCACGTACTCGAACGGTGGGTCGAGCGGTGGTGCTGGTGCCGGTGAGAGCGTCAGGAGAGGTGGTAGCAAGAAGAGCAATATCCACTACCAGGCGCGAGAGGCGGAGAGGAAGCGGGTGGTGGATGCGTCGGAGAAGCGGAGGAAGGAGGGCTTGCGGAAGAAGGTCAGTTTGGGGGGTAAGAGGAGCGTGTTGGGTATGTTGGGAAGTGCTGGCGGAGGGTTTGAGTAGGTGCCTCGCTGCTTTTAAGTTGTTTTTGTTGATGGTGTGAGCTTGGTTAGTTTTTTCTTGTGTGCGTAATAGCGGCCTCATACTGGTGGTGTCTTTGGCGTTTTCTGCTTTGGGTGTAATTTGTGTGAGGGATGCGAAGTATTAGGGGCAGAGGCTCTATAACGCAACGTGTTTCAGCGTCTTCAAAGGTGTCAAATATGAAAGGCATGCTTTTGCTATAAAATGTATCAATCGGCTTCTTGGGAATGTGATTGGAGTGCCCGGGCAGCCGATGGCCTTGGCTCCGGGCCGGATCGTCGATGACCAAAACTTAAATTCAACCTCACTGCTAACTGAGAGGGTCGGAGAATTTCTTTTGTGTTTTTCAAGGGAGGGTTTGATTTGACTTCGCTAACATCCGCTGCATCCATAAGTTTATGAACTGCACATTCCGAACGGAGGAATTTTGTAAGTATTCGAGAATGTTTCCGCATTTTTGTATATGATAGATGCCTGTTTACGGTAATATCCATACACTGACATTTTTATCCTTCAAACGTGGTGGAATAAAAACAATTCTATACCACATATTTGAGGCTGGTGATGACGAATCATTATTTGTTGAGTATACGTTAATATGGAAAACATGTAAGTCTTCATGAGTAGTTTGACTAGTATTTTACAAGGAAGAAGTGTAGATCTTTAGCAACAAGAACACTCAATCCAAACAGCCAAACAAAATGCGTGCATAAGACCCCAACCAGCTTGTTTACTCAAAAGCAACTACCAACACGCGATAAACCACGAGCAATCAGCATCCATTAACACAAACCCCCAGTCAACAAGGCGATAAGTGACTGCTGACACATAACATGCTTAGCGGCAAAAAGCCTCGTTCCGGCCTTCATTCGGCAAGCGGCGCTAGAAATCTCGGCGCCAAGCGCGTGGCGCAGAAATTTTTAGCTGGATAAAGACACATGTCCGAGACGCAGGCCAATCACTGCGCCGCTATTCTCATGCGCCTGAGCCCGGACCCCCACTCGGCTTCTGGCGCGGTGCTTGATAGCGCGGCCTGCGGCCTACGGAGTACTGCTGCTGCTGCTGCTACTACTCTACTCGTGGGTGCGTGCTCCGGACGTGGTTTTACCTGGTTTTTTTGCGCGCGTCGAGGAGGAACGTCAATTTTTGCTTTGTCCATGCTGGCTGTGGCTGGACGGCGTTGAGACGGACGATTTCTGCTCTGACGTTGCTTGTTGAGAGTTTGGCTTTTTAGTGGCTTAAGAGCTTGAGACTTGGTGGCGATGGCTGCCGAGAATGGTAGAAAGTCTAAGGAGGAGAAGAGGTTGGTGCGGAAGCTAGGTATTTTGTATTCGGGCTCCCTTTAGATGTTTCGCGGCTAACTGTTCGTAGATTTGTTCGTTCTTGTAAATTTCCCCACGGGTTTTATCGAGGGGACTTTTATTGATCACTGAGCTAGACGTACTGCTGCTTAAGCTATTTTTTCAACTACCTTGGTAGGTCTACCCTTTTCGGATAGATAAAGAGCTCATACTAATTTTTCAGACCGCGCCGCATTCGCCAATGCCTACGTTCGTGCCCAAACCCTATGCAACCCAACACCGAACTCACACTTTCCAGGTTGCAGGTCTCAAAGAAGATGTCGGCCTTCACGGCACTCAATACAACATCATCCTATCCATGATGACAGCCGGGTAAGCCAACAAACCAACGCAGCCCAAACCCTTCAACCAACCACTCACGGTTTTCGGAAAACCAGCTACGTCATAGGCCAAATCCCGCACGGCATCGCACTCCAGAAGATCCCGCCGCGCATCTGGCTCACGTCAATGGTGGCTCTCTGGTCCGCATTCACGATGTGCACGGCTGCGTGCCGGACGTACTCGCAGCTGTGCGCGGTCAGATTCTTGCAGGGCCTTGTCGAGGCTAGCACCTATTGCGGGACGATGTATATTGTTGGGTCGTGGTAGTAAGTGCCTGGCTATTTGTTCGATGGGAAGAAAATGCATGCTTATAAAAACGGGTTCGCAGTAAGCCGCAGGAAATCGCTAAACGGACTGCTATCTTCACTGCGTCTGGCCAGGCGGGGAGTATGTTTGCGGGAGTGATGATGACTACGATTCATAAGACCATGGATGGTTATGCCGGCTTGCCAGGTTGGAAATGGGTTTTTCTTGTTGGTATGTCTACAACCTTTCCTTATTTTCACGCTCAACAGCGCATATCCCTACGACGCAGTAGGGGTGTTCTAACGAAAAGCAGATGGAATCATCACCTTGCCTATTGCCATTGCAGGATTCGTCTGCTTCCCAGACATTCCTGAAAATGCCAACACGGTGGTTTTGAAGGAGGCAGAGATCCAGTTGGCGATTAAACGCCTGCCGCCAAAGAAGGAGGATGCCCATAACATCAATCCGCTATCTCTTCTGAAGCGAGTTCTCGGCTCCCCTTCATTGTAAGTCGATGTGGAGCACAATGGTAGTTATGAGATCCGTTGACACAACTCCAGCTACATCCTAGGCGCCTTCTCGCTCGTCACCAGCGCCCTCGAAGCCTACTGCGTGCAAGTCCGTCCACCCAGCAATCCCTCACACACACACACACACACACACACACAAAACCGCGCACTAACCACCTAGCCTTAGGGGCTCTTCCTTCTCTGGCTCAAATACCACAGCGCGCAATACAGCAGCAGCGAAAACACGACCTACCCACTCGGGATCCAAGGCGTCGCGATCACGTCCAACCTCCTCGCCGCCATCTACATCGACCGTACCAACCGCCGGATCCCAATCGGGCTGCTCTCATGCGCGCTGCAGCTCGTCTCCACCGTCCTCCTCCTCATCCCCACCATCCCCGCCGCAGCCACGTTTTTCGCGTTCTACCTCGCGGGCGCCAGCTACATGATCAACCCGCTGCTGTTTGGCTGGGCGAACGTAATTCTGCGCAGAAGTGGCGACGAGGCGGCGAGGAGCGTCGTCCTGTTTTGGTGCGGCGCCGTCCAGTCCGCGCTTTATACGTTCTGGGGCATCGTGCTGTATCCGGCGGATGAGGCGCCGTATTGGAGGAAAGGTGGGATTGCGATGGTCGTCGTGGTTGTGGTTATGGCTGCTATGCTGTGGGTCGTGGATTGGGTGAGTCTGATTCCCGCTGTTTGTTGCTGCTTGGCTTTTGTGCTGTTTGTGGTTTGTGCGGTTGAGAGCGCGCGTGCTGACGTGGGTTGTGCAGCTTGATAGACGAACCCTTGCGGATCAGGCGGCGGTTGCCGAGGAGGCGCGTGTCGCGGACGTGGAGGTGGATGCTGGGCAGGCGGAAAAACGATAAGAGTCTGAGGCTTGCCTCCTTGCATAAAACATCTCTTAATGGATGCTCCAAGCCTTTCTTCGCAACCTAAATCTGAGCAATACACGCATCTTTCGCCAGTGCCTTCTCATCAAATCCGCACGGAGCTTCCCTCCCCCGAGCTTTTATTCAGTCTTTCAACAGCAACATCCCCACACGAGGAACTAATATCCTCGAATACAAAACCCAATGCTTCAGACAACCTTACGCCGTCATCCAAAGATATCTAGACGGCGGCCTACAGCCACCTTGTTGCCCTTCACAAGCATAGCGTCAATCTTCGAACAAACTCCAGTCCATGAGCATACTCATTTTTCATTTAAAACATCACAGACCCTTATCTTAACCACTTAAGCAAGGCAATCTCGAATTTAGTACGAGCCGTCATGTCTACCTAGCACGTACGCCCTCACTGATGTCCCATCTGCAGACCTCAGCCCATGCCCAGATAAGCGGCGCCGTTTGCCAAACGGCAGTGTAGGTCTCTCAACCAGCCTTTCCAACCAGAACCGCTCACCGACCAGTTTCCCCTATGCCAAACCCATCCTCCAAGCCCAGCCAGCCATTCAAGAAGATCTTACCCACGCGCCTCCACCACACCACTTAGCACGCCGTCGAGACAAGCCAGCCCATCTCTACACCAAGTCCTCGGGCCGATACTCCTCCGGGTCCCACTCGTCGTCGTCCTCCTCCTCGCACTCACTCCAAGCCGAAGAAAAAGGCGGCGTGTAGTCCGCATCCAGCGCGGGGTCGTCGATCGCGCGCGCCCTCCCACCACCACCAACAACAGCACTGCGCTCCCCTCCCTCCATCTCCTCCTCCTCCAATGCCGCCTTCACCTTCTTCTCCTCCGCGCGACTAAGAATCCCCTCCACAGTCACAGGCCCCGGCGCCATGAGCGCCAGCCCGCGGAACGCGGCGCAGCCAGCCGTGTCGACCGTGAAGAGCTTGTCTGGCGGGCAGGCCGTGGGGTCGAACAGCTCTGAAGGCGCTTGCTTGACGAGTGGGGGCTGCGTGCGCCGCGTGGAGGGGTATCTAATGTTGGCATTGCTGAGCAGCGAGGCTGCGTGCGCGTTGGTGGTGCGGGCTGTGCGGTGAGCGCGCTGCTGCTGCTGCTCCCGGTGCCGCTCTCGGTGGCGGTGCTTCCTGCTCACGGGCATGAGCTTGGGCCGCGTGGGGATGGAGATGGGGATGGTGGTGGTGGGGTAGCTGTCGATGCCGAAGAAGGGCTTGTTGTTCTTCGTGGATTGGGGGGCGAGGTCGCGAAGGAAGTTCCGCTGGAGGGCGGCTTCGGTGAGGACGGGGACGGCGGCGTTCTCGGTGTGGCCTGGAGGAGGCGGCTGGGGGGTTGTGCTTGTGGTTGTGGGATAGTTGGTGTGCTGGCTGGGCGTAGGAGCTTGTGAGGTGTCTGCGGCGTTGATCGGTGTCCAGCCGGAGAAGTGAGGGCGGTTGCGCTCTGGGTACGCCATGTTGATGTGGGTATGCCGGGAAGCGTCAGTTTTCTTGGGCTTCGAGCAGATGTGCTCTCAAGTGCTCGCTGCTGTGAGCTTTGGTGAAGTGTGGTGAGAAACTGGCTTGACGCAATATGGTGGTGTGGGATAACTTACAGCACGCGGCCTATAGTCGCTGTGAATGCACTGGCTCCAGGCGTTAAGCTGGACGTAGCTCAAGCTGACAACCTAGGACAAAGTAAAGGATCCAGAATCGCGCGTTTGATGCGCCTGTTGATGCGGCAACATGGGCGGACGGGTCTGAATGTTTCACCGTGTGACAAAGCAAACGGATATGACGTGACCCGCGGGAGGGTGGTTTGCTAAGAGATGCCTTGTCTGGAGGTTATATGTCCCAAGCAGTGGACAGTGCGTCACTGTACTAGCGCCAACTCGGGGGATGGGCGAAAGAAAGGGTGTGAGTGAAGACTGCGATGTTAACGGGTTTAAGCTATGTAAATTAGTGCATCATTTAACAGTGAACACTCTTCTCTCAAATATGCATACATACTCTCTTAACTCTTCATCTTTTAACATTCTAACCACTTCCATTTAGCATGCGATTGAACAACCACTACTAACCACAAAGAACCCTCTTCGTACCCCCGAAACTTCTATGGCAGACAAAGCATCTCTCCCAAGCGAGCAAGGAATCTTGTGTCCGGTGTTTTCTGCTACTAGACAGGTATCTACGAATTATTATATACCTATCTACGCAGCTGTCATACAAAACTTCGTACCCCGTGTTCCGTGTTCCCTTCCAGATATCCAGACCAGACCAGACCCCCTCCCAACACCAAACCGAACCACGCCGATGTCGATGTCGATGCTCGCGGCCAAGTCCAGCCCATTTTCGCTGTCTATACACCATAAGCCCTAACAATACCAAGACTATCACTCATGCTTTCGATGCCCGTGTGTGTATCCCTATCACACCCACCACCAAAATGATGCCCCAAGGATGCTCACCATATGAAACTGGTAAGTGTGCTTGACCACCATCCCCCACTCACCTTGCCAATTTAACCCCTCTCCCAACAGATCCCTCACTTCTGCCTCCGCTTCACCCCCAAATCTACCGTATCCAACCACCATACTACACGCCATGCGCCATCCACCTAAGCTCCATCAGCGCACGACGCTCACGGCAGCGGCGTGTCGTGAATGTACCGGTGCTGGAACAAGCTATACTGGCTTGCGAACCTCTTCTCACAAGTCTCGCACACAAAGCGCTTCTCGCCCGCATCCTTCGGCTCATCCGTCTTCGGTGTTCTTCTGTGTTTGTGATTGGTGCGGTTTTGGCAGTACTTGCGCTGGTGCTTTACCAGGTTTGATTTTTGTATGAACCCCTTTCCGCAGTCCTCGCACACGAAGGTCTTTCCAGGAGTATCTTCACCCTCATCCCGAGCTTTGCACGTCCAGCGCTGGTGATTCCACAGGTCGCCTCTCTGCCGGAAACCTCTCCCGCAGTCGCATATGAAAGGCTTTTCGGGCGTGTGTTCGACTCCTTCCGCCACCTCCATTCTGTCCTCAACGCGACCCTTACAGCTGTCGCGCTGGTGTCGCCGCAAATTCGATGCACTCGAGAGACTATTCCCGCATTTCTCGCACACGAAGGGTTGTTCAGGTGTAAGCTCGACTCCGACCATCTCGTCTTCGGCCTCCACCTCCACTGCCTTCCCAGATCCGCCCTCAGTGTGGTGCTGGCGCTGGTGCCGCGATAGGCTGCTTTGAAGGCAATACCTGTTCCCGCAGTTAGAGCACACGAAAGGCTTTTCGTCCGCTGACTCTTTTCCTTCCTGCTCCTCTGCTTCTTCTTCCTCTACTTCCTCCAACTCCTCTTCCGCCTCATCTTCTGCCTCATCTTCCGCCTCATCTTCCACTTCTTCATCTGTCTCCTCTTCCATTTCCTCTTCCATTCCTTCTTCAATTTCTTCTTCCATTTTTTCCTCAGCCTCGCTTTCATTTAGTCCTTTACCTCTATCATGCCGACGCTTATGCAGATCTAGATGATCCTTGCGCGAAAATGCCTTCCCGCAGTTATTACACGCGAACGGCTTCTCTTTCATGTGCACCGAGTGCTGGTGTTTAACCAGCCTACCTTTTTGCGGAAAAGTCTTCCCGCAGTCTTTACACGCGAAAAGCCCCCCGTTCATGTGCACCGAGCGTTGGTGCTCTTTCAGTTTATCCTTGCGCGAAAACTCCTTTCCGCAGTCGTCGCAAGAGAAAGGCCTCTCGTTCGTGTGCACCGTACGCTGGTGAGTCACAAGGAGGTATTTAGAAGAATCTCTTCTCACAGTGGTCGCAGGGGAAAGGTTTCTCGTTCATGTGCACAGAGCTCTGGTGCCTCACTAGGTCGTAATTAGTAGCGAATCCCTTCCCGCAGTCGTCGCAGCTGAAAGGCTTCTTGTCTTCGTCCGTATGCACTGCGAGGTGGTGCCGTGTGAGCTCGGACTGATAACGACAACGACGCGAGCAAAGCATGCAAGCAAATGGCTTGGAGGGAGAAGTAGCTTCTTCAGTGAGTGACTGATATTCGCCGTCAGTGAGCGACTGGTTTTCAGTGAGCAACTGGTCTTCAGTGAGCAACTGGTATTCGTCGTTGCCATCGCTACCGTCGTTGCCGTCGCCACTGTTACTATTGCCGTCATTCGCGCCATTTCCGCTGAGGCGGTGCATAACGCGTGTCGATCTCCGCCTCGATGGCTTCGCACTATTGTCGGGGTTAGAAGGCGTGTCAGTCTGTTCTGCAACTTCGTCGTCACTGGTGTCATGATTCAAGGTTACTGATTCTTCCGTAGTTGATTCTCTGTCGGCATGTGCTGTGGCGATTAGTTGTTGTGCAGAGTCATCAGTGAAGTTAGGGTTGGTGACTGCTGGGTGTGTGAGCGCTGAATTTGTAAGAGACTGCTGCGTGAGAACTGATTGTCTAAGCGTAGGATGTGTGGATGTTGGTTCACCGTCCAAGTCGACATGATCTTCGAAAACAGCTGATTCAGGTTGAAAGCCGGCAGGTTGCATACCACCCATCTCCACATCCTCAACGCCGTCGTCATTACCTTCGAAAGCTGCTGCTTCGGATTCATTACCGAGAGGCTGATCATCGCCCAAGTCGAGAGTGTAGTTGTTACAAAAGTCAATTAGATCTGTTGCTGTTTCTGACCCTTCCCTGCTTCCCATAGTAGAGGGCGTTTCGACCTCTCGCACATCACTCAGCCCCGAGTCGCTGTCGTTCTCGCTGTCATAGACCGTCGTCTCAGACCAATCTTGTTGCAAGGCGTTAGTTCCCTTGATGATTTGCCGCTCTGCGTCGGGTGACGCGTCTGGGTCTATACCAAATGCTGTCAGCTGTCTGCACTTCTGGATGTCTCACAAAGTATTGAAAAGGTTGCGCACTGGGCGAGCTCACCATCCTTGAGCCAGTGGATCAACAGCGCCAGCGCCTTTCCGCTCTGCTCCAAGATGTTTTTCGCAGCCAGCTCGCCGGCCTTCAGCCCACCGCCGCCGCTCTTGCCGACTCCTAGTGCTTTTGCGTTGCGTGCTCGGATGCCTTTGAACACGCTTTCTGTGAACTGCGCCGTAGCTATGAATTCTCCCATCTGGAGCTGCAGCACTTTTTGCAGCAGTAAGCTGACCTTGGCGTTGTCTTGAAAGCCATGAGTATTCGCATGTTGGGGGAAAAAGTGTACCTCCCATTCATTCTGCGAAGGAGCATCGAGGTTGTATGTCGGCAGTGAGTTGGGAAGGAGAGGTAGGAGAGTGTTGGCGGCGAGTATACATTGTTCTGGTACTGTGAGGGTCGATGTCGCTATGAGGGTCTGAAAAAGTAGAATGTGAAGTGGACGCAGGTGCTCAGTGAAACTATCAAAGAGCTGTTCACGGGTTGTAAAGTGTGTAGGTGTCTTGTAGGCGACGGCGGTCAACTAAACGCAATGTTAGTTAAAAACGTTCTTAAGACTACTACATGCAAATAGCCAGTGCCGGAAAAAGCTTGATCGCGTAAGATGTGTTTGCTCTGAAGTAGTTGTTTGTGTGTTCTGGAAGGACGGATGTACTCACAAGTTTCAAAAACCGCTGCCTGAACTCCACGGCCTCTATCCCACCCAGCATGTCAGCACCATTGAAGCTTGTCTCTGCTCCGTCAGCTGGGTCTTCATCAGAGCTGCTATGTATAGAAACAATTGAAACCCGACGAGCGGTAGCTCTGTTACTTGAACGCGTCGGTATCTTCTCTCTCGGCTCCTTTTCAGTGCCAGATAGGTCCTCGTCTTCATCATAATCATCACCGGCGAGGTCGCCGAAATTTCCTTCTTTGATGTTTGCTTCCTTGATTGGCTTGAGCTTCTCTTCCTTGCGCTCTTTGAGCTCGTTCTTGAAGACCTCGGGGAACTCGCTCAATGCTTTGGCGCTGCCGTCTGCCAGGATAGCGCGCAGGACCTTGCGGCGTCCGGAAAACCCACTGGCATTGACGGACGTGAGGTGCATCGAAATGATGCTCTGTTCCAGTAGATCGTCATTTGCATCATTCTTTTCTTCATGTAGGCGGCAGCGCTCTGCCCAATCTGCCTCCATGATTTCGAGCATCAAATCCAGCCAGATTTTCCACCGAGCCCATCTCTTCTCATGCTTGAGCGAGCAGTTGAAAGCCCAGCCAACGACTTTCCAGAAATCATCTGCCTGGGCCCAAAGGCCTGTCTCGTTGGCGATCGACGACTTGACGGGTCTCTCACTGTCAACGCTGGTGCCATCAGCAGAATTTCTCCGCTTCCTACCGCCGCGGCTGCGACCACTGCCCGGCAAGGCAAATGTGAGTGCTTGGTTGAACTTGGCGTTGACGGGGCCGACGATCCGCTTCACGGCGCGCAGGTAGTGGATGGCGTCATTGGCACCGCGTAGCTTGTCGGACGACTTGGCGCGAGTTGTCACGACGGGATGGACTATGAGCGTCGCGGCCAGCTCAAAGATCTGCACGGGTGGCACCAGAGCCGGGTGCGGATTAGACGGAGAGGAGATGGAGGTTTTGGACCTGAGCAGGTCGTGCAAGAGTGCGAAGCCTTCAAGGTCTGTAAATTGTCAGAGGAATTACGGCGCTGCAAGGAATGAAAAGAGATGGTAGGTACATTGTCCGGACTCGAGCAGGACGCTGCTGTGAGTAGCAAGTTCGTAGGGCAGTTGCTGAGCGGGCCGATAGTATGGGGATAACTCATCAACAAGGCTGCGAAGTGGGGGAGTCGGCGATCTCTCGCGGTCGGAGTTGGCGTCAGCTCCATTGGGCGCCTCTACCGAGCTTCGCGGGTCGACCTCCATGGGGTCCATGGTGGGTGGATGTTGTGTGTTGACAGCCCGAAGTGAAGAGGTTGTTGTAACCACCATGGACTGCGGCCGTTTGTAGTGGAAATGAGAGGTGAGCCCGACGCGTTGACGTCCTTTGTTGCGCGGTCGCGCTAGCACGTGAAGCGGCGGGTGACATGACTCGTAGTGATTGCTAGCATGACTCGAAGCGACCACCACTGACAGCGCGCGATCAGCGGCCACAACCTTGCCGCTGCCCCACCGGAGTTTTGTCCAACTTATCATGCGGTATCATGCGGCTGCTAACTTCTCACTCTCAAGGCCAGGCCCCGCCAGTGTCCTTGTCCTTTTCCCTACCTAGAACCGACTTCAAGTCCTTCTGAATCCCTATCACACCATGCCGTGGACCTCCTCCGCCTACCTACGTCGCGTAACGCAACACAACCTCTCCGCCTTACGCAACAACCCGCTGGGCGAGCTGTCCGGCTCCCTCGGCGACCTGGGAACCCTCCTCCCGCTTCTCGTCGCCTTGACCCTCGCGCACAGCATCTCGCTGCCTTCAACTCTCATCTTCACCGGCGCAGCCAACATCCTCACCGGCGTCTTCTTCGGGATCCCGCTGCCCGTCCAGCCAATGAAAGCCATAGCCTCGGTCGCCATATCGCGGAGCTACACGCTGGAAGAAAATGCGGCCGCGGGTCTGGGCGTGGCGGCCGTGGTGGGCCTCATGAGCGTGACGGGTTTGCTGGGCTGGGCGTCGCGCATCGTGCCCGTCCCCGTCGTCAAAGGCATTCAAGTGGGCGCGGGGCTGAGCCTCGTCCTCTCCGCCGGCGACAAGCTGCTCAAGCCACTGGGGTGGACGGGCCCTTCGCCCGTAGACAACCTTCTGTGGGCGCTAGCAGCGGCGCTGTTCCTGCTGGCGTGCACGCGCGCGCCCCGCGTCCCCTACGCCCTCATCGTCTTCATCCTGGGCCTCGTCTTCGCGGGCATCCAGCTGCGCAGCGCAGCGCGCGGCCTCGACGCCGCCATTTCTCTGCGCATCCCCCTCGTCGTCCCCCGCTGGTCTACCTTCGTGGCTAAGTTCTTCGAGGCCTCCCTCGGCCAGCTCCCCCTCACTACCCTCAACTCCATCATCGCCGTCACGCACCTCTCGGCCGACCTCCTCCCCCAAGTCCCCACGCCCTCGGTCGGCGCCATCGGTGCCTCCGTCGCCGCCATGAACCTCGTGTCGTGCTGGTTCGGCGCCATGCCCGCGTGCCACGGCTCCGGCGGCCTGGCGGCCCAACACCGCTTCGGCGCGCGCAGCGGCGCAAGCGTCATCGCGCTGGGACTTGCGAAGATGATCCTCGGGCTCGTAGGCGGCGAGCGCTTCGTGGCGCTGCTAGCACAGTTCCCCAAAGCGCTGCTCGGCGTCATGGTGCTAGCCGCGGGGGTGGAGCTAGCGAAAGTCGGCGAGAGCCTGAACGCGGCCGGGGCGCGGGACCTGTGGGAGGAGGCGGAGCGCGAGCAGAGCGACAGCGACAGCAACGGCCCGTCGTTGCTGCTGCCCGGGTTCGGGCACACGAAGATCTTCCGCGAGCCGGGCGAGGAGGAGCGCGGTGAGCGGTGGGCTGTCATGATGGTTACGGTGGCGGGGCTGCTGGCGTTCAGGAACGACGCTGTCGGCTTTGTGGCTGGCTTGCTGTGGCATTGGGGGCTGCGGGTTAAGCGCGAGCCGGGCTGGTGGCGCAGGCTGAGGGTTGGGTGGCAGCGGAGGAGCGCGGGCGATGAGGCTGAGGGCTTGTTGCAGGGCGAGTGAGCGCCGTAGTGAGTGGTGTGAGGGTCGTGTACAGATTGTATAGCGGAGGCCTGCTGTGGAGTGTGGGCTATGACGTTACGAACTGTTCCTAGCTTTTTTATGAAAGATACTATCACGACTGCAATCCAGCAGTTCCACGACAACAAGCACCTGCAACGTGACTCTGACACTGAATCGTAAACCAAAAGCCCTCTCGAAATGAGTATATTTATGTAACAACAAACACTAACCTACCACCTGCCATGCCGTGCCATGGCCAACACACGTGATACAAAAGCTTTATGACACAGAACCCTGAGGCTGCGGTTCTAACAGCAAGCACGCAACAAGCCCAACTCAAACCCTTGTTTTCAAGTTAAACTACTGGGCACAGCATACAAGGATCAATCAAATGTGGGTGGGCACACGATATATAGACCTGGCCTTCGCTGCGTTACTACACACTGAGTAGCCATGCGTAGCGCACGCACTTTAACCCACGCTGGAGTTCGTCGCTGTCTTCTTTTCCTGGTGTTCTTCACCGTTGCCATAACACGCTTTTCGTCGTCATTTTAATTGGTGGATGAGCAGCAATCTTCGATCCTCAACCACCTCCCGAATCCACCTGCCCAGGCTTAGGGAAAACAAACCTCGCCCTCAGTGTTGAGACCCACACGCTTCGGGGTCATTAGTAGCCATTTTGGTTTTGCCGGTGCGCTGGATCCAATGCGCTGTTAGCTTTGGCACTTGCTGGAGGTGGTGTATATATATACCGCGTGGGTTAGGTTAGGTTTTCGGGTTATTGTGTGGGACTGTGTTATCATGTGCTCTCGTCAGATTAATTCTGTGTAACTCTGTCTCTGTCGCCGCTTCAGGGAGCCTCGCGGCTGCTAATCTCGCGCGAAATTTGGCACTGAGGACTTCGTGTCACGCACGCAAAATATTTTGGCAAGGATGTTATAGGTATCATCAGAGACAAGAGCACGTAAAGTAAGCCACGACACACAGAGTCTGCATTGCGCTAGCTAGCTAGCTATAGGTTATCATCACTACAGCGTCCTCGCCAGTACGTGCCGTGTCGCAGTGTCGTGGTTTAGGTTAGGCTCAACAGCCAACGCAGATATCAGTACTCGATCGTGTGTTCCCACCCAGCCAGTCGTGAACCAAGTCTGTACTCCAAATCCATGGACCATGGTGCTGGTTGCTGTGGTTGAGCCGAGTTTAGTTGAGTTAAACAAGTCGGGGAAGTGAAGTCGTCAGTGAAGTGGATAGGTAGTGTGCTCGTTGCTGCTGGAAGGGATCGTGCATTGGAGAAGTTGGGGAATGGGAAAATTGGGAAATTGGGGAAATTGGGGAAGGGGAAATTGGGGAAGGGGGGAAGGGGGTTAGTCGCTTCGCTCCGTCAGTGAGTGGTTCTCGAAACATTGTTGCCAAAATCGACAGGCTGACAAGAGGAAGTCGTTAGTACTTGGTGCCAAGAAGCCGGTGGTGGCGACCTAGTCCTGCTGGCGCTTCTGCTGGCGCTCCTGCTGTCCGGGATGGTTCTGGCGAGGGCGGTTCTGGCGAGGAAGCCTCTGGTGGGGCTGCGTCTGCGCGGGCTGGTTGATGCGGAATTGGCCTTGGCCGGGGAATTGGTTCCGGGTGTGTTGGGTTGGGACTTCCTGGACCTGCTGCTGCTGGTGGTTCGGGGTTTCCTGGCCCTGGTGATGCTGGTTCTGAACAGGCTGAGGGGGCTGGACATTCTGGGCCTGAACTCTCGGGGTCTGGGCGGGCTGGGTCTGAGCAGCGGGCTGGGTCTGGACAGCGGGCTGGTTCTGTGCAGCGGGCTGGTTCTGGTGCAGCTGGCTGTTTTGCAGTCTGTGAGACCATTGCAGCATGACCATGTCTTGGGCACGCATCTCATCCTGCAAAGTGGTCACAGACTCGAGAGACTGGTGGTACCTCTCCTGAAGATCCTTGAACTGTTGGTTGACCAGTTCGTACCTAGCCACTGCTCTGTCAAGCTCGCGGCGTAGATGAGCGTTCTCGATGCGAAGACGGGATTCCGGCGTCGCGTTAGCAGAGTCTGTAGTTAAGAATCCAGGTTAACACAGATATTACCAAACTTTGGAAAGGGGGAAAGGGGATTTTTACCATCTCCAGGGTTGATGGCCGGGAGCCTGCGGAAGTTCGTGGTCGTGTTCTGGCCTTGATTCTGGGTCTGACCCTGGTTCTGGTTCTGGCGGTTCAGAGCTGCGTAGATGGGGCCAGTGGCGGTGAGAATGTCCTGTCTAACTCCAGCTTCGCGAGCGGGCTCGTTGGACTGGGCACCGGAGGCTATCTGGGCATCGAGGGCGTCGGTGCTGGCCTGAGCCTGAGCTGCGGGTGTCTTTTGTTTGAGTTATCAATCTTCTTATCATGAACGGGACTTCTCTATACTTACCTGTGGACGAGCACTAGCCGTCGGTTCCTCTCTCGGGTTGATCATGTCGTGTGACATGAACCACAGCGTGCGGGACGCCTCAATGTCCTCTGTATCCTGGTCGACCAACAAGCGGAGGTCAGTGGGGTTCCGACGTCCAGTCCGGATGGGGCTCTGAGGTTCAGTTGGAGTAGTTTGACCGGCCTGGGCGAGGTTCTCAGGTCCAGGCTGAGCGGAGTTCTGATGTCCAGGTTGAGTAGGGTTCTGCTGTCCAAGTTGATAAGGGTTCTGCTGTCCAGGTTGAGTAAGGTTCTGATGTACAGTCTGAGCACGGCGACGTTGAGCAGCACCAGGGAACGCATCACCAATAGCCGCATAAGCAGCAGCAAGACCGGCAGGAGGGGAAGCGACGGCATAAGGGTTGAAAGAAGCAGGGTAGTCGACGGCATAAGGGTTGAGGATACCACCATCCAAAGGGAACAAGGCACCATGGTGACCCGAACGGAACCCACCATGAGACGTGCTATCAAAGCGAATGAGGGGCCTCTGCGTCGCGGGTGTCGCGGACGTCGTGGGCGCGTTGGAGGGAGAAGACGTCAGGTCAATCATGACGATGTCGCGGTCGGCGGACTGCGTCTGCGTGGTCGGACCAGTACGAGACGAGGACGCGACGCCGTCCATTGAGGAACTAGTGCTAGCCGGGCTGGAGCTGGCCATGCTGACGTTGCTGCTGCTATGGTTGGCGTTGTTAGAGTTGGGGTTGACGGGATTGAAGCCACTGAAGCTGACGGTGCTGCGACGAGCAGGCAGGGGCGCAAGGTTACGACCCGGCACGGGAGCCTGTTGGTTAGTGGGAGTAGAAGGATAGTGCTGAGTCTGCTGCATAGCCGGCAGCGGACTCATCTGACGAGCCTGCTCAGAAGCCTGCTCACGACCGAGCGTCTCACGGACGGCGCTCTCCTTGGGCAAAGGCGGCAAAAGCGGAAAATTGTTAGCGCGGTGAGGAGGGTCAGCCATGTTGACAGCTTCGGAGCTAAGAGCTTGAATGCGATGGTGCAGGAGTTGTCTGAGCGCGGGTGTCGAGCTCGTGTGTGAAGGATCGAGGATGGTGCGCTGAGACGCGGGGGAAATGGTCGCTCTTGTGCGCTCATACAGTTACCATACGGGCCGATCGGCGCGCAACTTTCGCGTCGGGGCTCCGAGCGCTTTTTTCTTGGACTGGAAAATTGCCGTTTTGGGTTATTGTGGCGTCAGTGTTAGTGCGGCTGGCTGGCGGGCTAGGTTGAGCCGCTTGTGGCGGTGAATGCTGCTGTGCTTCTGACAGATCGTGACCTGTATAGTGTGGCATTGCTGTCGTTTGCGAGCATATGCCATTGCTGCTCACTGTTCCGCTTGGCCTTCAGGTCCTGACACTGACTGCTAATAGCACCCCACCTACTTTTCCAGGCACCTAACATGCCGCACAGTTTTCAATTTTCAGTCAGTCCCATTGACATGCTGATTACCACGGATTTATATCCAAAGATTCGCCACAAGGTGGCAGTGTTTGCCTCAACACGCTCTTTATCCCAGTCGTTTACACGCGTGCTTTCCCCAAACAACGCATCTCAAACCGAACAGCGAGCAAACAGAATGCTCAGGAAGCATCAAAAGGCCTAGCGCGGCGCTAGCGCAGCAACAATAGCAGACAGGCGCGCGCATGTGCCGAAAAAGGCTAGCGTGGTTGAGGCCAACTGAATAAATGGCAAGCCCAGTCAAGTGCAGCTCGCCCAACCTGACCACTCCACCAACCCACAACATCTTCAACTCACCGTCAAGGTAAGGCTTGGACTGAGGTATGGCGATAAGGACAAGAAAAGAAGCTGACCACGTCTCAGATGAAGGAGGAGAAAATGGACTCCGGCGGCGATCGTCAGAAGCTCATCGAAGATGAGATTGGTAAGATGCGGCAGACTAATACCTTTAGACCTCGCAGATGCTGATAGCTATCAGATCGCGTCAAGGCAGCCAGGGAGTTGTTAGAGGAAGCCCAGAAGCTGTCGGCGGCCGGTGGTCGCCGGGATCCTGACATCGACGAAGTCATCCGCAAATGCCGGGAACTTGAGCGCTACCGAAAGGAGGAGATTGCTATTGGTAAGATGCACCGTATTGATTCCAAGGTCTCATATGCTGATGGATGGAAGAACGTTGCAAGTCAACCAAAGAACGTTTCATAGGTCTCCGGACTGGATACTTGGAAAACGGTCGCCAGCCGCCTCATATCGATGATTTGGTCCGCGACTTTGGTGATCGTGAGCAGGAGCTGCGTGCGGAGTTACAGCGGTCTAAGTTCAAGGCCGGCTCTGCCTCTCGCAATGGCTGATCAGATTCTGTTCTTACAAGCCCGACAGGATGGCATACCAAGGCTGATAGGGCAGCACATTCTCACAGAGGTTTCTAGAGCATCACACAACTGAAATGACAGATCGTCACTGAATCACTCCTGTGTCCCTTGACTTGGATACCGCGTGCGTGCGTGCGTGCGTGCGTTTGCGTTATGGGTGTTTGTATTCCAACAAATAAACATCAGCCTACAATCAAGCACCAGCCACCACAATCCCACAAACCAAACACACCACTATACCACCAGCCCTTCCGTGACACAGGGCAGCTTATGAACGTACATCTTCCTATTCCGCCAGTTCACCCGTCGGAGCCAAGTAGGGCGACACACCCTAACGTGTTACGCCTCAATAGCCTGCCTGCCTGCTCTGTTTACGTGGCTGGTTCCTGCTTGCGTCAATGCTTTTTGCTCGGTTTGGGTGTTTGATGTAGTCGATGTCTTTTCTGCTGCTTGATTAGGTAGTGTTACGCAGGATTCTGTGTGGGAGAGAGGTAAGTGGGGTGCGGCTTATCCGCCACAGACGCGGGGCATAGTCTTCAGCTGCACTGGAGCGTAGTTTCGTATGCTTTGATTTAATATGTGTGCCTTAATGGAAGAAGGCATCGTGCTGTGCTGTGTTGTGCCGTATTCATACCCGTAGCTCATGCGCAAGCGCGTTTTCCACCATTCCCTGCGCCGTATCCACAACCCCAATCCCTCTCATCAAACACCCACCCCTCCCCTTCCTTTTTCCTTTTACCGCACCTCAACAACCCACCCCACCCTACCGCTTCCGCGACGCAGGCTTCGGCGTCCAGCTCTCGGGCTGCCATTCCTGGGCCTGCTGCGCTGAGAGCGCGTGCTTGTCCCATGGCGAGGGGGCGTCGGTCTTCTGCTGCTGCTGCTGTTTCTTTGCTTGCTTTTTGTTGTTCTTGGCTTGCTTGGGCGTGCTTTGTTGTGCTGTTTGCTCCTGGCGCGCGGCCGCGGCCGCCACTACGGGTTCAGGCTGCACGTTTATGGGCTCGGGCTCTACCCCCGCAACCTCGGGCGACTGTCGCGACGCCAAGGGCGCAGCGACCATCTGCGCGCGGTCAGGCGGGTCGAGGACGGAGGGCTTGGCAGCCCAGCGGGCGTCGGCGTCGGCAGCGAGCTGTTTCATGCGGGCCTGGCGGACGAGGTCGGCTTCCTGCTCAGCGAGAGAGGGGGGAGCGGCGCGGTTGTAGCGGAGCCATTGCGTCCATTGCGCTGCGTGGGTTAGCACTGGCTTGGAAGCGATGTGGTAGAGGGATGATGTTGTTGCGTACGCGTGATGTAGACGTCGCCGTAGTGGGTTTTCCGGCTGTACTCGACGATGCGGCGGAGGCGCGTGGCGCCGGCGTGGTCCTTGAACTCCCAGAAGGTGTTGCCGGCGAGGTCGGAGCCGCGCAGCCAGCGACGGCGCCAGGGCAGGTGCAGCGACTTCCAGTTCAGCCAGAGCTGGCGGAACAGGGATGGTTGTGGCATGTTGTTGTGGTTGCGATGTGCGATGTGCAGTGACGCAAAAGTGCGGAATGCGCGCCCGAAGACCCCCCCCCCCTGCTCCTAACTAGTTAACCAACTACCCTAAATAACTAATAATTACCACCCTCGGCCCTCAGCCCAACCCCTCCCTCTCCCTCTCCCACAATTTCTTCTTCCTTTTTCTCTTCCTCTCTTTTCTTCCTCTCCTCCTCTTTCTTCTCCTCCTTTGCATCTCACCACACTCCTTTCGCCCCCGCAATCATGAGCGTCACCAATCTTGACTCGGACCTCAAGCGCCTGCGCCTGGGTCGCAACACCTCCGAGGCGCAGAACGAAGTGCGCGCCTGGATCGAAGAATCGCTCGGCGAACAGCTGCCGCCCGGCGACCTCATGGCTATCCTCAAGGACGGCACCGTCCTGTGCAGGTGTGTTGTTTTCTGCCTGCTGTTGCTTCCGCGTCTCCCGCCGGGCCCCCGCCATCTGACATGACCCTTCTCCACACAGGCTTGCCAACCTGGCCGTCCCCCCACCCGGCATCAAGTTCAAGAAATCCGCCATGCCCTTCATGCAGATGGAGAACATTTCGCACTTCCTCAAGGCCTGCGAGAAGCCCCCCTTTAACATGCATGCGCACGACCGCTTCCTGACCGTCGACCTGTTCGAGGGCAAGGACCCGGCCCAGGTCCTGCAGTGTCTGGGCGCCTTCAGCCGTGTCGCCCATCAGCTCGACCCCGCCAAGTTCCCCACCACCATCGGCCCCAAGAAGAGCACCGCCCCGCTCAGCCCATCCGCCACCGGCTCTGGCGGAGGCCTCACTGCCGGCGGATACTCGACCAGCGGCTTTGGTCGTAGTCGCGGCTTGAGCAACTCGAGCAACGGCGGCGGCCGTCCCCCGGCTCTCGGCTCGCTGAGCCCTGCTCCCACCGGTGGCTCCGGCGCTTCTAGCCCGTCGGCGAGATCGCCGTCCGCGGGACCGGTCAGCAGCTGGGCCAAAAAGGGTGACGAGGGCACCACATCGCCTGCCTGGAACATTTTCCAGTACGGTGAGTGAAACACGTCGCGTCACACGGGCGTGCGAGATGGATGCTAATGGGGGCATTATAGGCTACATGGGCGGTGCGAGTCAGGGTAACCAGGGCGTCGCGTTTGGCGCACGCCGACAGATCACCACGGCCGCACCACACGTCCCTAGCGCCGCGGAGAAGGAACGCAAGCGAAAGGAGCAGGAAGCCGAAACGGAGCGGCAACGCGTCGCGGCCGACGAAGCCGAGCACCACCGGCAGGTCGAACGCAAGGCCGAGGAGGATCGGGCACGCGTCGAAGAAGAGCGTCGCTGGGAGGAGGAAACGGCACGGCAACGCGAGGCAGAGAAGCGCAAGGTCGAAGCGCAGAAGCGTGAGTGGGAGCAGCAAGAGCGCAAGTGGCAAGCTGACGAGGAGGCTCGGCAGCGCGAGGAACGGGCGGCCCAGGAGAAACTCGACCGTGAGACGCAACGCAAACGCGCGGGCTCGGACGCGCGGCTCCGCGGCCAGTACCTGAGCCAATACCAGGCGGAGCAGCAGGGGGGTCCGGCCCAGAAACCGGGCCACGTCCGCCGCAGCAGCCGCAACGACCCGGAACTGGAAGCCGAGCGGCAGCGCGTGGCGGACCTGGAGCGCCAGCTGGCCGAGGCCAAGCAGCGCGAGGCGCAGTATCAGCGGGAGCGGGAGGAGAGGTTTCGGGGGCCATCGTCGACGGTGGGCATGCGCTCAACCAGCAACCGGCTGGAGGAGATGGCACGCCCGCCCTCGCCGCCCGAGAGTAACGTGTCGTGGACGGGCGACGACGAGCGCGACCTCCTGCGCAAGGCGTGGACCGAGACCAACAGTCGCCCACTGCCAGAGGAGCCAACGCCGCCGGCACTTCCCTCCCGCCCCCTCCCTGACCCAACTATTGCTAGTATCGCCTCGCCGTCACCACGCCCCCTCCCGAACCCAGCCGACTACATAACCGCGAAACCGATGCCGACCGCCGCCGCCACGCCCGCCTCGCCGCCCCCGTCCGCCACTCGCCCATCAGCGATGCCGCTCTCGCCGCGCGCACCCCTCTCGCCGCGCGCCCCGCTCTCACCCCACGCGCCACTGTCACCCCGCCTCGCAGGCGCAACCTCACCGCGCTCGCCGCGCTCGCCGTTCGCGCGCCCGGGCTCAGCCGCTGCGTCTGCGTCGCCTCGCCCAGGAAGCGCAGGCTTGGCAGGAAAATCCCTGCTCGAGCGCGAAATGGAGCGCGAACGAGAACGCCAGCGCGAGTGGGAGGAGAAGCAGAAGGAGACGCGGGCTGCGGCGCGCGTCGACGGCGAGGGCTCGGCGCCGGGTCAGTCTTGGGACGTCCATCAGTATGGGTATATGGGTGGTGATAGCCAGAATCGTGGGGGCCAGGGCATTGGGTTCGGTGGGAGGAGGGGCATTGTCGGGCCGAGGCCGAGGCCGTAGGTAGGGGGTTGTGGTTGTGGGGGTGAGGGTTTCTTTTGACGCTGCTGATGCTGATGCTGACGCCGTGATGGCTGGCTGGCTGGCTGGGTTGGGTTGCTTGGTTGGTGGGGTCTGGGTCTGGGTCTGGGCGGGTGCGTGGGTTGTGCGTGTGCGTGTGCTTGCGCTTGTGCTATTAGATAGATGGATGGGATGGGAGGCTTTGCGTCTCTCCGTCTTCTTCTCATTCTTTTCTCTTTCCTTTTTCTCCTTCTTCTTCTTCGGTAGCAGGATGAGACGGATAGGACAGGGTAGGACAGGGTGCGTTCGGTACGGTATGAAATGGGATGGGATGGGATGATGGATCGGTTCAGATTCAGAGGAGATAGGGATAAGCAGGTCAGGGATAGGCAGGGATAGGGATGGCGGGAAGGGGGGACTTACTTAGATACCTAGGTGCTGCTGCTAGCTGGACGGACGGAACGATTGCTTGCTTGGTTTTTTGCTTTGTTTTGGTTTGAGTTTGGTTTGATTTGATTTGTGTTGTGTTGTGTTGTGCTTCCTGCTTTGTGCTTCTGGTTTATGTGTGTGCACTTGGTTGGTTGGCTTGCTTTGCTTTGCTTTGCTTTGCTTTGCTTTGCTTGTTCGCATCCCATCGCATCCCACCACCCATTCTAAATTAAACGCAAACGTAAATCAACCATCCAAATCATCCAACCCATCCAAACTACCCAATCCAACCCCTACAAAAACCCAGCACACCCCCCGCCCCCCCTGCTTCTACTTCTACTTCTACTCCTGCACCTAGCGCCTAGCTATCGTATCGTATCACGCACGAATAAATAAAGATATCTAACCTAACTGAGCCTATCGCGTAATGACAGGGTAACTGTAACGACCTTGGCTAGGTGGGTAGGCGGGTTGTGAGTGTAGGTAGGGTTGTGTTATTGCTCTGCGTCTAAGTTATTGGTTATATATGTACTCAGATCTATAACAGTATAAGGATAAAGATGAGGACAATGATGAAGATATACTACTAAGAAACTACGTTGCTAAGCACTGTCATTACGCTAGAGCCTCGTCTCATCGTTATATATACTGTATGGGTGCGGGGAGTGTGGTTTGTTGTCGTGGGGTTTTATGTATTTGGTTGTTTAGTTGTTCGTGTTAGAGGGTGGAAAGATGGTAATGTTGATGCAAGAAGACTTGGTGCGGGAAGGTGGTATGGTCTATTGGTCTATTGAAGCAGTGGTCTACGAAGCAGTGATCTTATGGGGAGCGAAGTAATGTAAAGCGAAAAAGCCCATGATTAATAAACCCAACGAAAACGTAGACGCCTCAGCCTCGTAGCGTATACAGTAAACACGACCGTCTTCACCATCCGCAGCGGCAGGCTCCAACCCACAAGCGTGGTTTACGGGAACAACAGGCCCTGGAAGTCCAGCAGGTGGAACAGAACGATGGGGTATATGAGAGCCTCCAGCAGCAGCACGTGCAGGATGTCGCGCAACGCTTGCCCGATCGTGATCATGACGATGACGGTGCCGCTGAGCACGGTCATCAGCGTGAAAAGCGCTTGCTTGCGCACGAGAAAGGGGTTACTGTCCTCTTTCATGACGAGGTATATCAGGCCGGCAAACTCGAAAAGGACGCTGACGACGAATAAAAGTATAATGACCACGGACCAGGCTCGCACGCCTGGGGGCACGACAAGCCGGTTGTCGACGGCGCGTTGCCGCTGCTGCCCCCCTAGGCCGGCTTCGATGTTGGCTACGTCGTTGCGGGACGGCATGTTCGTGTCCGTGCCAGTCTCTGGCTCAGCAGCAAAGCCATCCGGGGCGCCTCCGCGCAGCCTCAGCCGGGAGTCATGGACCACGACTTCCGGCTTCTTGCGGCGTGCCTCGTCGCCGCGGCGCTGCACGGCGTACCGTCTAGGCTCGAGTTCCGGGTCCGCCCAGCTCCCCACACACGACAGGGCCAGGCCTTTCTCGGCCTCGGCGGCCGAGCCTGCCGCAGTGCCCGCGTCGGAGCCCCTCGACGCTAGCAGCGACGGAGTGCGGTTGATGATGGCCACGCCTTTGCCTGCGTACGAGTAGCCTGTGTGCCCGGATGTCGGGTTCGTGCTGCCCTCGACTGAGGCCGTGAAGATGCGGCTGCCGCTGCGGCTACGACTCGATGCGGTGCTTGTCGATGGCGCGTACGTGGACATGGTGCTGTGGACGGCGAGGTCGTCGATGTCGATGTTTGAGGCGCGTCGGCAGAGCAGCGTCGTTGCGTCGTTGTCGCGGTCTAGTCCCAAGATGCCGCTGGTGGGGTTGGTTGGTTGGCTCTGGAGTTGAGACCTCGAAGCATCTGGGAAGAGCAGTTAGGTTCACTGGCCGTCCGCAAGGCTAAGAGCGGAACTCACGCCCGGCGGCCATGGTCACTTTACTCGTAGGCGTCGGTGGTGTTGCCGTCGGAGTGCTCGCACTTTGTTGGCGCGGGGCATAGGATGGAAGGCGCAGGTGGGAATGAAGTGAAGCGTGCGGGCGGGCAAGGAAGCGACACACAGTGAGCACTCGAGTGTAGGTAGGTAGGCAGGTAGGTACAGGTGCGTTGGATCGGTTGTAACGTGGAGGAGCCTTGACTGAGGAAGGTGTTGCCCTTCGTCATTTAATGTGGGAGCGGCAGTCGGCCTCAGCACCGGTGCTGGGGCGCAGTCGACCATGTCAGCGGCCAAGGGCGCCCACAGCCCGCGCCCCTCGCGATCGGACAAGGGTGCATGAGCGTGCATGAGCAGCATTGACGAGAGAGCCGAGGCGGCGTGAACACTGTCAACAACTTACTATGAGGGTGGTGCGGCCAGTTATACAAACTACTGCGAGACCCTGATCTCGCCATGCTTTGCGTTTGACAATGGTGTGTGTCCTGTTGCGCTCGCGTCGATCGATGCCCTGGGGCACCTCGTCGCACTGATGACATCGTGGCTTGCATTCGGAAAATAGCCAGCTTCCAAGCATCTGACAGGGGTTGCCATACTGCACGCTGGAAACCCCATCATATGCTGACGGAGACTAATCTCCTTCAACACAAGACGGAGAGACGAATCCAAGGAGAACCTCCAACTGCAGAAGTGCAATGAGGAGTTTTTGTTGCTTCGTACAATCAACATGCATTCTAGATTTCGAACTCCGCAATGAATCGGACAGGGCGATGCTCGTGAAATTTTTGACGATTGAACATTGAAAGAAACGCAAAGACGATGGAGGTTGTAGATCGAAACAAGAGAAGAAGGAAATGAAAAGAAAGGAATATGAATTCTTGTCGGGTCCTTAATTCAGTATCTGTGGTCTTCTAGTTGTTGTCAGATATCAACTTGCTCGTCAGACAAGCGCAGGCAGTTGATATAGCCCGACGGCGTGGAAATTAAGCTGTACGGGTGAAGGATGAAGAAAAGATGAAGTTGGAATAAGGTTAAGTTTTAACAAGGAGTCGTGTGTGTTCCGCCGGCACGAGCACCATGTACACCCCCACTTCATCAACGAGTCATTTTCATCGCCTTTTAAACTTTCACATGCATGACTTACGTACGCCATGGGAGCAAAAAACACGAGATCGCTCCGAGCTCGAAGATTTGGTGATATTGAGATACTACTGTCTATACAAATTCAGTCAGTATAATTATTCCTTAAAAAAATAAACTTATAGCTAAGAGCTTGAGCTCTGACGAGTGGTCTACGAAGTCAATAGTGAAACCCGTTTGCAGATTGAATGGCTTCGCTTCGTTTGTCCCCTAATTTACACCCATAATTTTCCCTGGAGCAGACACGACTGTTCTCCATTCATTCATTTTGTTTGTTGGACACGCCTATATCCTCGGCTGATGCTTTTCACATTTCTCAACAGGGATTTACATGAGCTCTTATGGTGAGTTAAACATTCAACCATTCCCCAGTGTCCAGGATGCACATGCTGTACAGGAAGAAACAATGCTCAAAACATATTCTTACAAACAGCCTTACAGGCCAGCTGAGCGCCCGACCCATCGCAGAAGCAAATTCTCCACACTAGTGCATTGCCAAAAAGCATGCAGATAATCAGATCTATAATGCACCTGTACGCCATGACTCAGTGAAGTCTAGAACAAAAGATTGTCTTTCCCACCCATATGAGGCGGTTGTGGGGGGGTTCGAGACGCTCGAATACCCTTTGTAGCAAGCGCCTTATTTGGTTTCTTCAAAAACTCCATACTGATAAGCGCCGCGGCGACGCTGACATTCAAGCTGTCGACGCCAAGAATGTCATCTCCCCTGACGCCTCGAATCCCGACAATGTAGTTTGCCCTGGCGCGCAAAGTTGGAGCGAAGCCGGAGCCTTCAGAGCCAAACATGAGAATGGTAGGTTGAATGGCAAGAGGTGAGTGTCCTCCCAGCACCGCACCGCTGTTTGGCCGTACGCAAGTAATTAAGGGAGATGTGTTGTCTGGATCGAGCGCACGCCAGTGGTGCTCCGATGTGACATTGAAATTGTCCTTGGGCGGCGGCGGCACATCCGCAGCGTATACTCGCCAACCTTGGAGTATACTGTGGGATATGAAATTTATAGGGTTGTTGACAGTAATGACGGGGATTGCTTCAACGGCGCCCGAAGATGCCTTGGTAGCAATGGCACTTAGAGGTGCAGTTGCGCGTTTAGATACGGCAATGGCATCGACGCCGAGATAATAGGCGCTCCGGAAGATAGCACCGAGGTTCCCTTCGTCCTTGATACCGTCCAGGTACAATACTAAGGGAAATCGCCAACCGTGGCTATTGTATTTGATCCTAGGATCATTGCCGTTGATCATCTTATCCTCTGCGCTTTGCTTGGTAAAGTCTACCTGGAAGTAGGGAAAGCTGCGGCTGACTCCCCGCAAAAATTCGCTAGGATATACTGGGAGGGGTGAGGCTTCCAAAACGCAACCCTAGGAGATATGGTCAGCGCGTAATCGAGGTTCAGCATGTTCCAGCAGAGGCTTACATTATGGGGCCTTCCTTCGCTCATCATGTCCAGCGTCTTAAGCCATGAATTGTCCACATATATTGGGGAGAGATGCTTATCTCTTGCCAGGGCCAGAAGGGTGGAGGTTGTGTTGTGCGTTTTATCGTTAGTTTCCTGGATAGATCGATTCAAAGCTCTATCGTGTATGTAGAGTTTGTAGAATCGCCTCCGGCCCGCCTTGAGGGCAGCACGGACGGAGGACATTCCATATATGAATTGCGATGCGGCCGTGGTATATGGAATACGGGAAATCTCAGGACCCTCGTCGCCGTACTGTGTGTCACTTTCTGCTTTAATTCAGTCGTCTGGCAAAGAAAAGGTTATGCTGGGCAAGCATACCAACCTTCATGTCCCTTTTCCGTCATGGCGGCCTCGTTGGCGGCAGGTTCGGCAAACTGAGCAGAGAATTCGTCATCGCTATACCGTGGTCGGGGCCCAAAAAGGTTTTTTCTGCTGCGACGTTCCGTCCCGAGTGTCTCGCGAATGCCGCGATGGATGGCGGAGTTGGTGGAGATGGCGCGGCATGGTCGCAGGAGATTGGGTGCGCGAGAAGCGCATTGTAGTAGTCGCCGCGACGATTTTTGCGTAGTTGCCTGCAACATGACGGTCGTCGAGTCGTGGTTGCAGCGGCAAAAAACTTCGTCTTCCCGTTCGCCGTCAGATGGACATTTCCCCGGATGGGGCGCCCGGGCGCTCGGACGCTGCGCGCGAAGGCGCGTTTCCCGTCTCGCGTCAAGCTTCCCTACTCTTTAACACCACCACCCACTACAGCTTGAGTCTGAGCGACCTTCCCACAACGTGATTCCTCGTTCCATGACCCAGTTAATGCCCGGATCGTCGCCAGTCCCGCAATTGCTTTGCGGTTTCCTACATTGCTCACCTACCGCAACCGCGCGCTCTCATGGATTCCGACTCGGATACGGAGAGCTTGAATGCTCCAACGGAGCAGACTGAGCGCCCGCCGACGAGGCCTTGGGACTTTCACTTGGTCAAGGTTGTCCCGTCACCCGTGGAAAACAGGGACGAATACGAAATATGGGGAAACCGCGTGCGCAAGGTGCTGCGAGAGATGGATGAAAGCGACGGTCTCTACTACAGAGTGGTGTTCGAGGACGCCCATATTGAGACAGTAAGTACATGAAGCAGCGGATAAGATCTAAGAGTTTCTATCACATGTCATGAGCCTTTCGTGACTCCTCTTTAACAGCACCTTCCTACACCTCAAACAACTACTCTTTTTAACCACTGCACCTCTCACACTGACTTGAACTAGATTTCTTTCGGTAAACTCATTGATCTGGATAACGGGAAGGCTGCTGTTCAGCGATTTCATGAACATCCCGAATCTAGTGAAGACGAACTCAATGCTGCCAACATGAAACTCAAGCTCACACTGAACGAGCCGGACGACGATAGTGACGACTACGGAACTTCTCAAACCCGGACTCGGATGCGTAGGGCAAAGCGAGGATTGCTTTTCACCCGCTCACGAAACAGCCCAGTCGAGGTGTCATCTGGCGAAGATGAAGACGAAGATCAAGGGTCGGATGAGAGCTCACCGACTTTGTCGCTTCGCCGTAGCACGCGCAACACCCGCAGCACCCGCACAAAACCACGTCAAACCAGAACTTCACTTCGCCAGGTAGACCTGTCCGATGAGGATGAGGACGAGCCATCGGGATCTTCAGACGACGGCGTCTTTCGATTACGTTCAGACGTTCTTCCTTCGACGCGGAAGCGGAAGAGAACCGACAGATTTGGAACTGAGAGCTCCTCAAAGTCAGCTCGTCTGGGCACGAGGCGCTCGGATAGGGCTACCCGGCACCAAATGAATATGGAGGAAGGTGCTTTGGATGAAGAGGTGTTTCGCGACGAACCGGATAAGCGGCCTGCAGCTCCCAAGGCAGTAGGTATTCGTGAAGTCTTCAAGGACCTTCCTCGCTCGGATCCATTCCGTCAGCGACACATCCAACAGTGCGACACGTGCGGTGAGGGCGTTACCATTGGGCCTCTTGTATACTGTCAAGGATGTCCACTGGCCTATCACAAGGGCTGCCTCGGTCATCGTAATGGTCGGGAGCACTTAGTTACGAAAGTCGGGGTTGACGAGTTCGTTCTCCAGTGTCGCCGCTGCATCAACGTGCCGAGGCGCAAGGATTCTTTGGCGCCAGACCATGCTCAGTGTCAAGTTTGCAGCAAGTCTGGAAGCTCTTGCCATCCTCTACGCGCCCGCAAGACAGCATTACAAGAGCAGAAGGAAAGGGAGGACAACCTTGGAGAGGATCCTATCACCAAAGTTTCTCCCGACTTGATCAATAACCCTCACAACGTCATGTTTCGCTGCGTCTCTTGCTGGCGCGCATTCCATTTCCACCATCTCCCTCCGAAGTCTGCGCACCATATGGATATCGAGGAAGATGATGAAGAGACAGCTGAACGTCGATTCACAGAATATACCCGTAATTGGAAATGCAAGGAATGCAGCGAGATGCCTGCCAAGGTTTCAGGCATCGTTGCATGGAAGCCAACAGACGAAGAGAACTACCAAGCCGGACTGGCCTGCGAGCAGATCGAGGAGGACGAGAAGGCCTACTTGATCAAGTGGGAAAAGTTATCGTATTTTAGGTCCACATGGATGCCAGGTGCTTGGACATGGGGTGTCACTGCGCCTGCGATGCGCAAGGCTTTCAACAAGCGCGAAAGCAGTCCTAAGATGAGGACCGAAGACGCCATTCCTGAGGAGTACTTGCGCATCGATATCGTCCTTGACGTCAAATACACTAGCATTGTCGACATCCGCACGGAAGAAATTGATAAGGCCCGAATCAAGGAGGTTGATGAAGCTTTGATCAAATACAAAGGCCTTGGGTACGAAGACGCAGTCTGGGAAAAGGTGCCGATACCCGAGGATGGTGATCGTTGGACGGACTTTGTCACGGCTTACAACGACTGGGTTCTTGGCCGTTACGTGCACGCTCCGAAGAAGGGTCCGCTCCAGGCACGCCTCGAGAAGGCACGTTCACATCCGTTCACCAAGCTCGAAAAGCAGAAACAGCCCGAAAATCTCCAGGCTGGCATGAAACTGATGAAATATCAACTCGACGGCCTCAACTGGCTATATTATCAATGGTACTCGAAGAAGAACGGAATTCTTGCAGACGAGATGGGTCTAGGCAAGACTATTCAAGTCATCTCGTTCCTGGCAACTCTTATTCAGGACCACAACTGCTTCCCCTTCCTCATCGTTGTACCCAACTCAACATGCCCCAATTGGAGGCGCGAAATCAAGCAGTGGGCACCATCTTTGAGGGTGGTCACCTATTTTGGTTCCTCAGCCGCGCGTAGCATGGCCTATCAGTACGAACTGTTTCCTGAGGCGAGCAAGGACCTTCGCTGCCATGTTGTAGTTACATCCTACGAGGCAGCCGCCGACGACAACTGCAGGAAATTTTTCAGAAGCATCAATTGGGCAGGCCTCATTATCGACGAAGGACAGCGATTGAAGAGCGACAAGAGTTTCCTGTATAGATCATTGAATGCTCTCAAGGTTCCTTTCAGGGTTCTCCTGACCGGAACGCCATTGCAAAACAACGCAAGAGAGTTATTCAACCTCCTTCAATTCCTTGACGACAGCATTGATGCAGCAAATCTTGAAGAAGAGTATACAGAAATGACCAAAGAAAAGATCATGAAGCTCCATGACTTGATCAGGCCATACATCTTGCGCCGCACAAAAGCACAGGTGCTTACCTTCCTGCCACCTATGGCGCAGATCATCCTGCCCATCTCCATGAGCGTCTTGCAAAAGAAGCTCTACAAGTCGATCCTTCAAAAGAATCCCGAGCTCCTAAAGGCTTTGTTTTCGACAAATCACTCGCTGAAACCACAAGAGAGGGCCAGCCTTAGCAACATCTTGATGCAGCTCCGTAAATGTCTCTGCCATCCATTCGTCTACAGTCGGGAGATCGAGGAACGCACTGATGTTGCCGCGATCTCACACCGCAACCTTGTCGAAGCATCAGCAAAGCTGCAGCTTCTTGAAATGTTGTTGCCGAAACTCAAAGAGCGAGGCCACCGTGTGCTCATCTTCAGCCAATTTCTTGACATGCTGGATATCATCGAAGACTTCCTTGATGGACTAGAGATGGGGTATAGGAGACTTGACGGCAGCATCGGATCGCTCGAGAAACAAAAGCGCATCGACGAGTTCAACGCTCCTGATTCCCCACTATTCGCCTTTATTCTTTCTACGCGGGCAGGTGGTGTCGGTATTAACTTGGCGACTGCCGATACTGTCATCATTATGGACCCAGATTTCAACCCGCACCAAGACATCCAAGCACTTTCTCGTGCTCACCGTATTGGACAAAAGAACAAGGTTCTTTGCTTCCAGCTCATGACGCGATCTAGCGCAGAAGAAAAGATTTTCCAGATTGGGCGGAAGAAAATGGCCCTTGACCATGTTGTCGTAGAATCGTTGGACGCTGATGATTTGGAGGAGAGAGATGTCGAATCCATCCTCCGACACGGCGCTGCAGAGCTGTTCTCTGAAGACAGCGGCGATCAGGATATCAAATACGACAACGCATCGACTGAGAAACTTCTTGATCGCAGCCAGATTGAGAACACCAGGACCGGAGAGGATGCCACCGCCGAGACGCAGTTTAGCTTTGCCCGTGTCTGGGCTAACGACCAGGGTGCCCTTGAGGGACTTCTCGAGATCAACGACGATGAAGAGGAACGCATACCTGACCCGAGCGTTTGGGACAAGATTCTGCAGGAGCGCGAAAAGGCTGCCGCCGCCGAAGCAGCAGCAAGGCAACAAGCACTTGGACGTGGCAAACGTGCTCGCATGTTGGTCGATTACAACGTGAACGACCGCGAAGCAGGACTCGATGTCGAAGAAGCCGACAATGTTGCCCCCGGAAAGAACCGTGGTCGTCACCGAAAGAAGGACGACAGCGACACCGACTTCCAAGCTGAGGGCAGCGAAGACGAAGAAAGCATCCCGGACGTAGGCGAGGCGCAAGTCGACGTCACGGAACTTGCGGAAGCGCCTCCTCAGAAAGACCGTGGCATTGCGGCGGCTCATGTGCCGAAGCCACCAAAGCCAGCCGGTCCTAAAGGTACGTCAATGACAATGAAAGACCCTGGCAGCATTCAGTGGGCTGGAGCCATGACGCCGGCCCACTTTTGGGAGCTCTAGGAAGCCACTTTGCTATTATCCGTTTTCTCCACCAACACGCTCTCGACGTCTTTTTTGGTTTATCGCTTTGTGTACGCATAGAGCTGTCTAACCTGTCGATTTTGTAGTCAAAGGGTTCAGTCGCGCCCGTTCTCCGCCTTCCCCTCCTCATTTCCCCTCACATATGCCTTTGCCACCAGGCTACGTTCGCACCTGTCCCGCCTGTCGCAAGACGCACGCGGTCGGCGCCTGTCCGCTCAAGATCGCCGGCCCCGAACACTGTAACCTTTGTGGTTTGGCCCATTTCGGCATCGCACGCGTGTGTCCACACATCGGCTCGGAGACGCAGGTCCGCGAGATGATTGCCGCCCTCAAGCAGAGCAGCGAACCGAGACATCTGGTCGAGACGGCGCTGAAGTACTTGAGGGGTGTCAAGGGCCATTTGGTTCAGAAGAAGAAGCAGGCGATTGAGAACAGCAAGAAGGGTACCAGTGTGCTGGCTCCTGTCCCGAGCAATGTTGTTCTGTCTTCGACTGGTCATGCTACTGCTGCTGGAGGTAGTGGCGGTGGAGGACACGGCGCAAGCAGCGCTGGCGCTCAGCCTGGAGCTTCTGGCAGCGTTGCGCAGAACGGCAGTGGGCATGGTGGCCGCGATACCACAGCAAACAACACGCCAGCACCAGCACATGAACACCACGACGAAGCAGCCGTCGCGGCAGCGCTGCAAAGCTACTTGAGAAACCCGGGCGGCGGATAGAGAGACTCGGCCTACGAAACGTTGCTGCATACGGATGCGACTTGCGGCCGTGCGGCATGCTTTAACTACATGCGTTTTTACGCGCATTCTGACGACTTGCTTTCCGAGAAGGTGTTGATCCCGAGCATGATTTCCGACAAGTACGGGTGGCGGGTACACACACTTACACTTATATATCCCCTTTCCTCTTCCCTTTCCCTTTTCTACTTTCACTTTTCACTTTTTTCACTTTCCAACATCGAAGTTTTTCTTGCGGGGCTCTTTGAGCATTCAAAATCACAAGTACAGTCACAATTACAGTTACAGTTACAGTTACAAAAGCTTGCTTACTTGCTTGCATAGCGCGGCGCAACATGGCGGGCGGAGCTGGGCGGGGAAAACGGACATGGCATTCCATCTACAAAAATACCCAGGTCGGGTCGGGTCGTGGTCGTGGGAGTGGTTGGGGTTGGGGTTGGAGTTGGGGGGAGGGGCTTGGGCTTTGGGGCTGGGTTGGTTGGTGCGGTGGGATGGGGTAGAGTATAGTTACGCCTGGCTATATACATACATACATACATACGTGCGTGTGTGCGTGCATGCGTGCGTGGAGAGGGGAATACAGTCAGTACATATGATGGATCTTTGGCTGTGTGTGTTCCATGTTTGTGTGCTTGTGATAAGTGGGAAACGGTGCTAGGCTTGCATGCGTGCTCGCGTCCTGTCTTGTTCGATGCTTCTTGTCTGTGCTTGTTGTTACGATTTTTTATTTTTATTTTTATTTTTATTTATTTTTTTTTTTTTTGGACGCGTTGGCGTATACCCTGCTTGCCTTGTTATGCTTTAGGAGGTACAGCTCATCTCACTCAGCGCAACAACCACTACGGAGGTACGATATCCCTACCTCGCTCCCAAACACACAAACATGCACTTCCAACCAAGCAAACAATCCACTCAATTAGTTCCAATCCAGTCATCATATCATTACTGCGCTGCGCCTATTACTACACTATACTACACCCGCCCACCCCCTGCGCCCATGCCACCATCACCTATCCAACCCTCACATCCTTCATCCTTCATACAAAAACGAAAACGAAAACGAAAACGGAGCTTGGTCCACCGTCTATAGTCTATGCCGTCCGTAGGGTATGTATGCATGTAGCATGGCATAACCCCATCACCGTCATCATCATCTCTCTCTCCCTCGCGCGCGCTTGTGGGGGGTAAGGGGGTAACAACCTAAGGTTGGGTTGGTTTGGTGGGCGTGCGTGGTATGTAGTTGTTTGATTGTTTATTTGTTTGGTTGGGAGGGTGTAAGGTTGGTGCAGAGGCCCAGCGGGGGGGTCGTGTTGGCATTGCTGTTGGTTGGGCGTTGGTTCTTGGTGTTGATGGTAAGAGTAAGAGTAAGCATGTAGGGTATGTACGTAGCAGCTCTGCTCCGCTCTGCGCCGCGCCGCCCACACCAACACACTCTCCCCCCGAGCCGTAGGACTTATGTCAGATTACGTATACGTGTGCTAGGTAGTAATGTGCAAGCGCCACAAGCGTGCTAAGCGTGCTAAAGCGTGTTGTGTGGTGCGGTACTCGTGGCGCAGCACTGCCCCGTTGCCAACAGGCCGCGCAGCCCTGACGAAACGGACGAAGTACGGTGGTGGTGGTGGTGGCACAGCACAGCACGACCCGACGCGGTCTGTTCTTGGGTTTCCTGCTCTGTCTCGCTAAACGGACAGTCGATAAACGCGCCGCAGCGTCAGTGGCCATGGTGGGTTTCGCGGCGCAGGGCTGCGCTAAGCTAGCTACCTAGGCTGCTGTGGCGCACCACACCACGTCGCAAGGACGACGACGAAGCTGCGCGGCGCGCGTATATGATGCGTTTGCTCGGGCAGAGACAGCAGGTCTCGGCATTAGGTAGATACGCGAGTTGGGGCGCGCACAGTGGAGGCAACAAAAGAAGCGGCAGCGCCTCACGAGCCGTGCCGCACGACGGAGGGCCGGGCGAGGTTCGCCGTCGAGCTCGTTGCGTCGGCCAGGTCGCTGGCTTCGCCGCCGTGCCCGTGGCCCTCGAGCGCTTCGTCGTAGTCGGGCGGCTTCGAGACCTGCGTGTCGCGCGTGATGGTGCGCATGGGGATGGCGAGGCCGGCGGGGTTGCCCGTCCAGTCCGGCGTCGCGGCTGTCGTCGGGGTTTGGTGCATTTCGGTTCCGCCAGCCATGATGACAGGGGATTCGGCGACCTCGGGCGCGGGCCCCGGTGCTGGCTGGTACGGTGGAGGCGCCTCGCCGTGCTCGTTAAGGCCTTCGACGGGCGGGTGGGCGAGCTCCGGCAGCGGCGCGCGGTTGCCGTGGATCCAGCGGCGGGTGTTTGCCCAGCCGTCGAGGTCGCGTGCGAGGTGCGCTTGCCCGGTTGCCTGGAGAATCTCCTTGCGCTTCTTCTTGCGGCGGTGCAGCAGGTACAAGGCGATGAGGAGGAGTATGACGACAACGCCGATGAACAGAAAGTACAGGTTTATGACACCGCTGCGTGGAACGTCGCCGTCACTTTCGCCTTCGGGAATGGCGCGTTTGCTGTGGGTGTGGTTGTCGGCTGGTCGGGAGAGGGCAGGATGGGCCATTGTCGTGATGGGGAACATCCCCCAGAGGAAAAGCATGGGGCTGTAAAAGTTGCCGAGGCGACAGGAAGGTGCGGAGAAAAACGCTGTGGGACTCGTCATACTGGCATGGCAAGCAGTGTCGAGGGCGTCAATGGCAGGAGTCAAGCAAAGGCAGAGAAGACAGGGCTAGGAGCAAGACGACGGGCCCGACGGCGGATGAGCGCGGCAAGAGAGTGACGAGAGAGATGAGAGTAGAGAACGCGCGTATGTGTGGCGGACGCAGGCAAATAATATTATTAGAATAAATCAGCGCAGGACTGGGGACAGGGAGGGCGCAATCATCTCCAAACGGCAATAAGCAAGGAGCAAATATACAGCGCGAGAGAGAGAGAAGTTGAGAGTGTGCGGGAAGCGTTGGAGGTGGCTGAGAAGAGCGGATGGCGTGGGATGACGAGGGTCCACGGACTTTGCGGCGACCGGTGCATGTGCGATCAGCCCTGCAGGAGTCCGCGTCGGGCGATCTCTAGCTGAAACTCCGACTCCGTCACCTGCACACTTCCTGCGAATCACCCGCCCACCGCTTCAACTGCGCTGCTGCTGCGTGTCTGTCGCTCTTTTCACAAGCTGCTGTGTTCATTTTTTTTTTTTTTTCTCCGCCGTGCCGACTTCTCCGCGTCAACTGGACGTTTAATTAACGCGCCCTCTATTCTTCACGCGCCTCACGTAAACCCCCAAGTGCCGGCGTTTCAGCCCGTCGACTGCGCCGTAAGGATAACCAGACTTCCATCATGCCCCGTGCTATGAAAGGTGCGTGCTGCCTCGGGCCGCCTGAGACTGCTCGAGTTTGAATCGCTCACGTCCGTGCAGGCGTGCTTGTCCAGTGCGACGAGTCGATCAAGACCATTATCCTCAAAATCGATGCCGAGCGCAACGACTACATTATAGAGGACCTAGACGATGAGACCCTTGTCGTTAAGGCTGACAAGCTGAACGACCTGAAGTGGAGGCTGAAGGAGGTAAGTTGCCAGTTGATCTCTATACTGAACGCGCACTAAAATATCTCAGTTCTTGCGAGACGCCGTCAAAGAGCCCGAGGAGTCTGGTTCAGAGTAGCGAATCAGTACCTACTGCTTCGTGGCACCTACTAGCTGCCCCGTATGCGACGGCACGTCCATTCCGTCTATTCCTTTGCGTATCAGACCCTGTCAAAGGCCGTTCCATTGTAACTTCTGCTGGGAATGTAACCTGGACTAGTAGGCATGGACCATGTTCTTCTTCTCGGGAATGTTCACTTCCGAGCGCCATTCAATGCAATGCGCCTCCGGTTCGACCTCGTCCGGTGCATTGAAACCCTCAACGACACTGACTCTGGTCACGTTTGATCCCGCGCTTACGAGTTCCACCTTGAAGCACAGGACCGGTACCCAGAGAAATGGTAGCTTCCCCCGCAATCGCACGTTTCACCCTCATCTCCGTGTGCTGCTGTCCAACTTGGAGACATCTTGGGGATTGCAGTGCTGGTGATCTGCGATCTGCGGCAGCAGACGAAAGAGAAAAAGCTTGTGCTTCGTCAGCCAGTGTAGCTTAATGAGACTCCATAGGAGCGGGGTTTGATCCAGTGAGCAAAAGAAAAAGAGTTCGTAAGACTGTAGACGTTTCCAAATATCCTCATAGACGACCGGATAGAGCCCTACAGATAGTCTTTTGCCTGTCTACGAGCTTGCACTGTATGTGCAGCTGAATAGCGTACAAAATATGTGTCAATTCTTCCGCTTGGTTCGACTATGCTTCTATGAAGTAGTTCGCAGGTTTGGCTAGAGTTGGGAACCAAACGGAGCTGAGCCAACGGGCGCTTGTAGATGAACGTGTCGTGGACACGAGTGGGGTCGTGATAGCAAATACTTAGGTCAAATTAACCAATTGTGCGATGCTTAAAACTGCTGACTGACACAAGGCCTAGGACGTGTCCGCAGCTAGTATCTACACCGTTATCCAAGACGTTTAGACTCAAATATTCTCGTATCCGTACAATCGAACTCAAGCTAGATGGAATTTGACTCGCACAAAATCTCTTCGTAACACTCACGCTTCGACCATGTCTGAAGCTAGTCGTACGAACGCAGACTGGTCACGATGGTAGTTCCGTTGTGTGATGGGATCATGTAATTTGACCAGCGTTGCAGTTGCATTGCTCGTCGTTGAGTCGACCAAGCAATCGTGCAGCAAGGCGCCGTCGTGTTGCCGCCCCCCCCGCACACCAGGAACAGGCACACACAAGGGCGGGTCCCGTTGGGGCGACCCGGAAGCCAGCTCGCTTCTCTGATTGGTGGACTAGGCGAAGGGCGAGCCCGAGCGTCCCTACGGCACACAGCTCTTCGACGACTTCAGATCATTTCTCGCGGAGCGAAACCAACCAGCGAACTCGACAATCCTCTCCCACCAACAAAACACCAAGATGGCCGAGCAACTTGTGCTGCGGGGCACCCTTGAGGGCCACTCCGGATGGGTTACGTCGCTGGCCACCTCCCTCGAGAAGTGAGTTGCGCACGCTGGGGGAAAAAATTGGGCTTTTGGAGCAATTGGAGGCTAATCGACGGACAGCCCGAACATGCTTCTGTCCGGTTCTCGCGACAAGTCGCTCATCATCTGGAACCTCACCCGCGACGAGCAGGCTTACGGCTACCCCAAGCGCAGCCTCCACGGTCACTCCCACATCGTTTCCGACTGCGTACGTCCCTCCGCGCGCCCGGCGAGCAGTAGCAGGCCGAATTTCGAGCGTGGGACAGTGGGCGCTAACACGCGATTGATTTGCAGGTCATCTCCTCTGACGGTGCCTACGCTCTTTCCTCCTCCTGGGACAAGACCCTCCGTCTGTGGGAGCTCTCCACCGGTGTCACCACCAGGAGATTCGTCGGCCACACCAACGATGTCCTCTCCGTCTCCTTCTCCGCCGACAACCGCCAGATCGTCTCCGGCTCGCGCGACAGGACCATCAAGCTCTGGAACACCCTCGGTGACTGCAAGTACACCATCACCGACAAGGGCCACACCGAGTGGGTTTCCTGCGTGAGGTTCTCCCCGAACCCCCAGAACCCCGTCATTGTCTCTGCTGGCTGGGACAAGTTCGTCAAGGTGCGTACAAGAACATACCCCGCAATTTTTCCCGCTTCGCCTTTCACATGATGCTATGCATTTTAAAGTATTTGCTACTTCAGAGACCTTCGGGCTATGAGACAAACATTCACCAAAGCACTGATCCACACCGCAATTTTCACACTGCACTTCAAACGCCGCAAAAAAAGGCATCGCAGGCGCTAACTCTGCGCAACAGGTTTGGGAGCTCGCTTCCTGCCGCATCCAGACCGACCACATCGGTCACACCGGCTACATCAACACCGTCACCATCTCCCCCGACGGTTCCCTGTGCGCCTCCGGTGGCAAGGACGGCACCACCATGCTCTGGGACCTGAACGAGTCCAAGCACCTCTACTCTCTCACCGCCGGTGACGAGATCCACGCCCTCGTCTTCTCCCCCAACCGCTACTGGCTGTGCGCTGCCACCGCCAGCTCCATCATCATCTTCGACCTCGAGAAGAAGAGCAAGGTTGACGAGCTCAAGCCCGAGTACGTCGAGGTTGGCAAGAAGAGCCGCGAGCCCGAGTGTATCTCTCTGGCTTGGTCGGCGGATGGCCAGACCCTGTTCGCCGGTTACACCGACAACAAGGTGAGTGTTTCCGCAGCAATCCCCGTGCCCTTGACGTGTGCTGATGGCGTTGTAGATCCGTGCCTGGGGTGTCATGAGCAGGGCTTAAGCGGGGTGTTTTTTGTTGGTGGGTGTGTGTGCAAATGCTCTATGGGGCATGATGGATACGAAAGAGCAGCCGTGAGGTATCAGCATTTACCTCGCGACTCACATGGGCATTGTACTTTCACGGCGCTCAGAGAAAATCCAAAACTTTTCAATGCATGGGATTTTAATCATGGTGTCACCTAAAGAAGCTTTGAATTGGCGTGATATGGCGCCGTTTGGCAACGGCGGTTGACTAACTTTGGCACAGGGAACTTGACTACTTGTCATCGTATGTATGTACAGCCGGCGCTTGCACATGCCGTGACATTGCCGTGCTGGTATCGGTACGGGGTAACCATTACAGCTTCTCGAACGTGGGCTTCCGCTTCTGGATGCCGGAGAGCAGCGCGTCCTTGATGTCCTGCGTCTGGATCATGGCGCTGTTCCAGACAGCCGTGTAGCGCAGACCTAAAAATGGCACGGTTCGTTAGCAGCAGCCCATACACACACAGTCCCCTCTCCCACCACCACGACCAAAAAAAAAAAAAACAAAAAAAAAAGGCAAACACAAAACCATAAAACCAAACAAAGCACAAAACAAAACTCACCCTCCTCGACCGTCCTCCCCCAGCCATAATCCAATATCTCCTTCGTGCCCCTAACCGCCACGGGGCTCTTCTGCGCCACAACCCCCAGCACCTCCAGCGCCCTCCTCACCCCCTCTTCTTTCCCGCCTTGCACAACCTCGCTCACGAGTCCCACGCGCAGCGCCTCTTCGGCGCCGAAGACGCGCCCCGTCAGCGCGACGTCCTTGACCCACGCCATGCTGCCCACGGCTTTGGGCAGCCGCGTCAGCGTGCCGATGTCTGCGGCTAGGCCTATGTCGACTTCTTTGATGGCGAAGCGGGTCGAAGTGGTGGTTATGCGCAGGTCCGTGGATAATGCGATGTCGAGCGCGAGGCCGTAGGCGAGGCTGTGGAGGAGGGTGAGGGTTGCTAAGGGGGGGTGGGGGGGGTTAGTGTGGGTTTTTGGGTGGGGGGTTTTTGGGGGGCGTACGCTTCTCGCATTTTTCGATCGCGGTGATGCACGCTTGGAAGTCGGTTATGTGGCGGAGGTTGTAGAGGGCGCGCTGGTGTGTGGCAGTCAGTCAGTCAAGCTGTACCTTACTCTCCCTCTTCGCTCCCGCGTCTTCTCTCTCTCTCTCTCTCTCTTAACTCGGCCCGCGCAACCTACGTCCTTTCCTAATACGAACAAACAAACAAAAAGATAGGTAACAAGCTACTGCTACTGCTACTGCTACTGCTACGACGACTCACCCTAGCAACGTCCTGACTGGCGCCCTCTTTCTCGGCGTCGGCGAGCGGCCCGCTCTGCGCGGCGGCGTGCACGTCTAGCCCGGCTGTGAAGGCGCGGTCGCCGGCGCCGGTGAGCAGGATGGCGCGCACGGAGGGGTCGTGCGAGAGCTGCGTGAAGATTTTGGCGAGGTTTTGCCACATGCTTGGGGTGGTGGGGTTAGTTTGGTTGGTTGATTGTTTGTTTGGGGTGGTGGGGTGGTAGGTATATATGGATGCGGGATAGGTGATGTGGATGTTGGAGTGGTAGAAGTTGGGGAATTAAAGAAATAGAGAGATGGAGTTGGGATTGTTTTGGGGGATATATTACTGAAAGAGCTCACATCTCGATAAAGGCATTGAGTTTCTCTGGCCGGTTGATCTCGACGTGCGCGATGTAGGGCTGGGGAAAGGTGACGTTGAAGTACTCGTACGAGTAGTTGTTGGATGAAGAGGGAGACATGGCGATGGCAATACAGATCAAACACTCTAGATGAAGACTGGTTCAAGGAAATACAGAAACGGCAATGCGGTTACATGTATGTCAGTTGTCAGCGCCGGCACGCGGAGTTTATGTACTTCACATGCCTCGGCACAAGGGCAGGGGCCAAGGCGGTCTGTCAACTGAGGGAAAGAGAGCTCCAGCCTCCAGCCAAACATCATCGCCAGAGCTCCAATTGGAACAGCGGCCATGATACGCGCGCACCGCAGCCACCAACCCTAAACTCCACAACGCGCGCGCACCGAGACCAGAAAATATGTCGACGCCGACGAACCTACAAAAACACCCTGCCGCCGCCGCCCATGCCACCGCCCATCACGGCACGACGACGACGCCCAACGCGCTCGGCGCCTTCCCCTCGCCCGCCCCGCGCAGCGTGCCCTCGCCCGCCGCCACGCGCAAGGAGGCCGGCAAGTCGCCCTTCAACGCGTCGCACAGCCACACCAAGGGCCTGGTGGGCAGCTCGCCGGCCGCGGCCGCCATCAGCTTCGACTCGCCTGGCGCCATGGGGCTGGGGCTCGGCGCGCTGGGCGCGCTGGATGGCGGCGTCGGCATGGGCATCAGTATGAGCGGGATGAGCGGGCTGGGGCTGGGCATGGGCCTGGGGAGCTCCATGGGCGGCCGCCCCGACGACACCGAGCAGCGCAAGCGCTTGGAGGGCATTGTTGCGACGCTGAAGGCGCGCCCCGGCAGAGTCAGCAAGGAGGGCCTCGAGCGCTTGGCTAAACAGCTGGGCCTCTCGAGCGAGGTGCTCTCGGATGCTAGCGGCGAGCAGGTGCTCCTGGCCCATACGAGTATCATGCTGGATGTGAGTTTGCGCGGCGGCTTGGTGCGCGTCTAACGCTGGTTCTGACGTTGCAGGTCACTTTTCGCAGAAATGCTGTCGAGAACGTCAGTGTCTCGTTTGGCGCTCTTTCTGAAGCTATCCAGAAGCACGAGGATTCGGCGGCGAGGATCTTCAAGGATGACTTGAGCCCGGCGCCCGGCGCGGCGAGCATAAATTTGTCGTTGGAGAAGTTTTCGAAAAATCTCGAGCGGCTGGCCCGGTTGGACAATCTCAGCATTTTCAAGGATGGCAAGCCCGAGGTCAGCTGCTTCGAGGCGATCAATGGCGTCTACACGAGTCTTCTCAAGCTGTTCGAGCATGAGAAGAAGACTGCGAAAGCTTTGTTTGATGCGTCTGGGTCGAATGCTGACGAGAAGGCAGCACGCGAGGTCTTGTGCAAGAAGAGCGGAAGGCCCAGGATGAACGTCAACAAGACCGTCGGCCTGTCCTGGGAGTATTGGATGGAGCGGAGAAGCGTCTTCAGCAAGCATAGAAAAGCTCCCGATGCGGACAACGACACGGCAATGGATATCGACGACTCTGACGACGCATCGTCTGACGAGTCTGCGGACAGAATCTACTCTCTCACAATCGAGTGTGAATCGTCTCCAGCACATCTGTACCCGTCCATCCGCGTCAGCGATTCGTGGGTATCCGATACAGTCGAGAAGGCGTCGGACCCCAACGATCTCTTTGATGCGTCGATCATCGACTGGCTGGATCCGCCTCCATCATACTCTGGCGCAACAGACAGCGCACAAAACGACCCCATGGCCCTGGACGGCATGGGCAAGCTGCCCAACGTGCGCTTCGTCGCCAAGCTGAACCCGCCACTGGTCTTGCCGGCCAACACGGCGCAGCAGATCCTGGCCTCAGTCAATGCGCAGGTCAACGAGAACACGGTGCGCTGGGTCACGCTGGACGCGGGGATACTGAAGCCGGAGGAAGAAGCCGCGGCCGCGGCGCTTGGGCCGCAGGAGCCAAAGCAATACAGCAGTGTCAAGAACGTGCTGGTAGTGGATGAGGACGGCAGGGAGCATGATCGTCGGCATCAAAACACCCTGTTTGTCAACAAGCCCGAGTTCTGCCGCGTGGTCGACGAGATCCCATTCGATCACCCGCGCCAGATCACCCAGATCCTGCCGGTAAGCCTCGCAGCGCTAGTCTCTGCGACTCGTACACACGTACGTAGGTACTAACAAACACCTAGATCCTTCGCCAATACGCGCACCTGACCAGCCTCCTCCAAGCATCCTTCTGCAACGACGCCTCGCCCGCAGCCGCAGAAGCCGAAGCCGACGCCGCTAACCCCTCCCTCCCCATCAGCATCGGCGTCGCCGTCACCGGCCCCTCGCCCACCCTCACGGTCGTGTACCCCCGCTCCAACAGCGCCCCTCAACAAGACCAAGATCAAAATCAAGACCAAACGCCCCACCACCACGCCCCGATCGAGACGCTGGACGCGCTGCTCGCGCCCGCCGCGCCGGCAGGGCTCGTCACGCTCGCCGCGTCGATACTGCCGAATGCGGATGTCGCGATCTCAGAGCAGAACTTGTTGGCGCCGCCGCTGGAGAGGGGTCAGGGGCAGGGGGAGGGGGAGGGGGCGGGAGAGCGCGTGCAGGAGGACCAGCGGAGGCGCATTAGGGCGTTGGAGCGCTTGGGGAGGGCGCTGGAGCTGAGTGCTGATGTCGGGGTTTGGGTGGAGTGGGCTGCGGGGAGGGGTGGGAGGCTTTAGGGGGATGGGGAGGTAGGTATGGGTTGACGCAATGAGACGAGACGAGCTTCTGCGCGAACGACGGGTTGTGTTTTCGTTGGGCTATGTGTGGTAGACTGAAGTTAAAGCTCGGGCATATGCGGAGAAGAAGCTAGGTACCTATCAACCTAGGTAGATCATCATCAGCAACCTAACCACCCTTTCTCTTTCTCTCTCTTCCTCTCCTTCCTCTCTCTTCCTCTTCCTCTTTCTTTCCTCTCCTCTAGTTCCCCCTCCCCCACCTTCTCATTAGTTTCTTACTAAAACCACACGTTTTGCCTGTGTAGTTACTCTCTTCATCCTACCTTGTCCACCCCGTCCTTAATACGAACCCATGACCCACCTCCGCATCGCATCACATGGAAGTCGGGAGTCGGAACTCGGAAGGAGCGGCCCGCGCGGCCCGCGATGTGCGTGTGTGTGTGGGTGTGATGTGTGCTTGGCGCTTATATGGCGGGGAGGGATGGTGTGTGTGTGTGGGTGCTTACTGCTTGAAGTAGCAGGGAATGAATGGTGTAGGTAGGTGCGCGGTTTTGGGGGGTCTTAATGCTGTACGGATTCGTATACCTACGTAGTAGCTTTAGGTTTTAGGAAAGGAGGGGGGGGAGGTGATGCTTTACTGTATACCAGCTTTTCCACTAGATCTATATGTATGTAGGTGTAGGTATTGTCCTTTTCGTCCCTCACCACTCTTCCCTCACTCGCTCTCTCCGCAGCACTCTTCCCTCACAGCGCAACGCATACCATACCCTACCTACGCACGCAGCAGGCACCAGGCACAACCTACAGATTACACCCAGTGCACGACCCGACCCGACCCGACGCAGAGCAGCACCCCGCTCTAGGCGCTTGGCTCCTGCCTCAGGCCAGGTCTTGGCTCTTGGCTCTTGGCCTGCCCGCTCGCCCACTCCCGATCCCTGCCCTGGCTCTGGGCATCAGGTACCTCTGGGTTTCAGGCACCAAGCAAGCACGCCCATCCCATCACGTCGCATCGCATCCCACTCACGAGTCACTCACTCGGGCGTCTGCTTCTGGCGTCTGGGTGTCTGGGCCTGGCCTCGCATGCGCACAGAGCAGGAATTGCCCTTTGATGTTGGGTGTGAGCGCTTTTCCCCCATCCCCATCCCCATCCCCCGCGCCCGACGGCCGACGCTCCTTGTGCCTTGCGTTACGGTTGCGTTGCGTTGCAGTTGCGTTGCGTTGCGTTGCGTTCCGCTCCTGGTGGCTTGGCGGGCAGATGTGCGGACGGGCAGATGCGCGGGTGCGCGGCGCTGGTCGTGGCTTGGACTTGACTCATGCCTGCCACTCCCGTACTGCAGCTCGGTTTGCGTCGGGGCGATCGTGTGCGCGGCCCGTGGTTTGGTTGCTGGTATAGGTAGGTAGGTGCGGGTATAGATGTGGATATGGATGGTGAGGGTATAGCCGGAGTGGTTTTGCTTTGGGTCAAGGGAGGGGGAACGTGTGATGTTATGGTGGCTGGGATGGATGGATGGATGGATGGGGACGTGGTTGGGGATAGCGGGGTGTGGTTGTGTGGTCGTGTGGCGGGAAGAGGGGAGGGGAGAAGGTAGGGCGGTCTGTTAGGTAGGTTGTCATGGGGGTTTTGCTGCGGTGAGATTGGGTTGGTTGGGATTTCGTTGGTTGCTAGGAAATAGAGCTATATAAATATTTATACTCGTATATACTACTACTAAATCCTCCGTCTATGCCTCAGGCATCTAGATATAAAACCAACGTAGAAGTAAAAGCATACCACTTTGCTATTTATATAAATAAACTCGCTTTACGTTAGATGTTTTTTAAGACTTTATAATTTACTAGACTTAGTAAGTAGGTAGAATAACCTAAAGTAAGAATCCTTTTTAGATACTATATTCGCTTTTATAAACCTATAGAGTACTATTAGGTGAAGACGACAATAACCCGCAGTATAGAGATACTCTATATCTAACTACTAGAAAAGTAAGGTTAGTATTAAACTATTTCGAAGTGAGAGCTACGTTTCCGTCCTACAACACATATAACAGAGCATTAGCCACCGACGCTTCTCCACCTACTGTACGAGTAACCAACCAACTACCCACACACAGCGGCACGGCCCGTCCCGCCTCCATCTAACTCCACCTATACGAGTACACCGTGCCAACCAATTTCTGGCAAGTACCCTCAACTCAACCCTCCCTCTACACCCACCTAACAAGGAAAGCAAGCACGTGTGCCCTACCCTACCCTACCCTACACCCTCCCAACCACACCACCCAAACACCCCAACTTACGCCCTAGCTTACGCCCTAGCTTACGCACCACCTCCTCCGTGTACGAATAGAGCAGCTACTAGATACTACATACGGAGGACACCAGCACTGGTCAGAGCAACAAACGGCACCTGAAGCTGAAGCCCTAAGGCGTGCCAACGGTTTGTCTGTCTGTCTGTCTGTCTGGCTGGCTGGCTGGCTGTGTCTGGATTGCATGTATGCATGTAAGACGACCACGACGGCACTGACACTGACACTTGTCACCGCCGCTTAGCTTAGCTCACATCGCATCGCATCGCACAGCGTGTTGTGTGTTGTGTGCTTTGTAGTCGTCACAGACAAAGCAAGCACACCTAAGCCATAAGCACAAAGACACTCCAGTCGTCAGACCCAGCAGCACCGCCACCACGACAACCACACACTCACTCACATTCACACGCACTCACAATCACAAAGCACGCAACCATACTCGAGAGCAAAACGCGCGCGTGCTTCCGCGACGCGACGACATGAATAACTAGCTAACTAGCTAACCAGCTAACTAGCCAGCTAAGCAAAGCAAAGCAAGCAACAAGCTACCGTACTCTGCTCTTGCCCAAGCATAAAACAACAACAGCGTTATAAGAGAAACAAAAACCCAAATAGGTAGCTCGCGAAAAAGCAGGGGTGGGGAATCGTCTTTCCAATGCATCCGCACTGGCGTACATTAGAGAAGTGTGTGGTGATGGTGTAGGGGGGAGAGCGAAGTAGAGACAACGTGTAAAGGTGAGTGAGACATGCAGCGGGGAGAGCGCGCCAGAACGGCAGCAGCAGCTAGCAGCGCCGACTACGAGCCAGACAGCTAGCCAGCCATCTGTTCGCTCTCTCCTTTCTAGATAGGTAGGTAGGTGGTGGGCGGGCCTGCAACCTCGCGGCGACTGGGCCCGCCTCTCTCATTAGTGATGCGGAATGCGGAAACGATAAACAGGAACCCCGGAAAACACCGTTCTATACCCAAGCCCAGGTTGAAGGACGAAGAGAGGATGATGATGATGATGATGCATGATGCAACAACAACAAGCAAAAAAGCCCGCTACGCCGACGTGTAGGTGCAGCTAGCTGGCGGGAAGGATGCAGAAGAAAGCTTTTTACGGCTTGGTGATGGGCACGACCGTGTCCTGGATGATGGTATCCGCCTCGCGGACCTTCTTGGTCATGTCGGCGCCCTCGACCTTGCCGCAGAGCGTCTCGACGATGATGCCGGTGATTTGGTAGGGGTCGGCGTTGGAGGCGGGGCGGCGGTCCTCGAAGTAGCCCTTGCCCTCCTCGGCGACGGCGCGGTTGACGCGCACCGAGGCGCCGCGGTTGGCCACGCCCCACGTGAACTTGTCGTACGAGGCCGTCTCGTGGCGGCCCGTCATCCGCAGCTGGTTGTCCTCGCCGTACACCTCCATGTGCTCTTTCTGGCGCGCCGCCAGCTTCTCCATCGCCGCCTCAATGTGCTTGATGCCGCCCTCCTCGCGCATCTCCTTTGTCGACACGTTGGTGTGCAGGCCAGCGCCGTTCCAGTCGCCGGGGATCGGCTTGGGGCTGAACGTCACCTTGACGCCGAACTCTTCCGCGACGCGGTGGAGCAGGAAGCGGGACATCCAGAGCTGGTCACCAACTGTTACGTGCCTCGGTTAATACAGCTAGATCATACTACGAGACGGGAAAGGGTGGTGTGACTCACGGTTGATGCCGACACAGGGGCCGACTTGGTACTCCCACTGGGCGGGCATGACCTCGGCGTTGGTACCCGAGATCTGGATGCCGGCGTACAGGCAGGCCTTGTAGTGCGCCTCGACGATATCACGGCAGTAGACCTTGCCGGTACCGACACCGCAGTAGTAGGGGCCCTGGGGGGCGGGGAAGCCGTTCTTGGGCCAGCCGTAGGGCCAGCCGTTGACGTCGAGCAGCGTGTACTCCTGCTCCAGGCCGAACCAGAACTCGTGCTTCTCGTAGGCCTCCATGACGACGGCGGCGTCGTGGCGGAAGTTGTACGCGTTGGGAGTGCCATCCGACATCCAAGTCTCGCACATGACGAGGATGTTGTCGCCCAGACGGAACGGGTCGTCGTACATGGCCACCGGCCGGAGGTACACGTCCGAGTTGTCGCCAGGGGCTTGGCCCGTCGACGAACCGTCGAAGTTCCATTCGGGCAGCTCGCTGATGCTCTCGGGCTTCTTGGGGAGAGTCTGCAGGGGGGAGGGGAGCCGGGTTAGCCAAGAGCTCGTGTGACTCGTTGCGGAATGCGGGCGGTGGCAGCTAGGGCGGCGGCGGCGACACCGGGCACCGGGCGTGGGGGGCACGCGCGGGCGAGCGGCATCATCGCGCATAATCGCGCGCGGCCGAAGATAAGCGGGCTAAAAAGCACGCAGTTGCGATGCGCGCGCGCACACCCATTGCGCCGCCGATTGTGGGGCATGAGAGAGCTTGACTCACCTTGCTCTTGGAGCGGACACCGTTGGAGCCGTCAACCCAGACGTACTCGGCCATGATGGAGCCGCGCTGGGGCAACCTCATGTACTTCTCAAGCTGCGATGCGGGTCAGTAAAAGGGCGCCGCAGCCAGGGACCACCAAAGTACTCACAGTAGCAGTGTTGGAGATAACTGTTGAGTCGGCCTGGAGTTGCATTGTCAGTGAATTGCGGCGCGGGGAGGAAGGGACAAAGGAGCAGGCGGCATCATACCATGGTGAAGGATGTGTATGAACTGGCAGAATAAAGACAAGTATAGAGATAGAGAGAGAGGGAAGGATGGAGAGAGGAGTCGGGAGTCGGCGCAGGAAGAAAGAAAGCCGATTGGAGTCGGGACAGAGGAGAATGGGAATGTTGAAAAGAAGCAGCGGCGCGGGGGGGCAGATAGATATTTAGGGAGGGCTGAGAGAGACAGGGCGCCAGGGTTTTGAGCCACTTCCAGCGCCGTGGGATTCATACTACGGTACCACGACGCCGGCCGCCTCGACCGAGCGCTGACGGCCAATGACGGCTTTTGCATTTGTTCATCTTTCTCGTGCACGCTACCACCGGCTATCTCTGCTGCCCTACACTGCCCGTCTGTGACCGGTGACGAGCCGGGGCCCTGGTCTGCTGCGCCGAGTATAAACTTGATAGCTTGGGTACAAAGCACACGATAAACACAGCAGCGGCGGCTTGGGCGGCAGGGGAACGGGTACGAGCTACAGGCCTACAGACCTAGAGAGAGAGGAGGAAGGCTGATACGAAGATAGCACGACTATGCAACGCCGATAGCAAGAGCAGTGTGTACCCCGCAGGCCGTGGGACGGGCTCAGCTCAACACAGTAGATAGGCGCAGGGGGCCAACGGAGGGCACGGCGCAGGCGGCCGCGCCTTTTTCCGGGCCTCGCGACATCGGGTGAAGACAGTACCCCAACGCGGCCCTTATCGCCCAATCGACAGACGCGCCATGACACACAGCCCGGCTAGAGCCGGCCTCGGCCCATGATCGGCGCCACTTGCCTTGCCGACGCAGCCCACGCCTGGATGCCTGTTCCGGAACACGAACCTGCCTGTCCTATTCTTGGGCCCATCCGCGGCCGCCCCCAGGCCGGAGCGCCCACTGCACTGCACCGCCATCGCCACCCCGACCATCTCCTTTGTCAACCACGAACAAAGGGGGGCCGTCGCTCCGAGCATGGCGTGCCAGCGTTTTTGCCAGCAGGTAGTTGTGTGTCCAAGGGCCGAGATGCCTCCTCCTTTTTTCCGACTGTGGACCGCCGCCCGATCGCCCTGCAAGTTCCACTTGGCCTCGTCAGATTTTCACGCCGTTGTGCAGGGGGGTGTTGAGGGATGCGCGAAAAATGGCGGGTTGGCGAAAAGACGGGGTGCGAGGCAATTCCCACCCCGCTGCTCGACCTGGAACGCTTTTTTCTTTTTCACTTTTTTTACGTACCACGTACGGACAAGCCCGGGGACTCCGCACCTCTCCCGTAAACTCCCGCTCTCCCGCCCTCACCCGCCCCCGCCCCCCCCCCCCTCATTTCCCTCCCTCCCCAGACCTGAACACATGCACTCCGGATCTTCGTCCGCTGCGACTTTGGGAAAGGTACCAGGCACGGCACGCCTCCACGCCTGCGCCAAGCGCATCCGGTAAGCTCGTGCCCGCAAGGCAAAGTGTGGAGAAAGATTGCGCGATGTCCAGCTCCCGCGCCGTCCGGGGCTGATCGTCTGTCTTCTAGAAGCATGTCCAGCTTCTTCTAGACATCAACCACGCGACACTTTTCTGATGGACCCTTGACGGACCCTGCGAGCGAGCGACGGTTCACAGTGCTATTTTGATTTTTTCTCTTCTTCGTCGTCATCCATCCAGTAATTTTTTATTTCTCCCTTCATCTTACAGTACAGTACATCGCGCATCATCATCATCGTCAGCATCCTTTCACAACACCGGGCAATCACTCCTCACCACCATCACAATCCCATCCATCCCCGTCATTGTCACCAAAAAACAACGCCTTGGCACCCACCATGCACAAAAACAACGCACAAGCAAAATCCCAAAAACGCCCGTTGAGCCCTACAGCAGCGCAAGCCAGCCCAACGACTCCGTCACTAGGTGGACAGGGCAGGGCAGCGACCCAGGCGTCCAGCGCCGTGGCCCCCTCACCGCTCCGTCGGCATCCGGCAGCAGTGTTCGTTAGCATCGTCGCCTTTCTCTTTGTCCTTCTTCTCCTCTCTCTTTTCTCGTCGTGGCCCACTTCCCGCGTCCCACTCACTCACTCTCTCCTCACACCCCACCCTCACTGCCTCACTACGCCAACACCCCTCCCCGCCACTCATACGCCACAAACTTGCTGCTGCTTGCGGCCGTAGCGGTAGCCGTGGCTGTGGCCGTGACAGTGGCTGTGACAGTGGCCGTAACTGTAGCTGCCCCCTGCTCTGCCGTTGCTGCCCTGCTGCGCCGCGCTGCCAGAATGCTCTGCCACGCGCCGTCGCTCAGGCCCGCGAAGGGCCGCCATGGTGTTGGTGCTTGTGCTTGTGCTCGTGCTGTTGTGGCTGTGGAGGCGGTGGTGTAGGCGGTAGTCGTGTTGGTGGAAGCGTTGGTGTGGGCGCTGGCGTGGGTGTGGGCGTGGGCGCTGGCATTGCTATTCCTGCCACTGGCACTGGCACTGGCCCTCCCTTCGCTCTCACCATCCCCATCCCCATAACCATAACCATCACCATCACCATAACCATCACCATCACCATAACCATCACCATCGCAGCTCCTGCTCCAATCCCCCACGAAGCCCACGCCATCGAAACTCGTGCCCACACGCACACTCCTGCCACCCAACCCCAACCCCACTCCGCGCACACCGCCAGCATTCCCATTCCCATTCCCACCACCACCCCGTCGACAAACAGCACACACGCCCGCCTCGTTCGCGACGCCCAGATCGGCCCGCGAGGAGCAGTGTAGCGTTGCGCCCGAGGGGGTGCGCCGCGCGCGCACGCATGGCTCGCCCACGAAGCGTGGGCGCGCCGCCCAGTGCCCGCACTGGGGGTGGAATATGCTCTCCGTTTGGCACATTGTGTTGGGGGGTGGAGGTCGGCTCTTTTCTGAGCAGATTGTTTGCGCTCCTCGAGAGGTGGCGGTGTGGTTTTTGGGTTTTGTGTAGGTGGGTAGGTGTGTGAGTAGGTAAGGTCTAGTTGCAGACAGGTTCGCAACTCTTTTCTCGTGGGTGCGAGTGCTTGGGAAGCTGGCAGGCGGGCAGGCGGGTAGGCGAGGCGTTTCGGCAGTCTTCTGCTTGTTCTTCCTTTCTCTTCTCGTCTCCTCTCGACCGGTTTCTTCTTCTTCGCGTTCCTTTTCTTCAAACACAACTGCACAACACCACGGCACCTCCTCGTGGGCGATGAGTGCTGTTGGCTGTAGGCTGTAGAGTTGGCAGTCGATCTCAGAGCGTATACGCGACGAGTCCGATCCAGTCGAACCACAGACAGACACACTGACAAGGTAGGTAGACAAGGTAGACAGCAGTAGAGTCCAATACAGGTACGCAAGTACGCAAGTAAGTACGCAACCAAGTAAGTAGGAAGTACGACTCGTTGTCGAGAAAAACAACTACCCGTCGTTTATACACCCCCGTCCCCCAGCACAGCGTCTGTACAATGCCATTGTTTGCTTGCTCTACTTTACTGCTTTGCTTTGCTGTACTTTGCTGCGCTGTATTTTGTTTGGCTGTACTCTGCTTTGCTTGGCTGCGCTTTGCTTCGCTGCACGGCACTGCACGGCACTGCTGCTGCGGGCGCGGGTGCGGGCAGGGTAGGGAAGGGATAGTATGGATGGGGATAAGGCTGTGGGTGTGGGTAGGGGTAAGGGAGCCGCGGCCATGGCGCTGGGAGGAGGCTTTGTGCGGATGGGGTTTTGCTGTTTCTATTCCTTGGGGTGAGGGCAGGGGTGCGGCCGTGTGTACTGCATTGCGTGTGCATTGTGCGGCGTTAGGTTGGGCGCTGGGCTTGGGCTTTGCTTTACCATCCATGCTTTGCTTTGGCCTGGCCTGGCCTGCCCACGCAAACTAGGTCTGGTGGGCTTTGAGGGAGAGGGAGGGACGCCGTCATGGGACGTGCATGCTGCTGCGGGCGCGACGGCAGCGTCGTGAACAATGCTGTGTCGTGCGCGTGGAAACGGCTATGTCTTGTGCCTTGTGCCTTGTGCCTTGTGCCTGTGCCTGTGCCTGTGCTTGCGGCTGCGGCTGCGGTTGCGGTTGTGGCGTGCCGGGGAAGAGGTACCACTGCACTGTACTGCACGGCACTGCACTGCACGGCGGCACGCACGCATGCGCAGAGCCGTATGTAGTCGCGCGCGTGGGCTGGGGCGCGTGGTTGTGTGGGTGTTTGGATGCTGCTGCTGCGACCAGAAAGACAGCGATGGTTCGAGAAAGCGCATTGTGCATTGTGCGTTGCGCGTGGTGTTGAAGCGGCGTTTGAGTCTCAGCAGACAAAGAATGCAGGCAGGTGCTTTAGCTGGGGTTGGTTGATTGGCGCGTGGCTTTGTCTGTCTGTGGACAATGGCGGCGTGTTTTAGTCTGGTGTTGTTTCTGCTGGCTTTGGCTTAGTTCGCGCTGCTGCTGCTGCGGGCAGGGTGATTGATTGATGGGGGGATTGTGTGTTGTGCTGTGTGGATTGATGATACTGCTGTTTGTGTGGGTGTTTTCCTTCTACCTAGGGTTAGTTGTCTTTTCTTTCACTTTATTCCTTCCTTCCTTCCTTCCTTTCTTTCTTTCTTTCTTTCTTTCTTTCTGCTCTGCTCTGCTTTACTCTGCTCTTCCGCTGCCTTCTGTCTCTATTCTCTAACAGGTACCTACCTACTCCTAGTCTTCTCGCAACCCAACTCACAACTCACCCTCACCCTTCTCATCCCTATCCAAAATAAACACCATAACGCACCCTCCACCCTCACCACTACATCCTCACTCTACATGCATACCTACCTTACATACACTCCGCACTCACACCCTCCCACCCAACACCACACCATACCACAACCACCACCACTAAAACCTCCTGCACAAACCTTACAACACACAGCACCCCAACACCAACACCGACCCCAACCCACACACACACACACACACACACACACACACACACCAAGCACCAGCCAAGCATCCGCCGCACCCCACCGCCGCGCCGTCGCACCACAGCCTGCGCGCACCCGCCTCGCACCCGTCCCGCCGCCGCGGAGGCACGCCAGCCGGGGATTTGGAAGCGCGGGGCACCGCAGCGGACAGCGGCCGAAGGGGCTCGGCTCGGCTCTGCTCTGCTCTGCGAGGCAAGGCATGGCATGGCAAAGTGAGGCGAGGCGGTGCAGTGTACGTGAAGCGTGGCTGCTATTGTATTTATTGTATAGGGGCGGGCGGGGCGCGTGCTGCGTCAGGGCAGGGCAGGGTAGGGAGAGGGGAGGGCAAGGGCAAGGCAATGCGAGACAGGGATGGGCGAGGTCGGGCGAGCTGGGTGGGTTGTGGTGTGAGGGTGGGGAGAAAGGGGGAGGGTAGTTGCTGCGAACGCTCACCGCGTCTGCTTGGTCAGGTTATTGGGGGGTGCGAGTCGGTGTGTGAGACTTAGCTTAGGGAGAGGTCTGTTATGCGGACGCTTGGTTGAGTTGGGCTGCGGGTCTATTTTCAGTGCTGGTGGTGTTGGGTGTCGCAATGCTGCGCGGCGTGGTATTGTCATCACCTTCCACCACCACCACCACAACCCAAATCGCCGCGCGCGCAAACCACCGCACGACGCACGCAAAAATATGACGAGCGGACAGATGGACGGCCAGGCGGACGGGCAGACGGGTGCGAGGACGATGCCATGTACAGTACGTCGTAGCCCGCTGCGCGGACGGATATCGGTGCGCTAGCGGTGCCGGGCTCAAAATAGCAGCGCAGCGCGGAGGGGGTACGTGAAAATAAAGTTTAGGACGGATTTAGGACAGGCGGAGGTGATGGTGGCGGGGGAGCAAGGCAAGGGGGGGAAGGAAGCAAACAAACCGGACGTTGCTGACAGAGCGCGAAAGGCTAGGGGGAAAGCAAACAAACAAACATCTGACGGCGTCGTGGCACATGACGAGAGAATCCAGAACCACGAGGCCACATTTGTGAGATTGAGCGTCGATGGCCGGAAATAAGGACACCAAGAGCGGTGCGAGATCTTCGGATGAAGGTTTAGGAGAATGCTTTTGAAATCCGAAGGCGGTGCTTTGAGATAGCCCCTTTGATGATGGCTGTATAGTGGACAAGCTATATACACTTATTAGCCAGTACTGCCGCAGTCCACTACCTAATATCGACGTCGGAGGTCGGGAAAGGCTACCGTGCATATCTCCGGGTTAATGATTTACGTGCCTGGCCGGGATGGCCAGCTTATAGGCAGACGGGTCGGAGACTGTAGTAACGATGTGACAAGTGTTTCAGGATGCTGTACCGAGAGGTTATTGGGCTCGTTATTGCTCTTTAGCGACAGGGGGTTTATCGAGAGACGCACGGCCCCAGGGACGAGGTCGCTAAAGATGTCTGTTTAAGGAAGCGCGCGATGCCTAACTCACGGCAAGCCGGGAGTGTCGGTGAACTTTAAGGCCATGATTTACCGCTGATGCTTTGCAGATAATCTCCCATTGTAGGTCAAAGTTAAGCGTCCCCGCTGCTTGAAGGCATCGTCGATGGGCAAATTGAGTTGTCGATCAGCTCATTTGCCGAGTCGCTTGCCAGCGACGTATCATTAACCCTTCTCGTCGGCAGAGAGAGTTGGCGAATATTGTCGCCCACACTATACTCGATCGATCGGTAAGTCGAAGCGATAAAACAGGGACGATATAGCGGCCACGTGCGAACTGTAATTCCGCAGCCTTGCAGCCGGTGCTGAGAACGGGTGGCTCGAGCGGCGATGGTGTACGGAGGAGAAGAGACACGTCGGACCGCTCCCGAGGGCTCGCGAATGGGGCTGGAAGACGCAGGCGAGGGCATTCGTATCGCGAGCGAAGTGTAAAAAGAGTGGCTCGCAAATTCGGATGTGTCGCGCAGAAAGCATCGAGAGGGCGGGATTCCAATTTGAGCAGGGCTTTGAGCCTCGAAGATCTCCCGGTGCAGATCGCCGATAATGAGCCAGCCAATGGGAACCGTGCCAGGCTGCAGGCGGGGTCTTTCGGCTCCTTCGGCTCCTTCGGGTCCTGACACAGCTCCTCTTTGACATATTGATGTATTTTGTCACTCCACTCGTCCCCCGATCCAGCCGCTCCACGACAATTTGGCTGGGCCCGAAGCGATTGTAATCGGGGGGGCCAGACTGTCCGCTGCAATGTCATGCGCGAGCGGTTTCATCATTCACCTCGAGTCAAGGTGCCAAGTGCCACTGACGGGCTGCATGTACGTCAGGTCACAGGTGGTGCCCCGGGGGACGGCCTAGCGCGCACAACCAACGAGCGCAGGAACTTGGGAGGAATTGGCATATATGCGGAAAACGGTCTCCTGGGCCGTCATGTCGCAATCCCTCAGAGACGTGCGTTGATTGTCTCGATTGAGTAGAGTAGTCATTGGCCCGCGCGACGTCCGTGTTGAATCTGATCGACACCGGGGTACTCCTCACTGGCTGAAGACCCTCTTCAGCCCCCCGACATCCCACCTCCAGTCTGCCCGCCTTCTCTTGCTTCCTTCTGCACCCCCTCGCTGCCTTGTGACAGTGCCGCGGCCGGCCAGTTACTCGTCCGCCTGAAGCCCTGCAAGCCATGCATCGCTAGCTCCTTCATCCTCCCTCTCGTATCAACCTTGATTGTCGCTCGCTCGCTTTCTTTTTTTGCTTCGTCACTCTCGTTAAACTTCCCCTGTCGCGGGAGCTCACTGTGCGACACCAGCGTCGCGGGTGACTGATCGCCTCTGCTGCCGCGTATTTAGCCCACACCCTGCCATTGGTGAGTTCGAAAAACGAACCAACGACAGTTGCACCTGCGCCTCGGCTGACGCTGGACTGCCAGCCCGCTTTCAATCGCGTCCTTACATCCGCCGGAATGCATCGCACGCCGAGACAGGACAGCAATCCGTCGCCACGCTCCAGCCAAGCCCACAGCGTCACCAGCGACCGACACTCCAGCACCACCAGCAACCTCGCCCACGTCTTCGTGCCCACGCGCATCGCGCCCTCGCCCGCCTACGTCGCCGTCGCCGCCGCCTCGCAGATCGTATCCGACCACCACAATGCGCAGATCATCGATGAGCTGGGGCCAGAAGAAGCCGAATACGCGCCTGCCGAGGTCGCCCTCTTCTCCGATGAAGCTCTCTCGCTGCTCAATTCCTTCCTCGACTCGCTCCTCTACTCCATACTCGCGACGGCGCGTTCGCCTTCCCTCCTCGCCATCAGGCCCGCGGTTCTCGATGTCCTGAAGCCCCGGCTTGCGCGTGAGGCCATGAAGGTCGCGGACGAAGAGCTGTCGGGCCTGCTGGGTGGAGGGGAGGACGAAGAGGAGTTTCCCAACGGCCAGAGTGGTGAGGAATGGAATCTTGAGGCCAGCTTCAAACGGACGCGTCTGCGCATCATGGTCTACACTCGGTTGGGTGAGCTGGAGGACGAGGACGAAGAGCGTTTCCTGGAGCAAGACGAAAGCTTTGCCATGGAGGACGAGGATATCAACCCAGACGCTGGCCTGGTATCTTGGGCCGCCGCCATATTCTTGACTTCCATCATTGAATACATTGCTGAGCAGACTCTCATCGTCTCGGGCCAAGCAGCCTACGTACGCGTCTTGGGCAAGCAAAAACGGAACGGACAGACCCATAACGGAAGCCTTGGACAAGAGGATGTTGAGCGAGTTATAGTCCAGGAATTCGATGTGGAAAAGGTCGCACTGAACTCCGCATTGGGTCGTCTTTGGAGGACGTGGAAGAAATCTCTCCGGGCACCCACCACGCCGCTTTCTGCGCCTCCGGGACGTCTTTCCTTTGGCCGCCAATCGCACCCGATGCCCGCTTCGAGCCATCGTCGGTACAGTATGGGCGACACACCTGAGGATGCCCCAGTCCCAGATGCCGCAGTCCCAGCAATGCCCGAGGCCAAGCATGCTGAACCAGCCATCGCATCGAACATTCCACTGCCGATGTCTGACAATGACGTTTCCGAAATTGAGGCACCCCAACTTGAGGTAATCGAGGCTCCAGCTAAGACCCCGCGTACTCCCACCCAAGCCGCTGGCAAAAGGCCGACCAGCTGGATGCCAGGCGCGATTGGGGCTCCTCCGGCCCGCCCTTCTCGCACGAGGTCGAATTCTTTACCCACGTTCAACGAAGAAATGACCACGAAACGTATGTCGCGCGTTCCTGAATGGCCCTCGACTCCGCCACCTCTTAAATCCAAGAAAGAGCCAAAACATGTGCGCGAGCAGTCCATCAACGATCACAGCCTGTCACCCGCACTTATGGAAAGCTTGCTTCCGGGAGCACTGCCCGGTGCTTTTCCTGCGCCGCCTCCGGTTAGAGCCAAGAGTGTCCTTCGCGAGAACTCACCGTATCGTTACAGCTTGATGATGAGAGGCACTGAGGCCGAGTTGGAAGCTTTGAGGAACAGCCCGCCGTTGAGTATGTTTCCATGTTTTTCGACCCGACCTGTTCGATCTGACACCATATAGGAGAAGTGCAAGAGGGAACCTCAGGAACAAATGGCCAAGTGAACGCAGGACCTGCTCAGGCTGAGAGACCGGCCACTGCAGCGGCGTCCACAGGCAATGGTCTCGCTCAAATATCAGAGAAGTATAGTTCGTCGCCCCGGTCGGCACCGGCCAACGAGCAGGTCGAGGCTGGCAAATGGCAGCAATCCACGCGACCACCGTCCGCACCCGCCCCTGCAGCGCGGAGAAACAAGAGTGAGAAGAGTAGAAATCAACCAACTGTCGTAACGGCCGAGAGCAAAAGAAAGTCTTTCACGCCTAGCCCCACCACTCCGAAGCGTGATATAGAGCCCGCTGCGGTGGCCAGTCGCACTCACTCTCACTCCACGAACAACTCGTCCTCTTCTTTGCAAAAGGCTCCAGCAGACCCATCAACGGCTGCGGCTTCGACGCTCGCGCAGAAGTCAACGGAGAGCATGCGTGCTCGTGCAGAGGCATACGCGACAGAGCGTGCGGCGCTGCAACGGGTCTCTTCCGTCTCTTCGGCGGGCACGTCGATCCTCCATGCCTCTCATGGATCGGAATCAAGCCTGGGCTATAGGCGCAACGGCGGACTCAGTCCAGACATGACCGAGGAAGACCGCATGAAGGCGTTCGACTCGCAGCTGGCGGGCGGCGACACAGTGTATTACACACTGACGCCGCATCGCATGCGGGAAGGGACTCCAGAGCCCGGGCAGGTCATGGATGAGGCAAAGGTGATGGAGTCTCCAAGTTCAGGCTCAGGCGCTAAGGCCATGGGTTATCCGCGCGTGCTTGCCGGCGAGGCAACCGCACGATCCAGCTCATCTAGGGCGTCCAGCAAAAGGGGAATGAGCAGCAATGCGGATCGGAGCTTCTTCGACCCCGAGGACACGTGGGAGAAGGAGCGTAAGGCTCCTCGCCCGACTCCCATCAACGATTCCAACAACATCTACTCGCGAAGCAAGCTACTACCCAAAGAACCTCGCGTCCAGACAGATCCGACCTTCGACTTACGCGACTTCCTCCTCTCGACCACGCCTGTTGGCAAGCCCATCAGCAGACCTCCCATCACGGCGCCGCCCAAGTCTGCTCCCTCGGAGGCGACAACTGGGCGAACTCGAGCTGGGAGTCTCCTCTCCAGATCTCATAAGACGTCCCGAAACAATTCGGTTAGCGGCGTTTCATCCCAAAACGCATTTGGTAAAGGAAGCTCGGGCCTTCAATCACCGAAGAAGCACCTCGAACCGAGGAGCCCAGCCGGCCCGAGTCATATCGACAACGACCTCATCGATCTTATCCGTCAGGGCCCACCCGGTGCTCCAGGCAAGCGCATCCCTAAAACCGTAGCTCCCTTCCGCGATACCATGGATTCGGATCAACTGGAATTGTACGCCAGCACTGTACCATCCGAATTTTCCCAGAACACGAACAACTCGCGTAGCGGCCTGCTCCCACCTCAAAGGACCAGCCAGCCAGCCTTCAGCGGAGAGCCTCAATCCATTTCCGGCAGCATGTCATCCTCAGGACCTCCCGATGTCACCGTCAAGCGGCCCAAGAAGCGTCTCGACCCGTATGCCATCCCTTCAGACGACGAGCTGGAGGCAGAACTCGAGGCGATGGAAGAAGAAGACGATGACGACGACCTGACGGCATTGCCACCCAACAACCACATGGGCATCGGAGCGCCTCCGGCCAGTCCTCCCGCGTCACCTCCGAACAAGGTCACCGGCGCCGCGGCTGCGCCTAACAGCATCGGTGGCGCCGCCAAGCCGGCCCGCGGCATGCAGAGCATGGCCGACTTTTTGGCGTCGGAGCCGCCGTCGGGCGTGACGACCAACGCGCCCGTCTTGCCTTTCCATCTCAGCGAAGAGACGATTAAGAAGATCAAGGCGGGCGGGAGCGCGACATCGCCCGAAAGCATCGGCAAGGCGCCGCCGAGTGCGCACAGCGCGCGCACGGCACCGACGATTAAGACGACGGGCTCTGTGATGACGAACAACACGTCGGGGGCAACGATGAAGTCGCCAGCTTCGACGTTCTCACCCATGCCGCCCGTTGCGCGTAGGGGCACCGGGGCCTCGGGCGCGTCGTCCTTGGGAGGACCGTTCGGCGGGCCGGTTGGCGGCAGCGCGAGTTCGAGCGCGAGGGCGCGCATGGCGGGGCGGGATGCGCGCATGGGCGACGGCGAGGACCGTGGCGGCTTGTCCGAGATGGCGGATTTCTTGAAGAACTCGGGCCCGCCGCCTAGTATGGCGCAGGATGAGAAGCCGCTGCCGTTTATCAAGCTCGGTAAGGACGGCATGCCGATTGATCCGGCGGCGCCGTCGTCGGGGAAGAGGAGCTTTACGAGGTTTTGGCGGAAGTAGGGGTGTGATGTGTGGAGTGAGGTGGGGATGGAGATGGGAGATGAGGGATGAGCTCGCTCAGCGACATGCACGCACGTTATGGGCGACTGGGTGTTTTTTTTTTTTTTTTTCGTCGTTTTCATTCCGATTTTGCATTTCCTTGGGTCTTACTTAGTTTAGTTCCCTTCTTCTTTTTCTCTTACTTTGTCAGCGTGGTATCCTGGATCGGACGGTCGGTCTGCTCTGCTTTTTTACTCTTTGTTGGTTGTCGCAGCTACTTATATCCCATTTCCTTGCCTCTCTCTCTTCCTCTCTCTCTCTCTCTCTCTCTCTTTCCCTCTCTCATATTCTCTTTTGAGAAAAGGAGAGAAACAAAAAGCTCTCGCAACAAAACTCTCGCAATCTCAATGCTCAATCGCCCGACTGGTTCGGGCTTCGTACTCTTACGTACCTACTACCTACTTTTATTGCTACTCGTAGTGTTTGTTGTGTTTCTTTGAAGGTGGTGATGGCGGTGGTAGTGGCGCAGAAGAAGAAGAGGAAGTAGTAGAAGAAGAAGAAGAAGAAGGAGAAAAAGAGTGACGACGTATTCATCATCCATTCATCCATACATATATACCTACTGGGCGCGCGTGTGGACTTAGCTTGCTTGGTTGCTTGGTTGCTTGGTTGTCTTGGCTTGATTACTTGGCTACTTGGTTCCTCGGTTACGTACTCCTTAGTACCTTATCGTGCTTCAGGCTGAGACGCGGTTCCGTCAGTTGTCGTTTCCTCGGTGGGTGGGTGTTCGTGCGTACATGCGTGATATCACAAAACGGCGGGTAGAGGCGGCGGTGGCGTTGAGTGAGTGAGTGAAGGAGAGAGGTGGGGTGGGTGTGGGTGTGGAATACCCTTTTTCGTTTTCGTTTTCTTTTTCTATTCTTATCCTTACTTTGGGTGGATGGATGGGTGGTGGTTGGCTTGGCTTGGTCTTAGCCTCTTGGGCATAGAGGGGTTGCGGTGTTTGGCTTTGTTTGTGTGTTAGTGGGCTGCGTAGGACTGTATGGACATGGTATGGTGCTGGCGCTCTGGATATACCACTGGCCGCGTTCGTTGTTTTGCCGTGGTCTTTAGAGGTCGGGACTTTGTTGTGTTATGCTGTGTTATGGGTTGGGCTGGGATGGGATGGGATGGTAGACGGGGCGGAGATGTACTGATGATGGATTGGCGGGGTTTGCGTAGAGGTGTTGCGGGGTAGATTGGTAGAGGTGTTTGTGTATGTGTATGTGAGTGGCTTGTTGGGTTGGATTGTGTTTGGTTTATTTGATTTATTTGATTTTCTTTTCTTTTATTTGATTGGAGTGGCTAATTGGTTGGGCTGTAGGTACTCTATGTACTCTACAACGTCGTTGGCTCAATGGCCAAGCGGGGGCGGGGCAGGTGGCTTGTAAAAGTAAGATAGGAGACTCTACAAACGCACATCTTTCATTGACTGCACACCTAAACAGGCGCGTCAACATCACCACCCCTACTCCCGACCCACCAGCCTCTTAACCCCCTCCTCAGCATTCCTCACGCCCTCCTCAAACTTCATCCCCTTGGCCAAACTGGCCGCCTCCACGTACCGTCGCCTCGCCTCCGCCACCCGTCCCTGCATCTCCGCGAACTCGCCCAGGTTGTGCGTCGCGGTTGCGCACGCCATGTCGCACTCCTCGGTGCGGTCTGGGGGCGCGATGCCGGACGCCAGATTCACGGCTTTGGTGGCCCAGAGCCGGGCCTGTTCCACGAGGGCTTGCGTTGTGGGCAGGGCGGGCGTGGTGGCGGCTTGCTTGCGAGAAGCGCCTGAGGCGGGGTTGGGGGCTGTGCTGGCGAAGCCGGGTGGCGGCCGTTGCTGCGAGAGTGAGATGGCGAGGTTGTTCATGAGCGTTGCTGCGTGGCAGGATTTCGGGGGTGCGTGGGTCAGGGCTTGCAGGAAGAGGGGCGTGGCGAGGTAGTGCTGGTTCATTTCCTCGTAGTGGTGCGCGAGAGCTGCGGGGCGTTAGCGGGGTGATCGTGTTTGTGTGTGAGTGTGGGGTTAGGACGCACCCTCCATGCTGGCGCCCATTTCCTCGTCGGTGATCCAGTCACCCTCGCCCTCCTTGACGCCGTCTTTCTCGCGCCTGGCCTTCTCCTTCAACGTCGTCTCCACGGCGTAGACGAGCGATTCCTCCGCCTTCTCACGATTCTGTATAAACTCGTTGGAGTACAGATCGCCGAGCTTGACGCTGATGCCGATCGTCTTAGCGAGCACGCGCGTGCGCTTGCCATCGTTCCAGTGCTTATCGCCAAGCGCGTCCATCCAGCGCAAGCAGTCGCGGCGCACAATCTCGAGCAAGTCAATCGCGCGCTGGTGGTTCTGCATCTTCTCGAAGAACGACGCGAGCTGGAACTTGACGCCTAGAATCTCGTCGCTGAACGGGTCCATGCCAATCTCATCTGCGACCTGCAGCGCTTGCCGGTAGTACTTGACCACATCCTTTGGCGACAGCGACCGCTCCTGGCTGAAGTACAGCGCGCGCCGCAGCTTTATGGCGACTGGCTCCGGGAAGTTGTGGAACACGCCCACGACGTAGTGTTGGTAGACGTATGGCGCGTAGAGGTGCACGGCGAACCCGAACAGGATGCTGGTGGGCGGCGATGTCAGCGCGCGCGGGGATGATGCTTCGAGGCGGGATTTGTTACCAGGCCGTGGCCAATGCCATGGTGAATGGATGGCGCTTGAAGAGCACCTTGGCTCCCTCGACGGTTTTGGATGCATGGCGTCGGCCAGTGTGTTGTCCGGAGTGTCTCGGCAGGCGCGGGCGGGCGGGGAATCTGGCAAAGTAGCGTACGGGCTGCGGACGGGCAGAGGAGAGATTGGCAGAGAGGTTGCGCAGAGAGCGGGCCGAGGCCCTGCACGCGGCTCTGGAGAACATGGCGGGTTTGGAGCAGTGGTTGATGGGGTGGTTGCGCGCGAAGTTTGACGTTGACGACCAAAGCGCGATGGCATAGGGCTGAAGCGCGCCGAACCCTGTTGGTTGCGTCATGCATAGCATCGGCCGCCTCGTCTTTTGGCCCAGCACCGCTCCAATAAGAAAGCAAATCCCACCACACCAATATGTGTGGGCGCTACGCCTCCTACCAGGTCAGTTGCTGTGCCGGGCGTCTCGGAGCCAATGCTGATGCGGGCACGCACAGCGGCCTGCAGAGGTTCGTCGCCAGCTCGAGCAAGCTCACATGCTCTCCGAGGAAGCTCCCGACGATCACGACGTTCGCCTCACTTACAACTTCGCCCCGGGCAATCGTGGCCTCGTTTACAGGTCATCTGTCCCAGATGGCGGGGCCCCGGACGTAGACGCGCCCGCAAAGCAAACATACAAGCTGCAGGTCATGAAATGGGGTAGGTGATAATCTAATGCACTATCAGAACCCTTGCTTGACGATAATTGACGCCAGGCCTGGTCCCTTCTTGGACCAAGCGCGCTCCGGACTATGGCTCCATGCTCAAAACAATAAACTGCCGCGACGACTCTCTGCTGGAGGACCGCGGCCTGTGGAACTCAATGAAACATCGTAAGCGGTGCATTGTCGTCTGCCAGGGATTCTACGAGTGGCTCAAGAAGAGCGGTGGCAAGGAGAGGATCCCGCACTTTGTGAAGCGCAAAGATGGCCAGCTGATGTGCTTCGCCGGCCTGTGGGACTGCGTTAGATACGAAGGTTCGCAGCGCATGAACGCAAGGCCAGGCTGGCGGGTCCGTTGACGTACGCGCGCGCAGGCTCCGAGGAAACCCTCTACTCCTACACCATCATCACCACCGTCTCCAATCAGCAGCTCAAGTTTCTCCATGACCGCATGCCGGTCATCTTGGACAACGGCTCCGCAGCCCTCGGCGCGTGGCTTGATCCCGGCCGCCGCGAGTGGGACAAGGAGCTCCAGGCGCTGCTCGAGCCGTACGCAGGAGAGCTCGAGTGCTACCCGGTCAGCAAAGACGTGGGCAAGGTGGGTAACGACTCGGCATCGTTCATTGTGCCGGTGGACAGCAAGGAGAATAAATCCAACATAGCCAACTTCTTCACGCAGGAAGGGAGCAAGGAGGAAAAGGCGACGGAGCAAAAGGCAGAGGCCGAGAAAGGCGGTAAGGTTGAGGGCGAAGGGGGCGAGGCTCGTGGCACGTCAGATCAGTATGGCACGGAGGACAAGATGCCGTTGGCTCTGTCCCCGGATTCTGGTTGCAAGCGCGGCGTCAAGCGAGGGCACTCACCGCATAGCAAGGCGAGCAAGATGAGCAAGGCGAGTAAGGCGAACAAGGCGAGCAAAAGCGCGGGCGACGGCAGCCAGAAGATCACGGCCTTTTTCGGAAAATGAAGGGCGAAGGATTGATTGGCATGAAGAATACTGGTAGTGGCGCGGGTGACACGACACGCTGTATAGTTATTATAAGACTCGGACACAAGCGGACATGGACGGCGCGTGGCGGACGCGCGGAAGCTCCTCCGCCGTCCAAGCGCGGGATTCCGCGTGCATGGCTGCCAGACTCCTCTGCATTGCAACTAACTGCGCGTCCCGAGTCAGCCTTCGTTTTTTTTCCGTCGCCAGCACAATGGTTATAATATCCGTCACGTTTCCTCTTGCTTGCCTCGCTTCGCCACAGCCGCGACATGTCGTCTCTCCTTGATCTGCTCACCCAGAAGCAGCCCCAGTTCCAGACCCGCCAAGCCCTCATCATCGTCGGCCTGCAGAATGACTTCATCTCGCCTACTGGAAAGCTACCCGTCTCCAACGCCCATGGCCTGATAGAGCGCGTCAAGAAGCTGGTGCCCGCCTTCCGCGATAACGCCGGCGAAGTCATCTGGGTGCGCACCGAGCTGGATCCCAAGAGACCCGTCGACGACGCCGACGACGCCGATGCCGTCGTGGCCAACCTGCCCACCGAGGAAGAGGCCAGTTCGGATGATGGGGCCGGCGCCGGCCCTGCCACCAAGTACGTCCCCCCGACCCACTCGGTCCATCCACCTGTTCACAGGGTTGTTGCAGGCAGCGTCGGGCGCGCAGCCTGCTCAAGCGCATCTCGGTGAGGAAACAAAAGGAGGAGGCCAAGGACCTGCCCGTTCCGGACAAGGAAGATGAGTTGTTTCTTACCAAGAGCGCCGCCCTGCAGGCCTGCCTCAAGGCCAGCTCGGGGGCCGCCTGGGCTGACAGCATCGCCGCTTCGATTGACGACAAGGCAGACATTGTCATCACAAAGTCCCGCTATTCGGCCTTCAAGTCGAACAACCTGCTCCTGACGCTGCGGGCCAAGCTGATCACCGAGCTTTATGTTTGTGGCTGCATAAGCAATATTTCCGTTTATGCTACTGCAGCCGAAGCCGCTCGCCACGGCATCACTATCTATCTTATCGACGACTGCCTTGGCTACCGTCGGCCGGAGCGACATGCCAAGGCTGTGCGGCAGATGGTAGAGCTCTTTGGTGCTCACACGGCTACCAGTGCGAATTTGATCAAGCAGCTTCTGGAGCCATCGGAAAAGGGCCAAGGCAGTTCTGCAGAGGGGGCAGAGCTGGAGGAAGGCTTGAGGCGAAAGCTAAAGGGACTGAATCTTAACAATGAGACGAAACCCAATCGCTCGAGCAGCTCGTCGACCCGCCATAAGCAAAAGTCTCCGTCAACCGGTTCGAATAGGGCCTCGACGCCAGGTACTGACCTCATTGGCTCTTCGAGTGGTCCGTTGGAGGTCAAGGAAGATGATGACGACGAGCTGGACGAGGAGCTTCCCATCTTGGCAAGACATCTGTCTTCTCGGTCGACTCGGTCGGCTCTGTCAACTCGAAGCAACATTGATGCTGCATCTGAAGCAGCAAACAGTAATGGAACGACTAAGCATCCTCGGATTCGGATGCGACGAAGGCCGGGGTCTTCCAAGAAATCGTCCGTGGATAGCTCGTCGAACAGGCGGAAGGACTCTGAGAGAGCAAAATCAGAGCTCACCAAAGAGCAACAGGCTGAAGCGAGCTCGTCAAAGCCTTCTGACTCCAGGCCTGACTCTTCGCAAAGCCCCAAGCCTGCAACGTCGGCGTCTAATTCACCTGATGGCCCTACTGAAGGTGTCGAGGCTACGAGTAGTATTGCTTCAGCATCACAACCAGAAAAAGCACAGCCGATTGCGCAGACACCTAAGCCAGAGCCGACTTCACAACCACCAAAAGCAGAGCCGACTGCACAATCACCAAAGCCAGAGTCGACTGCACAATCACCAAAGCCGAAACCGGCTGTACAATCTCAATCATCGCACAAGAAATTGCCCAGCCTAGCAACGCTGCCAACCCTCGGACCTAATGACAAGATTGGATCCGGCGACTCGCGAATCATCCACAACCTGCTGCCTTCGACGCTGCTTACGCCATCCGACCCTAGCAAGCCCCTCGAAGCCACCATCTTCCAAAAACTGTATCACGAAATCCAGTGGCAAAAAATGCTGCACGCGACAGGCGAAGTGCCGCGACTAGTCAGCGTGCAAGGCGCCGTAGCTCGCGATGGCAGCACGCCACTGTACCGCCACCCGTCGGACCAGACGCTGCCGGTTCTGCGCTTCTCGCCGATGGTGCAGTTGGTGCGGAATAAGGTTGAGGCGCTGCTGGGCCATGAGGTCAACCATGTTCTTATTCAGCTGTATCGTGATGGCGCGGACTATATCAGCGAACACTCGGATAAGACGCTCGATATTTTGCGCGGGTCCAGTATCGCTAATGCCAGTTTTGGCGCGCAGCGTACGATGCGCTTGCGCACGAAGAGGGATGCTAGAGACGTGGGGCAGGCTGCAGGCACCAGGACTGGAGAAGCAGACGCAAGTGCAGGCACAGCCACAGAGGCCTCACAAGCAAAAGAAGAAGCAGACGCCAAAGCGCCAGAAACAGAACCCACCCCCTCCTCAGAACGCACGACGCATCGCGTCCACCTGCAGCACAACTCGCTCTTCGTGCTCGGCCCCGCCACCAACGCTGCCTGGCTCCACGGCATCCAGCCCGACAAGCGGCGCGCGCCGGAGCGCTCGTCCGCTGAGACGGCGTGTGCGGGCGCGCGCATCAGCCTCACGTTCAGGCGCGTCGCGACGTTTGTGTCGGGCGATGGGGCGTGCGTGTGGGGGCAGGGCGGGCGGAGTAAGACAAGGAAGGGAGCGGGGATGGTGTTGGCGGAGGGAAAGGACGGGAAAGAGCAGGGTGAGGGGGAGAAGGAAGAGAAGGAGAGAACGGACCTGTTGAAGGCGTTTGGGAGGGAGAACCAGAGCACGCTGTTTGACTGGGACGAGGTGTACGGGCGCGGCTTCGACGTCGTGCATCTCTGTGGCACTTCTGGGTCTGGATCTGGGTCTGGCGCATCGAACCAGGCAATGCTGTTTGCGGCCACAGAGGACCTGGAGGCGAAAATCGTGCGCGCGTGTCTGGACCGCCTGGGCGTGCCGTATACGGCTTTTGAAGCGCCGGTGCTGCCGGAGTTGGAGTCAGGGTCAGGGTCGGAGCTGGGGCTGGGGAGGGGAAACGAGCTCCTCTTCCGCGACGCAGACGCAAGGCACACGGAGGTGCGCGGCGCGTGCGCTGTAGTCGGGTACTTGGGCCGGGTTTACGGGAAGAAGGTGGTGGACGAGAGAGAGGCCGCGGCGGTGGAGTACGCCTCGCTCGCGCAGCTGGCGGGTTTGCTGCGCATCTTGCGCACGCTTCTTTTGCCTTTGCCTTTGCCGACGACACCCGCGAATGCCGACACTGCCACTGCCACTGCCACTGCCACTGCCGCGTCTGCGGAAGCCTCCGCGCTGTCTCAATCCCTGCGGCCGCCGTGCGCGCTGACAACAGCCCTCGACACGCTAAACGACTTCCTGGCTTCTCTCTCACTCTCACTCTCACTCTCGCTCTCGCTCTCTACCTCTGAAACAGAGACTGAAACAGAGACAGAGACAGCACAACAAGCCCCCAACCAGCTACCGACCACGATCGCCTGCGCGCTGGGTGTGCTGCTAGACGAGGTGCGGGGACGGTATCCTGGTTTGGTGGGGCGGTGGGAGGAGTTAGGGCGGGTTAGGGGAGAGGGAAGTTAGGGGGGGAGGGGTGAGGGGTTGGGTTTGTAGATGTGGTGTTGGTGGTACATGGAATAATATGGGGATAGAATGGGGATAGACTGAATGGATTGATTGGACATTGGACATGAGTGAGCGGTTGAGTAGACAACAAAGTCACAAGAAAGACGTGACGTGATTGTTTTTTTCGGAAAGCGAGCGGTGCAAGAGCTCGTGATTACGTGTATACCTAGTGTGTATACCTAGGAGTAGTGTAGATGTATGTATGTATGTGTGTGCAAGCAAGCAAAAAACTGACGACGATGACGACGACGCCACCGCTGGCCGGCTTAGGTGGTGCTCAATCGCTCGGTCGGTCGGTCGGTCGGTCGCCCAGTCGTGGAGTGGGTATCATATCGTATCGTACATGAAGGGAAGGAGGAGCCTGCCGCGTCGCTGGGCATGGAAAGCCACGCACGCACGCACGCACGCAGAGACAAAGAAACCCCCCACCTGAGAGCAATGCAGCAGCAGCAAAGCCTCTCCGCCCCTCCCTCTCAATCAATCAACCTCCTCACCCCACTCCTCCTCCCCCTCCCCCTCATCTCCCTCACCACCACCATCGCTCCGCCCGCGCCTGCGCTTGCCCCCCCGCCCCTTCGGCGGCGTCTTCACGGGCTCGACCTCGCGCGCGAAGCCCAGCGCGCGGAAGCGGTCGCCCCAGGCGCGGGAGGGGGAGTGTGCGTGGCGGGCCACGGCGGCGGAGATGTCGGATGCGGATGCGGAAGTGGGCGCGGACGCGGACGCGAGGGTTGGCGGCGAGCTGAGGAGGTCGGTGGCGCTGGTGTTGGTGTCGGGGTTGGTGCCCGAGGCTTCGATGGCGCGGCGTCGCTTGCGTTTGGGAGGCTGCGTTGTGGAGGCGGGGAGCGTGTTGTGGCTGCTGGTCGTGCCGTTGTTGCTGTTGCTGGTGGCGTTGTCAGAGGCCCAGCGCGCGAGCACGGCGTCGTCGGCTGGGCTGGCCATGCTGTGGAAGGAGGCGTGGTGGGTGCAGCCGTCGCATTCAAAGGACGAGGAAATCTATAGCAGTGGGCGGGCATAAGTAGTGAAAGGAAGGCCGGGTCACGGGATGCCATGTTATGTACCTTCAGCGGGTGCAGCATGAAGCGCAAGCAGGGACACTTGGGCGACAGCAGCGAGTCCTTGTGGTTGCAGGGCCCGCGCGGCGGCGTGTAGTTCATCTGGGCCCAGATGGAGGGGGCGCCCGGAGCCATGGTGGGCGGCGAGTGGTGGTCGAGGAGTAGGAACGGGCTCGGAGCATGGCTGGCGGCAAGAAAAAGGTTCGGTTGGCGGAGGAGGAGGCGGTGGTGCTGCGCGTGCGTCGGGGGAGGTTGGGCCGGCCGGGAAGCTGCTGCGCCTTAGGACCTTAGTCAGCCATCGAAGGCGGTGACGGGCTAGCGTCGATTAGTAGGTAGCTTGTCCGTCCATCTCTCGGTGGTCTTTGGTCTGGACATTGTTTCCCCAGACTCCAGACTCCACCACCTGTCGCAACCATGCCTAAATATAAGTCACTCCCTCCCCCTTCTCTCACTCTCTAGACCTTTGACTAACCTCCTCAGCACTCTTCTGTAGGTCCTCCGCTAACCACACTCGTCTCGTCCCACTGACTGACGCGCCCACCCGCTCCCAGGCGACTACTGCGATGTCTACCTCACCCACGACTCGATGAGCGTGCGCAAGGCCCACAACAGCGGCCGCAACCACCTGCGCAACGTCGTCGAGTACTACCAGCGTGCGCCACTCCCGTCCCACCGTCCGTCCATCCACCGCGCACAAGCTGACACTTTCTTTGCCGCCGCAGAAATCGGCCACGAAAAGGCCCAGAGCGTCATTGACTCCATCACCGCCTCGTACACGGCCGAGGGCCAGGCCAGCCAAAACCCTATGCTGCAGCCGCCGCCCATGGGCGCCCCAGGCGGCTTCCCTCCCCCGCCCTTTGGTTTCCCGCCCGGTACCTCGCGCCGCACTTCACCCACCAACAACAAGAACCCCGCGCTAACCTCCCTCCCTCCCACACAGCCGGCATGCCGCCCCCGCCCTTCGGCCTCCCTCCCGCCGCCGCCGCAGCAGGCGCAGCCCCCGCACCCGGCCCCCCCGGCCGCGGCCTCCCCCCCGGAATGCCGCCTCCGCCCAACATGCCGTTCCCGCCGCCGTTTGCGCCGTTTGCGGGCGCGGGCGCCGCCGCCTCGCCCCCGCAGGGCATGCCGCCGTTCCCACCCCCGGGCGCCGCCGCCCCTGGCCCCGCCGGTACCGTGCCCCCGCCCGGCGCGTTCGCGTTCCCTCCGCCTGGTGCTGCCGGCGGCAGTCCGGCGCCCCCGCCTGGCGCGGTGGGGTTCCAGCCGCCGCCGGGCATGGGCGGCCCTTCGGGCCCGCCTGGCGCGCTCTAGTTGCCGTTGGAGATTGTGCGTGGTTGCGCGAGAGTGCTGGGGGAAAGGCGTTTTTTTCGGACTGGGTTTCTTGCTAGGAGGGGTGGGGAGACGAAGCGAGGGAAACATGGACATGGACATGGCAATTGAGTTTGGGGTGGTATGCATGCATGCATGCGGCACTGTGCTGGGCTTGAAGACCAAAAAAGCGATAACGTAGCAGAGCAGAGCAGAGCAGAGCAGTGGTCTAATCGCCAAGACACGGAGGTACGGAGCAAGCAAAAAACACATATTTACCGCGAGCATCAGAGTCGATATCCTCGTCTGTATCCCCACCGTGAGCGGCTCATCGTAGCAGCGAGGGCAAGCCAAGTCGGTTTGCGGTTTCTTTCTTGTAGTACTGCGAGCGTGTTTGCGTGCTCTTGGTCGTAGGTAAGATTGCGCTGTACGGATTGCTTCTTGTACGGACGCTGCGTTTGAGTCAGAGCGGGAGGGCGTGGAGGCGGGTCGGGGTAGCGGTGAGGTATAAATTCATGCCTTTTGAGCTTGAGTTGTGGATTCAACACGCCTTGAGCATTGTCAGGCGGGATTGATTTGGCGCAACGGAAACGAGGCAACATGGGGGTGCCCATGTCCATGTCGCATCGCCATACCTGTACCTCGAGTATGACAGCAGCCCAGGCTCTTTGCACCTGGGCTTGTGATGGTGACTGACATCATTGTACGTTCATGACGTTCAACATCTTGTGTTTCTGGTAGTATGCAACGGCACCATGAAATAGTATGGTGGTTGGTTGCTAGTTTTGTACGGTGATGGTAGCCGGCATTGTATCCTTGCAAATGCCTCTGTATCTAGCTGGCGTAGCGGTCGAATGTGACAGCAGCAACGAGCGTATAGCGGACGGTTTATGTAGGCTTTTAGTTATCTTACCTACACCTTAATAATATATAAAGTAAACTCTACTATACCTACCGAGTGCTCTTTAGGTATCTAAAATAAACTCTATCGCTACATATAGTGGTTGCTAGGTAGATATATTAAGATAAAAGATGCTACGATATGAAGGTGTTTGGACAGGAGCTGGGATGTTACTATGTAAGAACGCTAGAGTACTTCACGAGAGTATGGGAGTTAATTGATATAAAAGTGCGAGAGTACTTTATAAGGGCAAGAGAGTAAAATAATATAAAAATGAGAGGGTACTTTACGAGGGTATGACGGTAATAAGAGTATAGAAGTAAAGTATGGGCTATACTATAACGTATGTAACTAAGCGAGGTACCACAGAGTGGATTCAAAGGGCGGCGTCGAAGTGTGGTTGTGAGATGGGTTGATTCTTCTAGCTACTTCTGCTGCTATCTAGTATCTACCCTTTGTAGTGGCTTCAAGAAGAGGAATAATTACCGCCCTCACATCACGCACTCCTTGCCGTTAGCCATGCACTTCCTGCAAGGCCTGATTTATGAACACCCGAACCCGTTCATGCGGCAAAAGCTGCACCTCTGAGCCATGGGGATGCCCACAACTTGGCTCGTTGAAGTCTTACCACTGGCGGCAGACTTGGTTTCGGATCTAGCTTGAGACTTGTCCCGAGCCTTACCCTTGCCTTCTCTCGCATCTTGGGGCTCACATGGAACACCCTTCGCCACGCACCCACTGCAAGGGCGGTTCAAATCGCACTTTTCCTTCGCCAGGCGGCAGCGTTTGCATGCCGAATTGGGCACATCTTTGTCCGGGAAAGTACTGTCGAAGCTCAAGTCCGTGTGTTTCTCCCAAAGCTCGACTATGGCCACCATGTCTTGCTCGCCGTCGTCCAACTTCATCCGGAGCACACTACCCGGAAAAATTGGGTTCTTGCTCGCCCTCTTGTTCCGAGTGTAAGTCACGGAAACGCCATGGCTGTCGTGGATATCTATACCAGCGGGGGTGCTGGGAATGATAAGTTAGTGATGAACAGCAGAATGAGGGTCGTAATCAGCACTTACAAGTGAATGGTACGAATTTTGTCATCGCCTTTGGGGGCGATGCCTTCGCCACCCTTAAGCTGCAATCGCACTTTCGTACCGTCATCTTTGTGCATATAGATGCTCAGTGCACCGCGAGCCGTGCTTGGAACGACATTGCCATTCATGTTAGTCAAGTCTCTCCAACCTCTTGTCGGATCCTTTGAATAACCGGTCTTCATCTTTAGTTGGAAGTAGGTCTTGACGTCAGCCTTTACCTTGTCGAAAACGACGTCGAGACCGGCCGATTTCCAGCGCCTGTCGACTTGCTTCAAGACAGCTCTGCAAAAGTCAAGTCTTGAAATCCGATGGTTTGCTGGTCTGGAATTCTCCATGACAAGCAGATCAATAATGACTTCAATGGCCAGGGTCACTTTCCAGAATGTGAGGTCGTACAACCGGCGAAGTTCTGGCGACGCTTGCATGTACTTGTCTGCTCCAGGATGTAACGATGGAATTTGTATGAAAGCATCCTTGGGGTTGATAGGATTCTCGCGCTTGATGGCTACCGTCCCTTGTCCTGTAATCTTTCCTGGATTGGTGCTGAACTGAATGGTCAACTCTCCTGCGTTCGTGGTCATATCCGCTTCAGCTCTGATGGAAAAGCCAGCAAAGTCGCGCCTGATGAATGCCATAGTCTTAGCATCTATTGTAAGCACAAGTATAGGCTTCGTGGCGTGAATATACTGGCGGGTCAATTGGGCGGCTTCTTCGCGCAGCTCGGTGTGGTTAGGCCAGTATTGGTAATCTATGAATGGCAAGGCCCCTTTGTTGATAAGGTTGTTGAGATCCCATTTATTCCACGTACTGTAGCCTGCTTCTTGCTGCCTGAGGCGAGCAAGGAAGTCGATAACGAAGTTAGAAGTCCGAGTGTTTCCTTTCCAGAAGGGACTAGGGCTTATGATAGATTGAAGGGGAACCCACTCGCCCAACAAAAGGAAAACAACATGTCCAAAACAGGTACCCGGAATAGCTTGGGTGCTCCAAATTCTTTCATGTTCTGGGCCAATACGCAGAGAGGTAAGTCCAAGCTCCTTTGCGTTCTTTTTGGCGAAGGCAAAAATGTTGCGCATCCATTTTGTAACTTCCGATGCAAGGTCTGATGTGGGTGTTGGAGGTTGAATCATTGTCTCCAGTTTCATGAGGCCTCGGACCTTCAAGTTCGAAAGCAAAGCGATATCTGTATGAGAAGGCTGATAGGCTGCATAGAGACCTCCTGGTTGCTTGTTGAGGAGATTGTTGCGACCGAATAGTGCAATCAGTGTTTGCTCTCGAATGTCGACATGGCTGTGGAACAGTGGAAGGATAGTGCCGTCGGGTTTGCGAAATGCTTGAGTCTGGGCCAATGGAAATTCAAAGACTGCGCAATTCTCAACGATACTGGCGCTTATGGAGTAGCGGGCTTTCACGAAGGCGCCAAAGATACCGGCGCTCCTGTTGTAGATATCTGCTTCGTGACGGCCCCAGCCTGACTCACTGCTGGAAAGGCCAACATATCGAATCCAAACTGGCTGGTCTTCATCTTGGGCTAATTCCGTGGCAATCTTCCAGGCCAGGGATTCATCCTCAAACTTCCCTTCAGTTTCCCTATTGGCGATCATCTGTATGAGTTGTCCAATACTGAGGCAGAACGAACGGATGTAGAATAACGTATTGCCCTGAGCAGGTGGCGGAGTGGCAGGAGTGGATCGACGGAGATTCAGGATCGCGACCATATCATCGTCCGGAAGGAACAAAGGTTGGTTGACGAGGATTTCCCATGACTGTGAAGCGTGCCGCGGAAGCGCAAAAGCCAAAAGTTGCTTCGACAAGTCCTGAGTTGGAATTTGCGCATCCTGAAGTCCTTGGATGATCTTATTCCAAACAATTCCGACAAGGTATTGGGGGGTCAGGGGCGTTGGGTGATACCCAAGGTTTGTCGTCTTCATCCGCGTGGCCTTGTGAATGTTCGGTGCGGGAGCATCGTGCGGTGCACTATGGTACCGCGGCATATTGGCCGGTTTGGGGGATTGTGAAGAGCAAAACAGCAACTTGGGAGTAAGAAAGAAGGTGGAGTAGTACGGGATGAGGAGGGCGAAGGAAGGGAGAGGCAAGGAGAAGGTCCTTGAGTAACTGAAGGTATCAACTGAAAAGATTTGCCGGTGCTCGGCCGCCCATTTAAAATGACCTTATTCAAACATAGTGAAAGCGCAGTTCGCGGCCCGTTGCAGGGCCCCAAGATGCTTGACGTCTACTGTGAAGGGGCCGCGGATAACGTCATTCCCCTGTTGTTCCTCTTTTAGGAATGTTATTGAAACGAACGGAAAGCGAAGCACTTGTGAAAGAGCCGAATAGTAGCAGCAGTTGAACGTTAGCAATAAACCATGAGGCAATCTTTGGCAGAGCACGGCAAAGGACTGGCCAACAGCTTGGAAAGTTAGGAGGCGGGACGGAAGTGAGTTGATAACAGGTAAACCTGGTTGTGACGTTCAGGCTGCCCAGCAAATTTGGGATAGAACCTAGCTCTTCACATGTAGAACTGCCTTCCACTCTAACCTACCGCTGTTCTTGGGATCTGCTTTAACCGTTGGACTGGCGAAGGCCCCCAGAAGGACCCTCAACACCGGTTTCTGTCGTCCTCGTCAACAAGAGCATCAACAAGTCGCGACTCGGTTCTCTACACCACCAACATATCGCAATCAGCATTGAAGCAAAGTGAAAAACTGGCTCAGAGGACGAGGTTTGAACGAGATGGTCGTCCGGAAAATAGAGTGTCGATGCACAACCTGAGCAGTCGAGGCCTAATAAAAAGGCTAAAACGTCGCATAAAAGAGGTAGCGCACTATCTTAAGCATGAAGACAGGCCCATTCATCCACTTGACAATGGTAATTCGGATAAAAACAGGAAAGCCAGTTGGTCCGCGTTCAACTGGCTGGTGGGGATGTATCGCATAATGGCAGACGACGCTGGGAGGGAAGATCGTTACTCAGAAACAGGTACGAGGAAAGAGGAGGCCCAAAATTCCTACTGGGAATCCACCCAGAGGACTGGCACAGAGCATATTGGCCGATACGATTCTACAAGAAGAGGATAATAGCAGGTGGCCACACTAACTCGACGGCGATAGAACCATATTTCCTGAAGGACGATGGGGGTAAGTAACAAAGTACTATGTCAGTGGTGTTCAACTGGCGGTAGTAGCGATGGCGTCTATTACCAGACCACCATGGCAAGGGCCATTATTAGAAGATCCGAGGACAAATTTCCATACTATGTAAAAGTCGTAAATGCATTGTCAGTTAGGTGGCCTCTTTTCCTTTGGCGACAAGTCCCTTCATGTCCCAACCTCTTCCGCTTCAAGAGTCGGTCGTGAAACGGATGCGGGCATCGTCATTATCGGATGCGGTCGGGAATGCGACGGATTTAATTATGTATTAGGCTGAGGCGACAGTCGATGATTAGAGGCACAGAATAGCGTGTTGCGAAAGCTGAATAGATAGTATGTAGGGTGTTGGGGGCTGTGATCGCGTCGCATTGCCAAGGAGTTCGTGCGATGCGGGGTTTTCCAAATCTTCAACGGTGCGATGCGTGTTAGGGAAACGCCAACAAACCAAAACCTAGGTATAGGAAAGGAAATTCCTAGCAGTCTTTAGCTAGCTTACTAGTATATATATTTTAATCTTTGATAAGACTTTCATCCAAGGCGCGGTGGCCTAATGGTAAGGGTAAGTCAATATCAATAATATCTATTCAACAACCAATCAGTATACTAATCTGGTGTTTAGCGCTACTTTCCGGTGGTAGAGACTGTGGGTTCGAGTCCCATCCGCGTCGGGTATATCTTTTTTGCCCTGGTGGAACTCGAATCATAGTAGAGGATCCACTGCTGTGGGCTGGGCGAACGTCAGAGTGCTCGGTGTTTGGTCGGAGTTTATCTTTTTGCGTCCAGCTATGGCCGGGCAATCGGCCCTATTCTAGACTGCGTCTGGCGTCTGGCGTCTGGCGTCTGGCGTCTGCATGCTCATTGTTTGCGGGAAGTTGGAAGAAAGGCAGGCGTTTTGGTTGTACAAGAATTCTGGGAGCTGAGGGGTTGGGCTTCGCTACAGCATGAGCAGAGTTCTGCAGGTAACTGCAGTGTTTTCCGTGGCCTGATAATAGCGTCTTTTTGTGCATGTTGAATAATATTCGAGAAAGACGTCGATTGGATTTTTATAAAGTCGAAAATCAGCAATTCTTTTGCAGCCCAGCACCTGCGCGTCAGCGTACCAGGACAAGACAAACAATCCGGCCATATATACTTGAGAACCTCAAGCAGTAGCGCACACCGCATGACTTCTACCATCCAATCCCACCATCACCCCCTCCCCTCATCAACCCACCCCCCAACCGCCCTGATAATCTCCTCAAATGGCAGCGCCGTCTCTTCAATCCCGCACTCCGCGCACCCCCGCCCGGGCAGATTGTCGAGCGCATTCAGCGACAGCGATCGCAGCGCGCCAGGTTTTGCGCTGCCCGCTAGTGGTGTTGGCCTGAGCAGCAGCCGCCGCATCCAATGCGAGAGCCGGGACCTGCAGCGTCGCGCTGTAGGCCAGGTTTTTACCCGCGCGAGGAGCGGTGGTGACGGCGTCTGTTCTTGCGTGAGGAAGTAGGCAGGGTCGTGCGCGTGTGGCCTGTAGATGGACAGTGAACGGGCGGCGTAGGTGTGGTCGCGGGGGGTGCTGGAGCTGAGGCATTCGAGGGAGGCTGAGGGTTTTAGCGCTGGCGAGACGAATGTGGATAGTGGGAGGGAGGGGCGTGTACTGTTACTGGATGCCATGGCCCCGCGTGGACATTGTTTGGGTTTGGGGGTCTGGTCGAGGTGCGCAGGTTTTCGCAGCTTGTTATGCGTAGACAGAGCATGGTTTAAGTACGGCGTGAGAGCCCAACTGGTAGCTACCACTGGGTGGGAGCCTTCTCCGTGTTGGCTTTAGATGGCTGCTCAATTAAGCGCGGCCGTAGCGTTTATTTTGCGCATGGCGCGTGTGTCGAGTTACCATTTTTGTTTATCTCTGGGGATCTGCGACATGGCCGACGCTGTTCCAGCTGCTTTTTGGCCTGCATGGGATTTGGTGCTACAGCTGGCCACGGAGAAACACGCTGAGAAGCGCCATGGGCTTTGAAATGGTCTGATACAATACTAGCCAAGGTTAATGGCGTTGCGGGCAGGTCAGCTTTCAGCTTTCAGGTTGGTCGGTGCCTGACCACAACGCCCGTGGGCAGACACGGCAGCAACGAGTTCTTTAGAGATCCAGATCCCGCCCTCACGGATAAGGTCCGAACGGCTCAGCACCAAAAGAAAAAGACGCCGCATGGGCTGATCTTGACCCCACCCTCGGCTTGCATTGTGAGATGCGGCATCACGAAGATAGCGGCAGATGCAGCCCGAAAGAGCGGAATAGGTGAGGATAAGCCTTCCGCGGGAGTGCGGGAAGTGCGTCTAATGGGAATTCTGGTTCAGCATGTGGCTATCGCAAGCACTTCCGCCCACGCGACAGCTCCCGAGTACCTGGTTCAGAAAGACTGGGCGCGAGTATGGATCGCACCGGGACGGCATTCCGCAATCTAGCTCGCGGTTGACGATTCCAATCGGATCGAAGGGGGAGGTGTCAGGCGTTCCCCCGCAGCAACATCGCGCCTCGCTTGCATGCATCTGCATACAGCTGTGAAAACCTCGTTCATTGCAGGCTTTGCGCTGGAGCTGTCCCGAAACCTGCACCGCGGACGCAAGATCACCAGCACGGACTGTGAGTGTGAGGAGTCGTGTCATGGCCGATCTTGGGAGTGATCGTGGACAACCCCTTGACCCGACAAGAGCGTGCAGGCTAGTAGCGGGAAGCGCGGTCCCGTAACTGGTTTTCGTGCAGGGGAACAACCGGTTGCATGTCCGATAGAAGATACAAGCGGCTCGTGTGTATCGCGTCTTCGGATTCCTATTAGCAGTATTGTGTACGTATGACATGAGAATAAGAAATTGAGAGACGTGTATTGCGACAGTGTGCTACTCTTCCGTAACTCGTACCCTCTTCAGCCTCCGGCCCCAGCCCCAGCCTCAATGTCGACGTCACTTTCCGAGCCGAACGGCTATCTTGATTCATCTTTGAGACCAGTGCAGAGGGTAGATGGGGCGGAGGCGCAGTTGACAGTGGAGATGGGATTCCAAACACCACAAACTGCCACGCTGCTACGAGTCTGTTTTTAGAAATGGGGCGTTGTTGGGGATCTGCAGGCAACAACGGGAAGCTTTGACGTGACCGCCCGTGCATACGGCCATTCCTTATATAGTCAAGCCACGTGCCCCATATCTCTCCAACCACCATCGCTCAAACGCCCATACCCCGACGCCAGCAACCACATTTTAACTGCAAAACACTTCAGAGCAACCCCGAACCCTGATGATCTCCGACTGTTGTTCTGTGGGTAGAAATGTATCCTTTCGCGACCGCTTGACCGCCAATCACGGCTATCACCGCAGTGACTACTTGAAATGCAGGTGACTGAAACATATTCAAGCCTCAGCGCAGCTTCTAAACGGCAGCAGATGACGAGGCGCCGCGCACGAGCTGGGAAGGCCTGTCGAGAGAGGTCGTTGTCGCCAACCTCCAACAAGAGCTGCGAACGCTTACGGGGAAGCGCCGCAAAGATGAGCCGAACTACTACGTCGAAGACCCGCCCAGCCTGATCACAGAATCTTTCCTTCACTCTTTCCAAGTCGGGACAGGCGGGAGCATCTTCACAGACATCTTGCCTCGCATACAAAATGCCCAATCGGAGATTATTTTCGTTACCTGTTTCTGGGCCAAGTCTGCCTCGCTGGAAAAACTAGGTGAGACCCTGAAGGGCCTATCGCAAAAGTCTCTTCGCGCCATGACGACTGGCGCGCCCCCGATCCGCGTCAGAATCTGCTTTTCTTCCCTTTCAGTCGGCCAGAAACTCTTCCAGACAAACTCTCTCGAGGGACGAGTGTACGAGCCGGCCGAGTATGTCCAGAAGCTTGGCTTGCCCTCCCACGACGAGCTGTCTGGACTGGACCTGGAGGTAAAGTGCATCTTCATCAAGCCCTTTTCTGTCATGCACCCGAAGTTCATCATAGTTGATCGTAGCCTGGTTTGGCTACCCAGTTGCAACGTCAGCTGGGAAGAGTGGTTTGAGGGCTGCCTGGCACTCTCTGGCCCCGTCGTCTCCCAGTTCCTCACGTTCTGGCAACACTTCTGGAATCGAGGCAAAGCACCATCATCGATCCCTCAATCCCTCGATCCTGGAGAAACAGCTATCGCCCTGCACCGCCGGTTCGCCGTAGTTTCCGAACCTCCCAACACGCTATCAACCCTAGAAGGCACCACGGGCGTCGCGATCCCGACGGTGTTCCTACCGTCGCCTCATCACGCCAACCCACGCTTCGGCATGCCTGGCCCACCTCCCCAAACCCCTCTCAACGCGTTTGTACTCCATCGTCTGCGCGACGCCAACTTCGACATCTACATCCAAACGCCCAACGTCACGTGCACGGCGGTGGTCAAGGCGCTGCACCACGCGCTCAAGAACGGCGTCAATGTGCACATCGTGACGAGCGAGCGGCTGATGCTGGCCGAGCAACTCGGCACCGCGGGCACGACGACAGCGCGCGAGATCAAGGGCCTCATCAAGCGGTACAGGAAGCTGCCGACTGAGACGCCCATCTACGACACGCCGCGGGACCCACCCCGGCACCCGCCCCACCGCGGCAGGCTGCGCGTCGAGTACTACGAGCCGCGTCCAGCGGCTGGAGATGGCGAGCCCGTGCAGTCGCATCTGAAGCTCACGATTGTCGATGACCGCTTCATTGTGCTGGGAAGTGGCAATATGGATCGTGCGAGCTTCTACACGAGCCAGGAGCTGGGTGTCGCGTTTTACTCGGATCGTCTGGCGTCGGACATTCAAGATTTGCTGCGCAAGAATCTGGAGGGCCGGCGCAAACTGGTGTTTGATTCAGACGAGGAGGCGAGGAGTGTGCCTGGTGAGGCTGATGGCATGGAACTGGTATGAATAATGGCAATGTGGAGTTGTCTTTCGGGTAGAAAGGCTTCTGGTTAATGTGTACTCTTACAGCGGGTAATGCTATGGATGACACGCGGAGCTAATACTAAATTAATACTTAATATAATAACTATCACAGCGATTGGTATATTTTCTAATGATAGTCATCAGCACCACCGTAAAACACCAGCAATCTATACATCCTTCCGATGGTAAACATCATCACCACCGCTAGGTACCATTACTTCAGTACAGGCCGAAGCGCATTATCTTTGGGAGTAGTGATGACCGTTGTTATTGGAAAACGGTGAAAACATTCATCATCGGAAGATTGTAAAGACATTCATTGTTGGAAGGTAATAAAGATATCATTCTCGAAGAATCGTAAAGATATTTATTATCAGGAGGAAACAGTGAAGCCATTCATCATTGGTAAACTGTAAAGATGCTCATCACTACAAGACTCTGGAAACTCGAACCACGCACACAGCTTCCTCTTCATCGTCTGTCCGGGCAAAGAGATCGGTGCCGTACGGGGTCACGACTGAAAATGCGGCCCAAAATGCGGCCAAATGTGCGAGAAAAA